TCAGCTACTACGGGCCATTTATTGAGATCGTGCGAGACAACGGAACGCAGTTCTCGTCCGAGCAGGTCAAGGGATTCTGCCAGCAATGCGGCATTAAGCATTTGCAAACGCCACTAGGCCATCCTTAATCGAATGGCCAAGCAGAACCCTACGTCCAGACAGTGAAGGACGGCGTATGCAAGCTCATCGGGACTAGAACCGCTTGCCGGTTGCGCTGAGAGAGTTTCTCTGGCGTTACCACAGCGCGCCTCACGCAACGGCTGGGAAGTTGCCTAATTGAAATGCTTCTGAGTCGGAAGATGCGGTCGACGCTAGATCTGTTAGTTCCGGCGCTAATGACTATTGCAGAAAAGAACAGAGCGCCACCGCCGAAATTTCTACCAGCATCCGTAGGAGAGGGACTTCCGGTTGAACGATTTGGTTCTGGTTCGCGACTGCGGCCGAACCGCACCATGTAGCGCGAACGTCTGGGAAGTGCAGGTGAACGAGTAGATCTGGAGAAGACACGCGAATCAAATACGCCCGCGACAATGGTTACGACCGGCAGAATGCACAGAACAAGAACCAGTGGAAGGTCACCCACCCTCGTAAACACCTATGCAACTTCCGCCGGCAGAAGTGGTCGAGGAGCCAGTTTCACCTGCTTAAGCGCTTACGCCAATGCCATCCATGAAACCACAAGCACAACCGCAGGTGAAGCCACTGCCGGAAGGGAAACCAACTGTCCCGGCTCACCCTGTAGAAGTGCGCAGAACTGGAAGGCAGAATGCCGGAGTACCACCAAAGTTACGGATAAACGAAATTTAACTTTATTTTTATTAATAATGGTTTTGTGAATGAGCGACCCACTGGGAAAGGTGTGACGATACATAGCAACCGACATAATGTTTACGTGTGTAGCCGGCAGGAAGGTAGACGGGCGGACTTTTTGTACAGGTTATCCACTTTTCTGTCGACTGTCGAACATTTCAACTTTCTGCTTTCTTATTATCTGCATAAGCTTATTCATCACAAACATTTTTCAGTAACTGCTACCCTTTCTGGTAAACAACTCTCGTATGAGTATGAGTATGCAATGCAACGCGATACGAGCGTGCCGCCACCATTGCATGTCACATTCTGTGATATCTCTATATTCATACAAGCTTACCGTTCAAAACGTATTTTTCCTGGGTTTTTATGGATAAATCGAGGCGTGGTCAGTACAAGTCAAGCTTAGTATTGAAAAATTCCTAATTTTCCATAGGTGTGCCTTCTGAATTTTGATTTCGTTTAGAAAGCGTCTGTGAGAAGACAGTTCGACAGGTTCTTAAGTATAGAAAATGGAGCAATATAATGACGTTCTTTAGATATTGGTACAGTGATAGTGTGGTACTACAGTACGTTCTTACGAGTAAAACAAATTGTTGCCACGGAGGCAGCTATTAGTGCAGTAATATAAAGGAAAATCGGAATTGCATAGACCATTTATTGAAAAAAGTGAAAAAACAGCCTGTGGTTACAGGTTCAGGAAAAAATCGTGGGGTGGTCCGTGGTTAAATATTAGTTACGTCAGAACGTCCAAACTTCAGAATGTTAGAAATTCAGAACGTAAAAAATTAAGGACGTAAGAACGTTAGAACGTCAGAACGTTCTAACAATAATAGTGTGGCAACAGCTTAGTCTTGGAAAATTCCTTATTTTCCATAGGAGTGCCTTCTGAATTTTGATTTTTTAAAGAAATCTTTGGTCAGGAGAGATGTGGACAGGTTCTTAAGTATACATCGAAAATGAAGTAATATTATAATGACGGGTGGTAGTGGGGTACTACAGTATGTATTGTACATTCCTACGAGCAAAACAGCCTAGGCAGCCTTCAACGCACTAATGCAGAAAAAAATCAGAACTGCACGAACCATTTAAGGGAAAAAAAGTAAAAATATAGCCTGTGGTCATAGGATCAAGGAAAAAACAAGGAATGGTCAAATATTAGTTTCCGTCCAAGATGGTTTTGCCGAGCGCGGAGCGCGAGGCATACCTTGTATATGATAATGCTGATGTAAATGGTGATAACGACCCCGCGGGTGACACAAATGGACTGCTACACGATCAGATGTGACCACGCAAGCAACTGCGTTGCGGGCACTACTTATAAAAATACCATACCGCAACAGGTCCTTCATTTTAGGATACTGATCGTCGCTCTCAATTTGTTAAGACTTTTACATAGATCCCAGACAGAGTCGATTTTAGGAGCCACGTTCGGTTTTTTCGTTTATATTAGATCAGAAGTGTTAGAGCCTGTTCAAGAACCGCAACACGGCTTTTATCGGTCAGGGACAATCTTCTGCACCGGATGAATTTCAAAACCTATCACTTGCAGGAGAAAACGAAACATGGCATACTGAAGAGATTTTCCAACGCAACCGCAGTGAAGAACGAAATATGCAAAATAGTTTGGCAATTCAGTGTATCAGTCGGACCGCTGTACTGTACCATTTAGATCGCAGTATTTCAAATTCACGGTAAGATTGTTTTGTGCTGCGGAAGAATTGGTACAATGATTTACAGAAATTCCTTATGCCGACGTTACCACACTGCACGAGAAGCACCGACGCAGATTTCTGTTTCATGGTCTAATGTTTTTCGTACAGCCTGGTTAGACTAAATTTGTTGCGCAAACGGTTTATCGGTTATCCTTTCAATACCTTATTCGATATTTGGTGGCAGTGCCAACGTGGGTAAGTAAAAATTACGCAGGTAACGGTTCCTAACTGGATGGCTTTCTGGGGTAGAAGATCAATGTTTTTCTAAAGCCCTCTGTTTAATGCGGTTGATTTTATTTTGAAGCAAAAAACGGTCAAATAACCCATACGTACAATGGTTTGGAAGACCTAGTGACCGTCTCCGGCATATAGCTATCTTTAGTGATCGACGCTCGATTTTCGTCTTGACGTACTAACTCAATTCGACCTGGTGCGAAAAATGTGATATGACCACGTTCACCAAAATCCACGTTCACCAGTTGATATGACCACGTTCACCAAAATCTTCGGTCTATAACAGAGTTCATGCATTGCTTGATTTTCTTCGAAATATGTCGACAAGAATTTCCAGGAAAGTTTTAAAACGTTGTGAATTTGGTTAAACATCGTTTCAAAAATGGGGAATTTGACCACTCTACTTACTGTGATAAAAGTTACTCATTACACGCAAGGCTCGCGAGGGCAAGGCCACGTGATTAAATTTCTATGAACACCGGTGTATGTAATAGTACAGACCTGTGACATTGATCTCTTTTTGTTTTTTCCGCATAAAACAAAAACCTTTATCGCTGAGGTTTATTTTATTTTTTACTTTTATATTCAGATTTATATAATCTTTATAAATGAGTTTGTTTAAAGTTCGAAAAAGGAAGTTGTAGCACAAGCTGAGAAACTGCAACTAAGCAATCAAAAAATCCGTTTTTCCTTTGCAGAATTGATATTTGAAATTTTATACACATCTTACGAGGCGCATACCCCAACTCTTGATTCTCTGATCAACCTGTGCGAGTATCGTTAGAATCCTTACAAAATAAGCAATTTTTTCCAAAAACTAACTTTTCCCCAGAAAAAGAACTGGGATTTAGAAATCTCTGAGAAACCAGCGCATACACGATGGCTGACTTCGATCAGAGCGTCAGCATACGCCATACGCATTTGTGCGTAGTACCTGCGACTTGTCTCGCTGCAATTCTGTTGATTCTGTATTGTGTTTTCTCGATAGCTGTCTTACCTTTTTGCCCTATCGCGCGCGCCATCGCCCACTGTTTCTTTGATGCCAATGCAGGCCGTCGATGCTAGTGCGCGCAATGGGGTGAAAAGGTGCGATAGCTATCGACAACCACTGCTTTGTATTCTCGATAAAAGACGGTTGCGTAAGCACGCATCCGTAAATGGACGCCGTAGATCGTACTGCGGTCTGAACAGCGTCTGCTGACGTTCTGAGCGAAGTCTGCCATCGTGTATGCGCTGGTTTCTGACAGATCTCTAAATCCCAGTTCCTTATCTGGGGAAAAGTTAGTTTTTGGAAAAAATTGCTTAATTTGTAAGGATTCTAACGATACCAAGCACCGGCTGATCAGAGAATCAAGAGTTGGGGTATGCGCCTCGTTACTTAGATTTTGTTATATTTTTTGAAACAAAACTTTGGGGGAAAAAAAGATGTTTCGTTCTTATTGATTCTTCGTCTGCGCCGCAGCTCGGCTTTGCCTTCGGTTTCCTTCGAAACGATAGTTTGCACCAAATATAATCACGGTAACGAAAATTTCAACCGTGAAAACTACCTTTTTTATAAAAAGGGCAATGGAATGCTTTTGTTTACTTGCTCCTCCGTTCGCTTCGCTGCGCTTGCTTGCGCCGCAGCTCGGCGTCGCCTTTGGCTTCGCCTTCTGTTTCAGCTACCGTATATTTTAGGTAACGAAAAGTTAAGCGAAACTGTAGGAAGAATCTCTTCGGGAAAAAAGGAATAGAATAACTTCGTTGCTGCCCCGCTCTTTTCGCTGCGCTCGCTCGCGCCGCAGCTTGGGTGCGTCGCCTTCGGTTTTCGCAGATACAATAGTTCGCTATCGTATCATCACGGTAACCAAAAGTTTAGGCGGAACTGCAAGGAACTGCAAAAAATTCTTCTCAAATAATGGAAAATAGAACCCTTTTCTTTTACTTGCAGCTCCGCTCGTTTCGCTGCGCTCGCCTGCGCCACATTTTGGCGTCGGCTACGCTTTTGATTTCAACAGTAAAGAGACATGATGCACTAAAAACTGACACAGTTACGGTACCTTGTTTCAGTTACGATATCGTTACAGTTAGTACTGATAATGCTTAATTTGAGTGGTAACTCTGGTAACGGTAACGTGTAACAATGAACCATCATATTAAGAATAACAAGCCCGTTTTATGGATCCGGTCCGATAATTTTTCGCGGTGTAGGTGGTGGGATTTCATGGTTGCGGGTCGGGTAACAGCTTACTTTTACCGGGACAAGTTCTCGCAACCGTTTCTATAATAAACAATCGTTAGCGTAACGGTATATCGTAACCGCAACTAGTTTTGTAAGGGGATACTATGGCGGAATACTATTAAATGCTACCGTTACCGTAACAGATTACCGTGCATGTAATTGTCACCGATTCGGGTTACCGTAACTGTTCTGCTCCGCTTGCTGCGCTGCGCTTGTTTGCGCCGCAGCTCGGCGTCGCCTTCGGCCCCGCCCTCAGTTTCCGCTACTGTATCATCGCGGTAACGAAAAGCTTAAGCGGAGCTGTAATAAGTATATCTTCAGAATGTTAGGACAGTCGAATGCTCTCGTTTTACGTGCTGCTCCAATCGCTTCGCTGCGCTCGCTAGCGCCACATTTTGGCGTCGTCTTCGGGCAAGCCTCTAGTTCCAACGGTAAAGAGACATGATACACTATCAAAAACTGACATAGTTACGGTAACTTGTTACAGCTAGAGTAGCGTAACCTTTATTACTGGTAACGCTTGGTTTGAGTGGTAACGCTGGTAACGGTAACGCGGAACGATTTACCATCATAATATGAATAATAACAGTGGCAATAATGGATAACAACAGGTAACAGTATCAACGTCGGTAACGGCAGTAATGGCTCTTGACTTTGCTGACTTTCCTAAATAAACGCATAGCTATGGCAACGTTTCAAAGACATATTTCCAACAATCGCTCAAAATACTAAGAATCCTTTAGATTTTGTTTAAAATTTTACAAAGTTCTCGAATGTGCGCTTCCTCAACGTACCCCTTTCAATACAGTTATAATTTGCAAGCCTCGTGAGCGCAAATTTCTGTAGTTCATCTTCGTTGAATACCGCTGTTAGTAATTCTAAATCCCATTCAGATTAGTTTTTTTTGGGATCTTTACATCCACTTTTTTAAGCAAAAAACAAACGGTTGTTTGCGCTGCATCTCGGCGTCGGGCTCAGCGTTTTTATAGAAACGGTCAATTATTAAAGTAAGAGCAACTCATAAAGTCAACCGATAAAGCGAAAAGGTAGCACTAACAGTTACAGAAACCTGAAAAGGTGACAATAACATGCACGGTAATCCGTTACGTTAACGGTTGCAGTAACAGTATCTCGCCACAGTAACCTGTTGCGAAAGTGGTTGCAATAACGCTAACTCGTTACGCTAAGGATTAATTATTATAGAAATTCAGTTATGATTACCCGTTGCATAAAAAGTACTCCGTTACGGGTGCTGTAATTCCCGGTTGAGGTGACGTATTGCGAATACGGTAATTCTGCTGATAGTCTTTATAAATGGTTGCGAGAACTTTTCACGGTACAAGCAACTTGTCACGGGACCCGTAATCATAAAAACCCCACCGGGAAAATTATCGGACCGGGTCCATAAACGGGATACCTCTACAATTGTACGCCGGACTCCCGAAAAATGCATAAGTATTTTGTTTATAACTTACGTTACGGTTCCCAGAAACTACTCCACCCGGGGTCGCTAAAAAAATCCGGACCAAGTCCAAATTTCCGGACCCCCCATGTATTACTACGGCGGGTTCGTCAAGAATGACCCGGTTATAACTTACGTTACGGCTCCTCAAAACCGCCCCAACTGGGGCGCTAAAAAAGCCGGACCGGGTCCAAATTTCCGGACCCCCCATGTATTACTACGGCGGGTTCGTCAAGAATGACCCGGTTATAATTTACGTTACGGCTCCTCAAAACCGCCCCAACTGGGGCGCTAAAAAAGCCGGACCGGGTCCAAATTTCCGGACCCCCCGTACATTACTACGGCCGGTTCGTCAATAATGACCCGGTTATAATTTACGTTACGGCTCCTCAAAACCGCCCCAACTGGGGCGCTATAAAATCCGTACCGGGTCCATATTTCCGGACCCTCCGTACATTACTACGGCGGGTTCGTCAATAGTGACCCGGATATAGTTTACGTTACCGTTCCCCAAAATGCCACCACGCGGCCCGTTCTAAGCGTTTCCACTTGGTCCAAATTTACGGTCGAACACATTTCCCCATTGGGTCCGTCAATTATAACCCGGTTAGGTTTACGATTTTAAACTACCTTCTCAATTGCTTCAGCGGGGGGCTGCGCCCCCCGCACCTCCGCCCCAAACCCAACCCAAACCCAAACCCTGGACCCGGGTGCTCGGTTCTCCGGTTCGCCCCAATACACACTTTAAATTAAAAACGCTTCGCTCGCTCGCTCCCCTCGCTCGCTTGATTAAGTGATATGAGTGCAAATCCGTTTCACAGGCGGCTGAACTGGGAATACTTTGCGTTATGACCTACACATAGTATTCGGAAAACTGCTAACAAAAATCAAAGTAAATCGTTTTACTGAGAAATTAATGCAGACTCACTAAACTGTACCATCTACAGAACCAGTGAACACCCTTTACCAAGCGAGGTAATAATTTTAATCGAGTAAACTGGTCTCGTGCAGATTTCTCGGTAACGTTATAACAATCCGCATGCATATTAATTTATTACTGTACTGCACTAATAAACCTAATGCAGTACCTATAGGCTACAGCATAGTGTAGAATTAACTTTTAAATTTTTGTTTGGCTACGCCCATTGGCCATGAAACATGAAATAATTTTTTATGCATCATGCGTAGTTGTTTCACCTTTCTTTAAAAATATCTGATTTTTCTGAATATGTAGCCGTGGAATGCACCCTGGTGAGCAGTGAAATACTCAGCGTTAATAATAATATGTAATACTATTATTTTTATTATGGTAGTAGATATTATTAATAACTAAAACCTTACTCACAGCCAGGGCCCGTCTTTCGGTTGTCAGAGTTGGCATGCGACGAACGCTGATAGCCAGGAGGTGTCGAACATCCCGCGCACAAATGCAACAGCAACAGCAGTATTAGCAAACCGCATGCGGACCACAGCCGCCACAAATCAATCGTAAGCCTCATCCTCGATCTGCCCGCAAACATCGCAGTTCCCACACAAAATTACTGTATAAATATGTGTATTTTGTTAAGTACAACTAATAATAATAATGTGGCTTATGCAGCACACACGCTTTGCAGGTAAAAACCCACCCTCTGGCTTTTACAACGAGTTTCTTGCGCGCGCTAGGCAACCGCAGCTGCAGCTGTTCCTGATTAAGTCTTCTTAAAGTACGTGTTAAAGGTGATACGTACTTAATACTTGTTTTACTTAAAAAGGAATGAATGCATAATCACAGTATACTAGCGGTGGTTGTTAACCACATCAGTGCACCGAGCGAGGAAACGCGGGCCGTTGCTCAGCACTACGCCACCAACACGGAAAGCTCATTCCTCCAGAGCCTTTTCGAAGCTGTTACTCAACCAGCCAAATCGTCTGTAAACGGCACAAGCCAGCTGAAGATTGGGAAGAAGTCCGGTTTCGAGTTCATCCATCAGCTGCGCAGTCATTCCTTCGGCTACCAAAGCAAAAATCGTGAGGCATAAAAGCGATAAACGATATGCCAAACAGCTAAGCTAAGTAGCGGCATTTCTGCAGGATGCCCATGAAGGTCCCGTAAATGTCGTTCGCTGGAGCCCGACTGGACAGTATTTTGCCACTGGTGGAATGGGTCGCAAAGTAAAGCTGTGGGAAAATGTCACCGTGATAAGAAGCCCCGAATGTCGTGGAACCTTTAGCGGGCCGAACGCTTGTATTATGTCGGTTGATTTTGACCCTTTTGATAATTTCGTTATGGCGGCTTCTGGTGACTCGGCGGTTAACCTTTGGAATATGTACAATCAACGCCTGAAGGTAACGTAGTGTTGTCTTGGCTAAAATGCGATTCATGATTTTATGTGTGATTTCAGTACAAGCTCACGGGACATAGTGGAAAGGTGTTGACGAGCAAATTCTTGACAAGCAACCGAGTAGTATCGGGAAGTTATGATCGCTCGTTGAAAGTATGGGATCTCAAGAACGGATCGTGTGTACAGAATTTTCTTGTCGGTTCGAGCTGTAATGATCTGGTGATTTATGGAAATCACAATATGATCAGCGGGCACTTTGATGGGAAGGTCCGCTTCTGGGATACGAGATCTGTTATCAATGAGAATGAATTGACGCTGCAAGGAAAAATCACATCCCTGGATATTTCGTCAGGTAAACGATGCACATATACACGAGATTTGCGCCATTTTGGTTAGCGTACCGCACTGCATGTCTGAGTACGGTATGTAATGTGACTGGACGGGCTGCTTTATCAATAATCGTTGTCTTCCAGATGGATTGTACGTGTTAGCCTGTTCCCGAGATGATTCTCTTTCATTAATCGATGTGCGGCAAAACGAGACCCTCTTTAATTTATCGTAAGACCCAAATTTTCTGTTCACCCGAAGATAAGCAACTCTACGGATATTTAAGTTGGTTAATACATGTGAAGGAAATTAAATTTTACAGTGTCGCTTGAGCAAGGCTCTTCTGCAGTTTTTATATTGTAGTTATTTTAGAGCGGAGAATTTCGTTGTCGGTCGTGATTGGTCGCGTGCGGTTTTGAGTCCCGATGGACAGTATGCTGTAGCCGGATCCAACGATGGCGCACTGTATGTTTGGATACTGATATTCGGTCAAGTGGGCAAAGTGGAGAAAATATTGAAAGAACACTGCACCACCGTCACCGCTTGTTCCTGGCAACCTCAGGGATATCAGCTCCTTTCCTGTGATCAAACTCAAGAAGTTATTGTATGGGGTGATATGTAGCAATTCTGTGATATTCATACATTCTGCATTTGTTTCCATGCATGCGCCTTTCAATAACATTGACTCGTAAGCACACTTTTCTTGCCATATTTTGTATCTTTTGTTGAAAGTATTTGCTACTTAATGTTGAACGCTACAGAAGGACTTTGGTAGTACGGGCGTTACCATTACAACAAAATACCATCATAACAAAAATTAATAATCATAACAAATAATCATAACAAATCATATTGCAGACATATTTTATAGTTGGTCCGACTTAGTCGCATGCATTATCAAAAATTTATTTACAGTGTTATCGATAAAGATTATCGAAAATGCTGGTTGAAGACAATCAGTAAACATGCACAACTAACGTTAGAATGATTACCTACCGTCGCTACCGATAATGCGCAGTATTTCTTTTATCATGTTGTCATGCTGTGCTAAGTCGTACAACGTTAAACTCTTATAATATTATTTGTTCGCCTTAGAGTTTAGACTAAATTTAATATTGCTTAGTAATGGTTCGTGAAGACGGAGATAACCGCAGGGCATTTCGTTTTACCGTCAGACTCACGTTTTTCCTTCGTTTGATACGACTGCGTCGAACATATGTGTGCTGTATGAAGGCGCATTTAGTACCCTAGTAATCAAAAACTTTTCCAGCAGCTGCTGACTAAAAACTTCTCCGAGATCGCTGCATTATTCGAAAATATTCGGCTTTTGGAGTACTTGGCTAACCTGAGCTACATTCTGTGGACTGCATAAACTAAAATTAATCAAAAATGGTTGCCGGTGCACAATCAAAAGCCCTTACGAAAGGCAAGTTCACTTCATATATGGAACGGCATTTATTGCCCGTTTGCTCCAATCCACTGATGATTTATTTCAGGATCACCGTATCCCGAAAAAGCCAAGGAGAACTTGCGTCTTTTTAGCGGACGATTTTGCCCGTTTGCCCATCGTACACGGCTTGCGCTTAACCACAAGCAACTCCCGTAAGTAATTTGTTGTACACAGTGACTCGATAATGAATTACATTTTAGTATTTTTATGTTGCAGATACGAAATCGTGAACGTCGACCTTAAAGAGAAACCAGAATGGTATTCTAAAATCAGTCCACTGGGCAAAGTTCCGCTGCTAGAGGAGGCGGAGGAGCGCCGCACGGCTGAAAGTCTTATTATTGTGGAGTATTTGGACGATAAGTACCCCGACAAAAACCCAACACTTTCTACCGATCCACTAAAGCGCGCGCAGCAGAAGATGGTTGTGGAAGTAATCACTTCCAAGGTACGCGGGTTTACCCATATAGCCGGGTTTGCATTAATGTAGTTTTGGAAAATATTGATGTACTGTAATACCGTAGGAATCGGTAGGATATCAGAATGCGGTTTTTGTGTACGTAGATAATGGGACCGCATCAGCAGACAATTTTAAAGGGCGAGCCGGAGAACAAGGAAGCGCTATTGAAAGCACTGGACGAAATTGAGCAGATATTCCTGAAATCTTACAGCGGGCGTAAGTCACAGGCTATATTGCCTGCTTATGTACAACGTAGAGCGTTTTATGTTTATGTTAACGTATCATTCAGTAAACTTATAAACTTTATGATCGATGGTAATCGACTTTTTTTTATTTAAATTGGTAAAAATGCTCTTTTCCAGTCGAACCAATTTCTTTTGTGGACCTAATGATTTGGCCCTGGTTCGAACGATTGCCGGCTATTGAACAGCTGCGAAATATGCAGTTCCCCCGTGAACGCTTCCCCGCCATTATGGGCTGGTGTGATCGGATGCGGCAAGAGCCATCAGTACAGAGCAGCGCTCAACCTACGGAAGTGCATTTGGAGTGGTACAAAACACGAAATCCTAATGTCGGTTTGTAATAAACATTTTTTTAGAAATACAGAAATTTTGCCCATGCATTTCATTAAACAGAATAATCGTGTCAACGATCCTTTGCACTGCACGGTTAGTTTGTGATCAGTCACATCCCATAGAACTGATAGAAGTATGCATGTACATTGTACACAGCATCTGTACCTGCACATTGCCGTAAAGGTTGAGTAAAACAGATTTCGCTATAAACTTTGCATAGAAATTTCCTTATGTGAGACGCCTGGTGAGCCAAAAACAATATTGGCATGATATCTTTCAATCATTATCTGTCTAACAGTAATTATAACTGTCAAGTAAGATTTAATATCCCTTGGTAAAATAAATTCGACGCAACCTAGTGCATGCGCTGTCATCATTACGAACCGTCGGAACCGACACAAAAAAGTAAAAATATAAAGTAAAATAAAGCAAAGTAAGAAAAAAAGGTTGCAACGTCAGGGAATACGCTAGGGTAGGTTATATAGTTCGACAATATGAATGCAATTCTGCAACACAAACTTTAAATTATGCAGTATTACTCCAGATTAATTCAACGATTAATTAGTGTACGGGTTGGGCTTTTAATAGTGCATTATCCCGTCGGCCAAGCTCCTCCACTTCCCATATTTTTTGTGTAGGATTTTTTCGCAGAAATTAAACCGCACCAGAGTGCATATATACGAGTATGTCTTCAGTTACGATAGCTATAAGCCGGTAACATCGACAGCAGCGGAATAATTTTGATAAATGGCGTGGACTGGCTTCCAGTTAGCACGCATATTGCGTATGATCGTATTGACAGGCCACCAAACACGATAAGTCCATTCGATACATAAATATCAATAAGCCAATTTTCTCATGTGAATGACCCATGGTCACGCTCACTTCTTCCTGACAAAGCATTAAAAATCAATGCCGGCTCTCTCTACATTTCAAATAAAAGTGCGTATGTAATATATACTTACGATGAAACATACAACGAAGCCAAACGTGAAGAAAACATTGAATTTCAAAAATGCCTTTCTTCTGGAGACAGCTGAAATTCTTTATCACATGGTACGCCGTTGATTTTTTAGAGCAAATCATATTGCATTTGGGACAAACCTCTCAATCGCTTTATGTTGAATTACAAAGTACGCTGCACACTAAAAATAATAATAAAACAAAACTTCGTGGAGCAGATCACGTTCAGTCTGCAGTCATAATTCTTTATTAAGCACATACCGCCTAAACTGAAATTTTTTTTAATTATAAAATTTGGTTTTGTAAAAAAGTTGTTCGCAGGGGATTGCTAAACTTTTAGTGCGCATATGAGCGAGCTAAACGTAGACAAAACCTGCTTAAGCAGTAATTTAAAAAAATTTTACGGAATTGAAAAATTAATTCACAAATTAAAACCGGCAACTTGTAGGTGGTACGTGGGTTATCTGTCAGGCTGCTTCGTGACACCACTCGTGTGATACGTAAACAAAATTAATATGATTTTTTTCTTTTAAAGTATCCGTGCTACATGATTCATGATCACTTGCAACTGCACGTAAACGTATTATGCACCTTAATCAGGCTGCGTTAATTTACTTCCAGAATAAACTGAAAATTAGGTCGCATGCGACTACATTCTACTGTAACATTATCGATTAGAAATCCGCCTCCTCCTGTGAGGATGTTGCAGTGTGATATATTTCAAAACGCTCGCACAGTATTAAATCATTTTAATCTTTGCATGCCCTACATGTTTATAGCCCGCATGGCATTCCTGGGCTAATTAGATTAATTCGGTTGTAATTCCTGCTCTTCTGTTCCACATTCCTGTTTGTTTTAACCATAAATCTTCAGCCGCCGGTGCCCACACTGCAGGCCGGGCGCATACACTTGTGGGTCTGTATGTGGATAGAAATTGGATTTGTGAATGATATTGCCGTTAGTAAGATCGGCTGCCGGCTATTGAGCAGTTACGCAGTATGTGATTTCCGAGAGAGCGCTTTCCCAACAATTTACACAGTGGTGTGACCGGATGAGACAAGAGCCCGCTGTCCAGCGCACAATGAAAGCCAGAAACCAAAACTGTATACATACTGAATTAATGCAACTACTTATAAACGCTCATACATTTAAACGGCCGTTGTAATTCCCATGCATAGCTGTTAAAAACAACCACGCGTAACAACATAAAAACTTCATTATAGCAAAATTTTAGGATTGAACGTGAGCTTGATTAATTGATCTATAGCTCAAAGTTTTTGATTGTGTTAAAGTTTTCACATCAATTTCAAAAAAGATATTACGTTCTCGTGAGCTTTCCAGCGCGTATCGTAAAATTGTAGAATAAGGTTCAACGACCAGTTTATTAAATCCTGTCTAAAACAAAATATTTGTCTCATACACATAATTCTGTAAAATATGTATGTCATTTTAAATAGTGTCCAGCGCAGGCATTTTTGCGTATGTGTACTGGCTTTTGCTGAATAGAAATAAATTTACAATAATAATCTGCCGCTCAAGTACTGCTCTTTATTTGAGCATCAAATAAAATTGCCCCTGTGCTTCAAAGTATTATCGTTATCCAATCCATTTGGTTTTAATATTGATGAATGTTTTCCCACATACAAAACTCCCTCATCATCCCATCCATCAGCGGCAACATGTTTGTTATCGTTGAAGATCATCTCCAGGTGGTTCATATTTGCCGGTACAGATACATGGTCACGCTGCACTGGTACTGGATTTTCCACTGGTCAGTGATGCAGCCAATGAAAAGCCGAATTTCCACCCAATTCACCACCAATAATTCTGTCCATCGCATTCTTCGGACTTAATCTGTAATCCGGCAGCACATTATCCGCACCATCATCATTCTTTATCCGAACATTTCGCACATTGTTCAGCAGCAGTTATACCTGTTAAAAACACATCTATCATGGTCAAATTTACAACCATTATGTGCCGGTGTGTTTAGGCTGAACGGCCCGCCACAATCAGTTTATAAATTGTCGGCCCGCCCTTTCTAAGTAATAGATCATGATCCGAGAGCGCCTCATCGTTCACGTCGTATAAAAATGAGGGGGTGTGTCTAGCGCCAATAATACGGCAATTACTTGCGAATAGTCATAGCAAGCCGGACGAGTCATTCCATACGGCACAAACTACTCAGTTCTGAAGAATTTGAATTAGGTATAATTTTACAGCTTGTAAATGTATGCAGTGTCGCCTGCGGCTATTCGTGCGTCAACGAATGGCACAGCATTAAAAGGAGTTTTTTTGTCTGTATTGAATGCGGTTCGTGAATTGCGATAGACGAGTGAATGCCCAGCTAACCGTAACACACAAATATCCATGCGAGTGATTCCTTCACAGACCGCTTGTTCGAGTTCATATTTGCGAAGACTAGCTTCTGTATCGCGCCACAAGGTGATCACATCATACCGCCCACTGCCTAAAACGGGCAATATGTTGTTGTTTACCTGGGTATGGCCTTGAGTCACATGTGGATGCCCAGCGCCGGAACCTATTATTTACGAAAATGATTAATCAGTTTTTACCCACTATTCCTGTTTGTCTGGACTGCCGGAATTTTGTACAGATTTTTAGATGGGGGAAAACTCGGTGCCGGATAAATTTATTGGTATTAATTATTTTTACTGGTAAGTTGAGTGCTTCATATAAATTTAACTTTTTTTACAACGAATTGTTTTCGAAAAGCGCAAACTGTAATCTAATTTTTTTTGTGAGTGAGGTGGCTGTTATACAGCCATCTCATTCACAGAAATATGAAAATATACGAGAACATATGAAAATATATATAAATATATACAGGTGGCTGTAGATATGAAAATGCTTTGCTAGCGGCAGTTATATACTCGTACAAATGGTTTACCTGTTTTTTTTTGTACGGTTTAAGCTTATTCATTTAATCTAAAAAGATAAGCAAATTGACCAACATGTTACATTGGGCCGGCACGGCAGAAAAAGGATTTAAATATCTAATGAATAATTAAGAACGCACCTGTACGATAAAATTATCTTTGACGTCGCTGTGAGTCGAAAGAATATTATGCGATATTGAATAACTGCATGATAGCGTCTATTTAAATAGAGAAGTATAATTCATGACTTCAGGTGAATGCAAACCGTGAAAATGTGATGTAAACTGATGACATACATAAATTACCAATGCATAATAATTTGGCTGTAGACGGCATCTGGTAAACAGCATCATGTTCTTCCGTCTATCATGGGCATAGAACCTGCCTTTCTGAACTAGCTTAGGTCCTGCCTTTCTGTATACCGTAAGTATACAAGAAAGCACCTTTAGCAGTTTTGGCCCTGCACAGCAGGTACACAAAATTCACTGTATTATGATATAAACTTTTCTAAAATAAAATTAAGATAGTAATACAAAGACACAGATAGTTACGTTTATTTATTTGTTATGATTATCAGCAGATAATACAATTAGCATAGGTTTAATTTACGCATGGTTGCAGACAGTTCTTGTTAATTATGTTTGGTGAATTTCGTGTTTAACTCATTATGTTTTGCATCTTGAATGAATGTACAGAAAAGCTAATTGATCAGTAACGAGGTTGCATCAAATCTAACATATGCGTGTCGCATTTCTGGGACGCAAAACTGACAATTTCACATACATACTTTGCGCGCATTTAAAATTAGACAAACCAGCATGTTTTTTCAAACTTTGACAGAAGACAGTTAACCGCAAAATATTCTCATGACAAGTTGATAATATGCTCTTGACCAAACCGTTTAAAAAAGCATGAGATTTTCCTTGATGGAGATGTGTGACATGGGGCATTTTTGAAAGATGGCACCGTTTGGCCCGGCTGGTTATCTGGCGATTGCACATGCGTGCCGTCCTGCCAGATCTGACGGAATATGGAATTAATGTTCATTACATGCGCTCGCAAAATCTTAGCCCCAATTACCAACTGACCGCTGACGATTCATAAATCACTATCTTTGTCTATGCAAAATGTCAGTAAGAATCTAAAAATAATTTGCAAAAAAGCTCATCTGCGTGTTTCTTTTATTTGATTTATATAACTGGAACTCGGACTATGTGCGTTTGACTGAGGCCTAAGTACAGTAGTATTTCTACTTATACATTTACCATAAATTTGTCAAACTATGAATGGCATAAGGTTATCGTAGACGGTGACCACGGTAGCTGCGTACACTTACAGAAAACAAGAACCGTATTCAGAAGATTTTGGCCATGATAACGCTAAAAAATGCACGCGTGGGCTGTTCGAAAGGTAAAAAGCTAGATAACATTTCAAGTCCATCTGACTCGCTTTACTTTTCGTGTGCAAAAAACAATAATTGTATTTGGCTTGAAATAACATTTTGTCCGCAAACCATGTAGATTAAGTATACCAGCGGCCCAGCCTATATTAGCAAAAGGACTGTAAAATTTAATAATACGGTGGATGTTGATGAAATGTACTTGCTCAATTGGTTGAATGCTCGCATTACACAGGCGTACAGAAGAGGACATTGTTTTATTGGTGTAAACAATAATTATGTCCTGACTGAGTTGCGCAAATTAAGTACAATCGAGTTACGCAGGGTGAGAGTGGATTGGAAAGTTGTGTTACGCTGTAAGCTGTAATGTCTCGCTAGTGGACATGTCACCGCACAAATTAGTTCCGGTCAGAGGAAGCAAATTATCAATACATTAGGTCCCACCGTCCCACAAGAACGCTGCTATAAAATACGGTACTCTGCACACCTACCTATGAGCGGCAACAGACTCTTTACAATTCTGTTACCACATTTTTCTCCCTAATATAATATCGATACCGTAAAAATCTGCTATGCAGTCCTGTAGCGTTGAAGTCCACCAAAATATTCAGTTTACAGAGCGACAGTTTAGTCAATACGGTTTTTTAGAATCACGTAATCGCATCTCGAAAAAATTAGTGCAGTACCGAGATGGCGATACTGGCGAAGGTGCCAGAGTGTAATTTATTTTGATGTGCACATATGCGAAAGCAATACTGGTTTATTCTTTTTTTGGCTAAAGATTCAAATTTTTTTTTCAAATTTTTCAGTTTTTTGGCTAAAGGTTTATTCTCTCTTTTTTTTGGCTAAAGGTTCAAATTTTCAAACCAGCGTGAATGGAAACAGCAGACAATTAACATGATTTTACTTATTTTTTAAATTCAAGCTTATTTATTTTTATTCTTGAGCTTCTTGAATTTATTCTTTTAAACTTTTTCATTGCAGATATCACACTTTTACAGACCGTTAAAATGTGCGCCATAATTCACAATTGTATGCACCAATAAGTTAAAAAAAGAACGCGTTATAAGCTGACAAGTACAGTTGTGCAGGTACAATACGATACATATTTTTGTTATTTTTTGTCTCGGAAAAGACAGTCAAACAGCCAGATGATATTTAAAATTTTGTATTATGAAATAAATTAATTTTGTCGTTTCATCAGCAATTTTGTTTTATCTGCCAACCGTGTTAATTAAACTACAGCGTTACAATGCTTAATGCATATGCAACCGTATCTGTATTTTGCGTGCGCGTCTTTCGGGCTGTATCAAATAACAAACTTCAATTTTTTTTATAAAGAATATTCGAGCATGTCTTATAAACATAGCAAAGCAATTTTTTTCAACTTCATAAAGGCGGTTTTTAATGCAATCATTATGCGTTATATCTGTGTTTGTGTGTACTGCACAGTGTATAATAAATCCACGTTCTTTCTTTATTTTTAGTGATAATTTCCCTAACGGATGCTCAAAGTGCCCGGGATTGTCAAATTCAGTTCCGGAAGGCGGGCAGTTCAAAGTGCCTGGACGAAGTTATCCAGTTAGCAAAAAGCGAGACAGCCTATTGGTTTGGTCGAGATCTGGAGAGCCGATGCGATAGTACAGCGCAGGCTGACATTACTAATGTCAACTGCTATCTCGGATACACCGGCCCGAGAAAGTACTCCATCATCCAGAAGATCTTTTCAGTTGATCCCCAAATCGACCATTTTGACAGCTATTTGACTGTCACCTATGCATCCCCTGAAGGTCAGTAAATTTTTCTACTACGAAGGTATCGAGGCAGATTTTGTAAATTTTTGTACAGAGTACTACGAAGAAAATGCAAATATTTAGAAAATGCAAAATACTGATTCTGTACGTACTTTGTACCCGCATTTACTCGTATGATTTACTGTTCACAATATTTTTATTAGCTAAGATTTTTCTAAAGCTTCACCATACAACCAGATTCATTTCGCAACAGGAAATTATACTGCCTGTGGTGGCGACTTCCGAATGCCTCGAGCCGGCGTGGACGTTAATCCGGATATGCCGGCCATGTGGGCGTGGTATTACCGCAACCCTCCCACTTTCAACTTCCCGGTGCAGGCCAGCACGTATTACACCATCGTAATCATGGATGTGGCTTCCGGTGACGTATTGGGAGCGGTCATTAATTATCCCGTTCCAGAAGTAAGTTTTACCGGCGTTTATTGGACAAACGTTCTTATGATTCTTCTCAACGTACATGTTTAAAAACCTTGTTCAAAGAACTATTTTATCCTAGGTGGCGGTGCCATACACTCCTCCCATTAATCCTCGCAACGTAACAGCTCCCGGTGTTTTCGTGGTGTTTCGGCAAGCGGCCGGAAGTATGCAGATCAGCCAGAAATGGCTGAGTATTATGACCGCCACTGATTCGGGCAAGAAGTTCGACCTGTCCAATTTTGCTTTGGATCAACAACTACAAGGCCCGGTTAGCATGAACATTATGAACGTGGACAGAGATCCGTGGTCAGCCGAACAGTACGCACAGCGGGGTGGACCGAATTTGTGCGCACAATTTATTGCGGAAGGTAAAATTATTTTTTAAACGCGGATGCTTTTTGAATTTTTACTACGTATCTGTATTTTTACTTTGGGCATTTCTTAAATTTAAAAAGTTCATTCTCCTTGTGAAACATTATTCGTTCATTTTTTTTTCATTTTGTTTCTGATATTTTCAGGTTTAAAAAAGTTTCCTTATTTATTTCTTCAAAGTATGACCAAATCGACCATCGACAGTTTCCTTGCACTGCAGTTTACTTCGCCAGCGTCAACCTTTTCGGTCTGTTGCGAAGATTTTGCCTTCACGTAAGTGTCACAGCAGGTTCTTAGCGTTTCCGGTTGTGAGAGTGCCTACTATCTTGCAGCGACACCACGGTGACCGTCAACCCATTGAACGACGTCAACATGCCACCTTTACTTATCCGCGCTCAGCCGGCTGTCGGCTTAAAGGTCGTCTCCGACAACAGCTCTGCGGGTACATAGTACTTCACGAGAATCTTTTTAAAGGAGGATCAAATATTTTCAAATCTGATTTTTCTAGGGCGTTTATATTCTTTAATTGCACTGGACCCCACAATTTCTAACAACGGCCTAGCCACGCCCGATAAACCATTTGCCCATTGGCTGGCGATGAATATTCAGCTGGGCACTAATGCCAATCCAATACCGGAAAAGAATGTGGTGTTATCATATTCACCACTTGTTCCACCACCACAGTCACCGCCTCATACAGTATTTTTTCTTTTGTTTGAACAACAAGCACCAATTAGTACCGAAAACGTTGTGGAGAGGTATTCCGATCCGGTGTGTGCCGATTATCTAAAAGGACGGTAAGGAAAGCATGTTCTTTGAAAATAAATTTCATTGCTACTATGTACTTGAAACGTGTACAGCAAATCGATTAATTGCTTCGGAAAATAAATATGCACTCGATTAAGTAATCAGTATATCTACATTAAGCACTGGATACGAAATTTATTGTACATACATACTGATATTTGACAATAAAATGTTTGCAACACCAAACTGAACTGGATATAAAAAAGTTCTTTCGATACTTTGGGCAATCGTTCGAACGCTGTCATATGAAAAAGTCATCAGCCGACCACAGACGTCGAGTGAACGAAATTGTTGGCAGTGAAAATAAATCTACGGACATGTTGAAATTTTATTTGAAATGTTATTTTGCTCCATGAATATCAACGTGCTCCTTGCAGGTGCCTGTTCCAGATTAAAGACTTTATTGCTGCCAACGGGCTGATACTCCGTGCAGCCAGTTGGATTAACGTCATCAACGACGCCTACTCACGCTACTGGCTCATAAAGAGTGGCCAAGTAGAAACTGATATTTGTTCGGGTCAGCCCGTTTATCACGTGCCTTGTTTAGTACCGGGATCCAGCCCGGGAAAGGTCATTCTGCTCGGTTCCGGATCGTCGGTGCTGATGGCACCGACAACCCTGAATGTTGTTATTGCTTTTCTATTGTTAGTTTTATGGAATTGTAGAAGCATTTAAAAACATTTATCTGTCGGCGGGGTTGTACGTAACAGTGATACTCGCTTCTGAGCTTAATAAAGGTCAAGAGCAATTACAAGGGCCATATTATATCCCGTGCCATAACATTCTTTAAGCACACATAACTGGCAATACTTACAATGTAACTGGCAATCGCTAAAAGCATTTGCAGTTGGCCGCCGAAGAAGGGTTGTTACATGTGTCGCTTATTGAGAACCTTAACGGCAAATTTTATAAAGCCAAATTTGCGATGACTGCAAGTTAGCATGATGAAGTTTACGTATAGAACAGCATGTCAGTCCATATATAAGTTACTGATTTTCGACAATGTTTCGTCCCCTTTCGAGTGCCCTAGGCTTTGACTTTACTTTAAAGTGTCGTACAGAATGCAGCATCCATTATGTATTAAATAGTATTAATACCTGTCGATCTGTACATAATATCATACGGCGGAAAATGCGTGCCTTTTAAATGGGGTTTACATGAACATGTACGTAATTGTCCATGAATTTACAATAGAATGCATTACAAGAATCCACAAATTAAACCAATCACTGCACATTTTTGTTTATTGAATAATATTTTAAATTAAAACGATATCACCAGACGGTATCACAGGAAGTGAAAGCTATCCAGCTTGAGAAGGCAGAATCCAGTTTTCCAGTTCATCTGCAGAGCAGCTGAAGAACGGATGCTGCAGTAATGTATCGGCCGTAGGGCGATCATTGGGATCTCGAGCCAGACACTGTTCGATTAAATGCCTGACAACAACCGGAATATTACTGGGGATCGTGGGTGACCCTCCGCTGCCGACAAAATACACAATCGCCAGTTCCCCCGTCACTGCCGTGACCGTGCCACCATTCTGCTTGAGGAATCTTGGAAGGGTTCTGGTTATCATTTGGATCAATACGCATCCTAGGCTCCATAAATCGCTTCGTCGTCCCAGTTTCTTCGTTTCACCAGCAGGTTCGACTTCTACTTCGGAACCAGTTATCGTCTCTGGTGCCATGAAGGCAAATGAGCTGGCTTTATTGGCAACATCTCCACAATACATGGACGTTGCTGTACTTGGCAACAACTGTTTGAGATTCACAAGGCCACCAATTTTCAAGCTGCATGTGTTCAGATCTAGAGACGACAGAAAGATGTGGTCGCCCTTGAGATCCTTATGAGCGAATCGCTGATCGTGAAGATAAGCGAGACCACTGACCAACTGATGGGTCCATTTTTGTACCAATATAGCGGTGAGGGAACTCGTCTTCAAAAGGTCATGAAGTGTGCCGCCTGTAAAGCAAAACCGATTACGGTTCGAACCTCGGGTATTCCACACTCATCAGTGCCACAATTAGTGTATGTATGTGCCATGTCGGTGAAGGAAATTAGTAAAACTGTTTACGTACCCGAGCAAAATTCCATTACGATATGATACTGAGGAACACGAGTGAATTGGCTATCCAACACGTTGAAACGGGGAATCGCGGATGTCTTAACCATACCAATTTCTTCATGAAAGTGGCGGACAATATTTGCATGGTCAAATGCAAATATCTTTTTGGTCGCCCGTGCCAGTAGCTCTACTTCACGTTGTCTTTTGCTGTCATCGTGGTCCAGATATGGAACCTTAACGACCACGATTTTCCCGTTGTCAACTTGTTTCCCCAGGAGAACCTTTGCCTGGGCACTTTCACTTAATACGGTGGTAATTTCCGTGATAAAAGGGTTTTGATACGAAGCGCACGTTAAATCTGCCATTATTTCCAAGACTAACAGTGTGACATCAAGTAACAATTCAAAAGGTCCACCGCCAACTGTCGTGCAGTTACCGTCCTGTCTGCGTTAGTGTTTGCAAAGTGCCGACTATGAAGCATATATGTCCTTAAACTAGTTTCATTTATATGCCTCGCACGTTCAATAACAGCAAGTTTATTTTCCAAAAGCGATGTAATATAGATAGCAATCTGTGTCATGCACGTCGTCATCGTTAACCGCTGACGTCATTAAACAGATACTTCGACTAGTCTGATTTGTATGATGCCGTGCTTCGTTCGACCTTGCATGAGTGGCAACAAGTAGGATTATTTATGTGATAATATAGCTCGGCATTATTATAAAGAATGACACATACCGGATGCCACTATTCAATAATACCTCTTAGTAGCTTTACGAGTAGCTTGCATCCTATCTGACGTATCATTCCTGTTTGGAACTGAGTACTGACAGTAAAGCAATAAGTGCAATAAATGATAAGCACAGTTGGTGATTTTCTGGCACGACCATACTGTTACTAATCTTATCAACACCTTTTTCGTTGTTTCCGTTTTGACTTCCGCCGTCCACAACGATATAATTCAAAACCGCAATTATGCTATCAGCCCTTAAACCGTGCCACGCTTCCGGTCATTTCCGATTTTATTTATTATGGTTTCTCAAAGGGTGATCTCATTTTATGCCACTCTGAAGTCATACGCACATTGACTATACCATGCCAAACTTGTGCCGATGCACGGCACTTCACCCCGTTCATTCATTGCTACAGCGTGGCCGCGTAATTGAACAAGCACCCCCTTTATTAATAGCATTAAAACATCGAAAAAAGTCTGCTTAGCAGTAATAAGTTCATCTATTTACAAATAATGGTGCAAACACATGAACAACTGCACAGATTGCAGTAAGCATTCGTAAAATTAAAAATATAATACGGAATCGCTCGAGTGAACCTTCGACAAGATCAGTACAGTGTGTAATTTTTTCGGCATTTAGTAAACATTACTGATTACACTTGTGCACTGCAATGTGCATTACAAGTGCTCTTTATAAACCGCTGGCTGATAAATCAGTGCGTAAACATAGAGCACATCATGGCGAAAAGAAACGTCGGTTAAAACCGTACTACTCACACTGTAGCTGATAAAACATACTCCCGATCGATAAAGAGCAGCTGATCTTGGGAAGCGTTGAGTAAAGAGGAAACCGGAAGTTATAAATAACCATACAGTGGCGGTACAGCATTTACCGCGTGCCTTCTATGCACTTCATGCCCAGCGTATGGATCTCGCTCAACGCGTTCGCAGGTTTATCTGCTACTCTCAGTACTGTTAATGGTGTTCATACCTCCATTATGCAGTTGAACAATACCGTGAATGCAAAAGAATCCGAGGCGACCCAACTGATCTGTGTAGCTTATATTGCGGCGCCTGCGTTGATTTTTGAGGTGATCTATGCAGTCATAATCGTCTATGTGCTGTTATCCGCCAAACGTCTGAGGACCCCATTTTGCATGTACTTGGTAAACATTCTACTTTCCGGTATCGCTAATTCAATGCTACGATGCGCAGTGCAATGGCACATTATTGCCACCGGATTCGCTTCTGACCAGTCGGCATTCAGTGTCTTCTGGTGCGCAGCGGAAATATTCAGCGACTGGATCGTCGGTCCGCTGAGTGTTACGGCGCACATTCCCTTTGCCGTCAGTCGAGCCTGGGCTGTGACTTTTCCGCTGTCATACCGCAAGCTCCATAGCAAAAAAATCGCAGTAGCCACCTGTTTATTAATGCACATTTTCACATGTTTAATTCGTCTTCCACATTTTGTTTGGAGTGTCCAAAAGTTGCGAGTTGGCGATGGGCCTCAAGGTGTTATTCCTGCACATATTCACCATGTGATGTTTGTCTGTATAAAAGCTCTGTGGTTTGCAAGCTTTATCATCGTCTTCGGATCTCTACCGTACGTTTCCGTTATGCGACGCATCAAGAGAACGAGGATGCCTGGTAAGAAATACTTACATAATAACAATTGGCAGTAAGTATACTTATAACTTATAAGTATCGTAAGCATATATCTGTACGTTAATTTTTAAAAAAAACATTCCCGGCTAATGCTGCGTTTAAAAACATTGTTCCCGGCTTGTAAAGAAACACTAAAATTCGATTTTTAAATTGAAGCTTTTATCTATTATTTTTGTTTATTGCGCTGTCATGTAACAATTGGTCTACGCGTAGGTTTATTTGTTATTTGAGTGACAAAGTATGTTCTTATTTCAGTAGGCCGAATCGTGCAGCAACAACTGTCGGCCGGAGCCAACAGAATATACATGATCTCCACAATCATATGTTTTGTTATATGGATGCCAATTATTGTAGCAAACGAGTTTTTCCCTTTGGAGAAGGTGCTTATTGAAAGCATCATGCTGTTTGGCGGTTTGGGTCGGATGCTGCAGGCGACTTTATTTGCTTTATACTCGCCGTTGTCAAGGGAGGCGTTTTATTCAAAGCTGCGCAATATTGTCCCATGGTTTGCTACATGAATAACACGTATCTCCGGAAGAAGATCTCAAAGATTTTAAATCGTTCTGGTACCTTCGCTTTATCATTCCGTCTGAACAAGCTTAAATGTCATATCAAAATTATTATTACCAGAATTATTTAATTAAAATGATTAAGTACGTAACTTTGTGATTTAGAGCGTGATAAATTATGTATAACTTGATTTGCATGTACAATGACAGTCATATACTTCTACTGTATTGCCCGTTTGTATTCACAGTTCAAGGGTACATAAATTTTTAATAAATCTATCGACATGTAGATGTTCTAACTGCACGACCAGGTCCAAGGTACCTACAACGCTTAGCTTATAGTGTGTGTGGGAATTCAGATTTTACTACCACATGTGCAAAGGTTACTCCAAGGGTGTGCGTACAGATTTCACAGACTTTTAATTGTGTTCATGTGAAAGCAGTTCTTCAAATGACGGGACTGGAAGGCTGTTTACTTTTTTAATTAAGCTTTAGTGAACACTGGTGGAAAGTTCATGGAATACATAGGCATTGTCACATGGCTAACGTAGCCGGTTCGCGTGAAATTAAAGGATACCGGGATCGACGAAGGCGAACCCGTATTTTCTGTTTCATCCGGGCCAGAGTCATATACATACCACAAGATTCCATTCATATGAAGTTCACATTCTGCGCCCGATTTCAGACATACAATCGTCGCATTGCCATATCGTCCCATTAGCATAAACAATCCGGAAGCGCCATTTCGAGAAATTGTAAGACTTCCATGAACAGGATTTCGAAAGGTTCCCACATAATACTTTGGATCAATGGACGTCTTTTGACCCTCACTGGTGTCGGTTGCGTCATCACGTCCAGACGTACTTGGCGCGTTCCCGCATGTTGCATTCGAAGCATCGACAGGAGCAAGTTCCATAACAAGGTCAAATATTTTAAAATGGAGCAAGCGCATTATAGTCTCGGAAGAAGGCGTCATAGCAGCAAAAACAGTAATTATACTGACGTTTGCATCGGGATACATGGTAAGCAGGGTACTGTAACTTGTTACCGCTCCCGAATGCTCCATGTGCCGGTAACCTGGAAAATACACGTACACTATACGGTTATGGATGCGAAAATACTGTAGATTGGTCTCTAGATGCGAAAATACCTCTGTGCCGAGTTTCCATCCATCCTAAAGCGTACCCGGGATTGTACATAATTTCCTGGGAGTAGTCAAGCAATGTGAAGGTCTTGTTGCCCAAGTTCTGCACTCGAGGCTCTGTGGCATCTGCGCGTTTGTCAAACAAGGGAATTCGAGTCTTCCATGTGTTCTCTATAGATGCTCTGGAAACGATTTGTTTGGATTTGTAGCGGCCCCGATCTAGTAAGAACTGCATCCATACGATCATCGCTTTAGGGGTTAAGCAGATTGATCTACGAAAAAAAAAGTTTATCAAATACTCTCAACATGTGAGATCAGGGATGTTTTCAACGCGATTTCATTTCCATGAGCTCAAATTCTGACTTCCTTTTTAAATACCGCATTTTTTCAACTTAGCAGTTAATTATTCCCGTGCATTAAGTTTTCTGACATTTTAAGACAACCTTTTCAGAAGGTTAGAAGGCGTCTGATCCATTTGGAAAACTAAATAAAATTCTACCTGGATTACGAAAAATTTTGTAACCGGGGCGTGAACTGTTGAAATACGGTATGTAGTCAAATTTTCTCTACCCGGCTGGACCTCCTGGCTCGATTAGGGTAAACGTCTCCGGATCCAGTTCTTTGTATTGTCCATCAGTGGTAAAATGGTACGGCTTTGAGGTTCGTGAAACGAACTTCGAGTGATATCCAGAAAAATCAACGTCGTCGTTTATTTCCAATGGGTCAAGCAAATATAGCCGAGTCAAATTTTCCCACGATACAAACCTCTTTAGCAACTTCTCCGCCAAAATTTCCGTAAAGTAACCTAATACAGAGTATTCGCTTAGTAGAAACGAAAAAAAACCTTTGCAAATGTTGGTCACCTGCGGAAGCGTAGACATGATTGTTGTACTGCCATTTCTGCCTGTTTGCCGCAGAACGGGGAAGATTTGCTGCCACCCAAGCCAAATGCTTCCTAGTGGTATTTTTGGGATAGCCCACTGAGAACTGGCCGAACACTTCTAAATACATGAAAAGCGTTAGCGGTATACCTTATACGATACGCTTAAAGTTTTAGCTAGCCGATATCAACATACACATACATACTCTTTATGGCAAATTATACCTGGTAGACCTGTGCGATGAGACAAAATATCTTCCACAGTAATACCCATCAGTTGCGAGCCGGTAAAATTTAGGCTTGGGTCAAGATCTGTCACAAGCGTTTGTAATGAATACCTGAAATATTAAAACTTTGTACTTAATGGATCACGTGTGGAACATTAATCGACCCCCACCGGTAACCTTTCTCTTTTAACAAATCCAGTACATGCACCAGCAAGGTTGCTGTTACATGTTTTGTCACCGATCCAATACAGAATAGGGTGTTTTCGTCAGCGCGGATATTATTTTCCAAATCTTTGTAGTTGAACCCTTTGGCATAAATAAGGTTCCTTGTAAGTCGACTCGATCCAACTCTGTTCTTGGCGATGACTGCTACTCCAAAACCGCCGGACGTTTGGTTACATGCTGCTAATTCCTCGTCGACCATAGAAGTAATTTGGTAAGTCAGGTTAGCCGCATCTAGAACCGAGTCATCTGAGCAAACGCGGTAAAATAATCCAACCGCGATGGTGAGAACGTATATGAGGTTCGACAAATGCGCCATCCTGCTAAAATGGGAACGCTCTTGTTTCGGTTAGGTGGTAACAATTACTGTATCTACACGATATTAAGGGACAGAGAAATCCCCAGGACCGCCCGCACTAGGCGTCGGCTCTATTGATGTCAAAGGAACCGACAGCTAGTGCGGGCGGTCCTGGGTATTTCTCTGTCCCTTAATATCGTGTAAATACAGTACCAAAAGTTCTGGCTGTCCCCGGGTAATCTTAAAGCTATCTTATCAGAGTAATTTAATTTTTAAATAACTATTGTGACAATATATAACAGCTTCAGGATTTTGACTACCGATCACGTCCATATTGATCGTCATGGATGGAAAAATTTAAATGTTTAAAAAAATAGTGCGAGTATGCATACAAGCGCATCAAGTGTCCAACACAATACACACTACTATGAGTGGTACCTGTTTGTACTAGCAGACTAAAAGTATCGCAACCCGGCTTTTGATGCTTTAATTTGTTGGTTTACTTGAATCTTCAGTGTTTATTCACTGCATAATAAAATGCCGACATAGCAAATGCAAGAATTTCACAATATGTCAGCAAAATTGTTTTGAACTTGTTTGTATTTCAATTTTGTGCGTGCAGTGTCAATTTTGTGCATACATATCATTTTGTGCATACAAAGGTGAAATTGAGGATGCGGCGAACTGCTCTGTATGATAATAATTATATCACTTTATGCCTATGGTATTTGAGAGATACATGCAAAAATTTACTGTTTATTCGTGCAAACTAATTTACAGAGTATTAAGTAATTTGATGTTTTTCATTGTTTTGCATGCAACAAATTCACTGTTTATTCTTTAACAGGACTTCGAGTTGTCGTATGCGTAGAGTGCTTTTTGGGAAAGATGCTTCAACATGCTGTAATTTAGGAGATTCGAAAAAACAGCTCAAGAACGTAAAAAAACGAGTCCAGATAAAACGGAATGCCATATAGAGTGTCCTTACAAAAAGACAGCACACCGAAATTTTACTAATGGTAGTACAAGCCATAATTGAAGTGACGAGTAAGGTTTAACAATCTGCCATGCTAGAAATTATTGAAAGTCGACATGTAAAATGGATTTGACGTAGGCAGACATGCGGCACGTAGTGATAGTCTGGAGCTGGCCAGCACATGGTAATGGAGTAGCTACATGCAGTTAAAGTCGTATTGTCGGCAGAAGCCAGTATGTGGTTATCTCATATTCCCCCTTTACTGCTTGGCGTGCTCTTGATTCAACAGAGAACTGGTTGAAATGCTCCAAAAGAAGTTTGCTCTCTGGACTCAAGTGAACGTGACCGGGCAGACCATGCCTGCACATCCTGGAAGCAACGTTCACGGTGTCCCCGAACCTATTTAACAACCCAAACGTCCTTTTATGTAAGGTTCACGGTAATGTTGGAACAGTGGAGTTAGTGTCTTGAAATCACATTCAGATTTTTTTAAAATTTTAAATCACAAATTATTTTCAGTTTGTTTGAACCACATACAGTGGTAGAACATTAGCAAAATCAACGCCGATGTTGGTATAAGTAGTTATGCAAGAGTCTTGTTTTCTTTTTATTATGGTAAAGTTAGGTTAGTTAGCATACAGACAATAGCGGGGTCGTTTTGATCCCATCAATCCCGCTACGCAAGGACCTAAAATGACAAAGATCCATTCAACTCGCAGTCAAATTGAAAATCATTACAAACCTACCAGAATGAATACCGATCTTGATCTGCAAATCTATCAGAACGGTCAACTGTGGATAGCTATCCAGCAGTCTTACTGCAAACGTTGCAGCCCTTTCAATATGATTATTTCCAATTCTTTCTGGGAATCCGCTTGCTAGCTACAAAATTCTGCCACTTATACGAGTCATGCCAAGGGTCCTTCAACGTTCAGTCAACTGCAGCTCCGCATTTTCATTTACCATGAAGGATTCCATGATTGCTACCACTTTGTACACGCCGCATTCCTTTGACAACGTATCGATATGGGCCAATGTCAAAAGTAAGAAAGAACTTTTGGAAGAAAGAACTTTTATGAGGCCAAAAGTAAGAAAGAAGTTTTAGAAGAAAGAAGTTTTCTTAGGTCAATAGTAAGAAAGAAATTTCTCCAGTCAAAAGTAAGAAAGAAATTTTGTTATTGCCAATTTATTATGTACAACACAAATTAAATTTATTAACTCTGTTATGCAGATTACATGCGCAATACATTACGCGCTTTCCCTGAAACGTGTATTGCTGACTGGCTCACTAGAACGAGCGGGAAGCAAGGCGATATCAAAGCGGCAGATACCACGCTGAATAAAGTATTCTTGCGGTGACACTCAGGTGTGATCTGGTCTGATTCCTTATTATCATCCGCAAAACAACAAATTTTTCCAGTCTAGACCAGTATCTGTACAGCTGACGGGCACGCGGGCACTGGTCTGTTCTCTCCCGGCGTAGATAGCACAATCGTTACGCAAAGACGCGATGCACCTGTGCGTGTGTGTGCAATGCAATCCATAAAGTCTGCAGATGCAAAGCCGTTTCTTGTGCAGCCAAAATTTGACAATGAAAGCCAAAATTTGACAATGAAATTTGCTGAGATTCTTTGTTGCCTTTTTAAACCTATGTTTGGAAACATCCTGGAGATCACCAAGGGATAGTTTTACATTATGTAGCATTCGCTCCGCAATGGCTAACATGGAGCAAGGCTATGAAACTGAAGATGCAAGCAGCGACGAAGACGCATATCCGGCGTAAGAAATTTGTGCTAATATGCCACTTATTTTGTTTTTTATTTCTATTATGGCGCTTTTTGCAACCGCATCTTTGGTTCGATACATAACTTTTATTTTCTTGCAATATGTTTCATATGTGATTGTAATTATATAGATATAACGTACGTATACTACATACTACCTGTACTACTTTTCATATGTGAATAATGTGATTGTAAATTGTAATTATATGACGTACGTATACTACAAGTACATACGACGTATACGTATACTAATTGTAAGAAGTATTGTACATAAAATATACTAATTGTAAGAAGTATTGTACATAAAATATACCTATTTGCGGTGATGTGAGTTTTCCCAGTGTTTCAAATCTGTGCACTGAGTAAATTACGAGTAATACAGTTTTCTGAGTAAATTAATATTATAGAAGTGTATACACAATGCAGGCTAAATTTTTTATTAAATGCAAACTTATATGATATGAGCTTTCTGTTCCTAAATTGTTAGCCAAGATAGTGCTAGACGCAAAGCTGTCCGATCAAACATCAGCATTCAAAATGAAAACAGCAACTGTCCCTCTACATCCAAGTTTCCCATTTCTGAAAGCTGCCCAGCACCTGGTGCTTCTAACAGAGCGGACCTCGCTGCGCTTCCCTCCACATCAGCACCAAAACGAATGGAAATCGCAAACAGGAGAAACTCGTAAGAGAATTATTATTATTATTGTTGTTAATATTAATATAAATTATCAAAAGAAAGGCTACCATTACTTAACCTTTTGATAAATTTAACTGCCATTTAATTTATGTCGATTCTGCGTGCGCGGGAAAACACGTTTGTTGGCTGGGTGCACGGAGTTCGGACATTGGCGTTGGCAGTGTCACACTGCCAGTGTGCACGGGTGACCTTTTTGAGTTCGCACGGATGTTGACTATGTGCGCGGCCTTTTTAATTGTTTTATGACATTTAGTTTCCAAGGTTTTATGCAATCACAACAGGTTTTTCGACCGTTTTCTGACTTCCGGTAGTTTTATGCAGAAATTGTCACGTGGTTATATTACACAGAAATGGCTATATTACAAAAAGTTTCATTGAAAAAGTGTTATATAAATTCTCACGTCTTCAATTCTTCATGCTAGTGAGGATGCTGCTGGAAAACCGGCTGGACATATTGAAGTGGTCACCGTCAGCGACAGCGAAGAAGATAACTCCACCGACCCGAAAAAATGCCGGTAACTTTGCAAACATATTTAAGACTTGTTTTGTATGCGTTTTTGCAGACAGCGTTTTTGCACACACATAAGCTGTTTTAACATAACTTTTGAATGAAGCGTTTGTGACCATATATATAACAAATTTTGTACGCTATATACGTATGCTCCAAGACTATGTCATACAGGGTATTTTCAGAAATGTGTCAACTGATTAAATAATTTGTTTATAAATTCTGCTTCAGCTTTGGCAGCCTGTGGTATTTCAAGCCTCACTCCACTATGACCAATAAAGAACGTCGCACTTTCTGTAAGGATCTTCTGAACCGTGATTATGATCCACCAAATCAATGGCCGTTCGATCCGTTGCGGACAATTCCGATGGCCTTTCAAAACGCAGAAAGTGACGGGATATTTTTGGTAAAGCCTGGCAAAAAAGATACCCGTACGATTTTACGGCCTGACGGTGCTGGCGGCTGGAAACAAGATAGATGTCATGAAGTTGGCAATCTATCCACCACATACTATCGCAATTCCACTTGCCCGGCATTCCGCAAACTGACCTACGTTGATCCGACCAAACGCGTGGTGGTAATCGAGTTCAGATGGGAACCCGGCGAACGACCGAAATCCTTTATTGTGCCGCCCCATGGTAATTCCAATATCGAGCTACCGTTCAACGGTACCACCGCAATCGCAAAGGAAGAAATCACAGTCGCTCTTGACAATAATAAGTTTTCGCGCAATGACGAAATTATGGAGACTGCAAAGAAATCTGCATCAGAAGGGAGCTGCAATCCCATGTCCCTCCCGCGCGATAAGTCGCAAGTGAAACGGGTAAAGGTCACCTTAAAGAAATCGAAATGGCGGATCTCATGAGCAAGCTATGCATGGAGGACGACGTGTTTTTCCATTGTGCGGCAATCGCTCAACGGAGTGACGGGAAAAAGAACATGGTTCCAGTTGTGTGTGCGCTGTCGCAGTCACTACTTATGAAATCCTTCGTGCTCCCAGGCAAGTAATCACATCGACTTAAAAATTTATAGATTTAGTCATAATTTTATTAGAAAGTCCAAAACAAACAGCATGGCTAAAATTCTTTCACTATAGATATAAAGGGTGCATGTTGTAGAAAAGGGCAATTTTGTACACGTTAAATTTTTTATAATTTTGCGTTCGCAGTGCCTTACGGTTTTCCTTGCGTACTTCACATCACACATGTATCCTTAAACGTTTTGACTTCGTTTTTTTCATCGACGTGTTCTATTGCCTTTACGTATCTCACATGTATACGAGAATTATTCCGCTAAATCTAAGTGCGCAAAGCGGCAGGGTTGGGGTCTGGAAAAAACCTAAGAAACCTAAGAAAACCTAAGAAACCTAAGAAAACCCAAGAAACCTAAAGAAAACATTATAAACTTAAGAAACCTAACCGGATACAGGAGGAGTACAAGAAAGATAATTAATCTTAATTAACTTTTGTTACTGCGCTTTGTAGGATTCGATGGGCAACACGTATTCAGTCCATTGATCATCGATGTTGTCCATAACATTGGAGAATATTACGTGATGACCTTAGCCATACAACATCCCTATCTCCGCAGAAAAGAAACACCACCTGTTGCTGCTCAACTTTCCGAATCGGCTAAACTCAGAGGGTTTGGGAATGCCGTTATCGTAGTCGGCACGGCTATAATGAAGAGCTTGTTCGCAGCAGAAATGCAGGCTGGCCTGTATACGATACTGGAGAGATACCAGCGAGAATGCACCGAAAACAGTGACATCTTTACTCAATGGTCTCCTACGGTAGTGTGCGACGATGACGCAGCACTGCGGAAAGCAATCCGTGCTTTACTCCCAAATGCCAAAATTTTGACGTGTTTTCTCCATTTAAAAGATAATTTCAAGCATCACATGAAGAAAGAACTCAAGCTGGACGAAGCTGCTATCAAAAAAGTACTTGCGATTTTCTTCGGGAGTGCTGCTTCCGGTAGTGATGCTTACGAGAAAGGTGTGATTGACAGCGACTCTGAACAGGAACTAAATGCCAAAGTTGCAGAAGAAACGCCACAGCTATCAAGCATTCACCCCGGCATTTTGGCATACTACGAAAAGAACAAGAAACAAAAATTTCTGCAGCATGCGTTACTGCCAGTGCGTAAAGCGGCAGGGTTCGGGTCTGATCATGTGACCAACAACGTTGCCGAGTCAGCTAACAATGAGCTGAAGGATAAGCTGAAAGGTTTCCCGAAACCCCAGGTGACGCTTTTGGATATTACTGGTCATATTAAATCTCTTGTGCGCCGGCAAGAGATGTACATCGCTGAGGCAATAATCGGTGAGTTTACAAATGGAATAGTAAGCTGCGAAACAACATATTAGATTTAGCGATAATAAAATAAAATGTATACACTTGAAATGAAGATATACACACGTAAGATAATATGCCGTTGAACAATAATATAAACATTTCCTCAAAGTAAATTAACCAGGTCTTTTAGCATTAATATAAGTATTATTTTCATGCAGAGTTGTTACTTTCTTGCAGGATGTGGCGAATTTGTCTTTACTCAGACCTCGCCCTGTTCTGCAGCCACTGTTGCTGTGCTCGACGACGAAATTCTGTACAACACTTATATTTGCATGCTCTTCGGTGGTAGTTTAGACCGTGACCCATTGTCTGACCGTCGCTACAAGTTGGTTCATCCTGGTAACGATAACACCATAAAGTTTCAAGTGTCCTTTGATAAGTCCCTGCTATCTGTGGATCTGCAGCCGTTTTGGAAAGCAGCCTATCAACTGGTGAATACCGAAAAAATCCATCCTGCACCAGCAAAAATGGGAAATAATGTTTTCCTAGCCGAAGACGCTAACGGAGCAATGCAAAAAGTGAAGTGGTCAAGTGACGATACTGCCGATTGTACATGCGCGATTTTCAAAAAGAAGAGGTTCTGTGCCGATGTTCTCGCAGTTTCGCATATTACGCAGAGAATGCCAGAGTTTCTCGAAAAGTTTCGTAATGCACTTCCTCCATTTCAAGCCGTTATAGAACCGACCTCAAACGCCAGAGGTAGAAAAGTGGGAGTCAAGCGGAAAGCCGACAGGAAGCTGTCTAAAGGGGCCACACTTCGATCCGGCCGGTGGAAAGCAAACACTTCTAGAACTGTTTTGAAGCGGTGTCACAATGAGATTTCGGTAACTTTTCTAGCAACCAGCATTCATAATTTTTAAATAATAATAGTTCTGGCTTTTAGTTATATTAAAGTAAGTTCAAAAGAAATATAGCGACAGATTATTCATTACATTTACAGGATGCAGATACCGAGGAAGAAGTTCAAGTTATTGGCAGTCAACATGCTGAAACAAATGCGAAAAAGGTTGGTCATTCTGCTAATGGTGGTGGTAATACAATACTCTAATAGACTTTACATTTTTTTCAATTTACAAACACATTAACTATTTAGAACCGTATCGCAACAGTTAAAGGTCATCATTAAAGTGACCGCAAATATTGTTGCATGATACGAATAATTATATGTACTGTTCGTACTAATGGGTGTTATACTGTACTATTTTATAGACGATTGGAAAAAAAATCAAGATTCAAGGAAACGAAGAAACTGCGGTAACGTCTTGTTATAGTTATTTCCATCACTCACTAATCAGTACGATTATACGACTACATTACGTTTTCGATATACGACTGGTTCAACTCACTTTAAGTGCACGTACTCTGTAACCTTACCAGGGTACATGCAGCCTTCGGATTCAGAAAAACTTACCATTTGTAAAAACGCTGTAAGCCATCCCGTGATTATGGTATTATGAAGTACTGTACTATTATCATAAAGGTTAGATTTTTTTTAATTGGATCCTGATTATGTGCCCTGGTTAGTCAAATAATTTTTTAATCTTAATATGCACCATATTTGTTTCAAAATTAAACTTAGTGATTGATACATGCGTTGTCCGGTTTAATTGACAGCATCCGCAGCAGCAGCAACTGGAGGACCTTTGCATGATGGAGGAAAAAATTAAACGAGAGCAATCTCCTGGTAAGCTGACATTAATAATGGAGAAAAAGCGAAAAGCAAACCGTCTGTTTAAAAAACGATTTGATACTTTCACAGAACCTTGTCCTTGCTGCAAGGGAATTAAGCGCCTTAGTCCATGGCAGAAAGGAAACAGTCGCTTCCGCATTACGAAGGATGCTGATATCCATTTCAACTCCAAGTGTCCTGGGTGTGGCAAGAAATTTACCGAAAATCCACCAGCTTTGAATATCATCGTAGTGCGCGAAGAGTTTGAATATATCAGTGGTAGCAACCGCCAATCGGTTACCGAGGCAGCTAAACCGCGAAAGTACTGTTTACGCGCGGCCTGCATAAAAAGACGTCACCCGAATTTTACCACCCTGTTCGCAAACAATTTGGATAAATCCATCCAATTCAGCCAAGAAGAGCTGCAATTAATCGCTAAGTTCCGCCGAGAAACTTAGCCGGCATCTTATCTTGTACGACTCATTGTGACCGTATGCAGTGCGGCAGTGCCACGTTTTTACGTTTCGATTGTGCGAAAGTGCCACGGCTGTTTTTCCGTTGTTCATTTTTTAGTGTCGTTACTTCGGCTGTTTTTTCGTGGTTCATTTCTTGTGGTGTCGTTACTTCATTTTGTACTTTTTTTATTCATGCATAGACAAGTTTAGCGGACGCAATCATTCTCACTTTTTACCATTTTTTAATCTGGTTTTAAGCAGTTTGTTAGCGAATGGGTTTTGTCAGCTAAAAAACATTTTAACTGTTTTGGTGTGTTTAGGTTCTGGTTAGAATAAAAGTTTTTGCAGCAATACATTTTTGTCAGCAATACATTGCAGCAGCTATAACAAAAATTTCTTTCTTACTTTTGACTGGGGAAATTTCTTTCTTACTATTGACCTAAGAAAACTTCTTTCTTCTAAAACTTCTTTCTTACTTTTGACCACATAAAAGTTCTTTCTTCCAAAAGTTCTTTCTTACTTTTGACATTGGCCTCGATAGGGGCTTCGGTGGCTGATATCAGACTGATCGCCATTTGTGTTTGCTGGACGTTAACGAAGTCATTGAATCCATACAGATCAAGAAACATGATTGTCACACAATCATAAAACTCGGGCAAAACCTTTTCTCCAGCTCGCAGCGTCTTGGCTACAGATCTGCCCAATAGCAGGCATATTTAAGACTAAAAAAAATTCACACGAAAAACTAAACTATTTATTTTGCATATACAGTACCGTGGTAGCAGCCGGTCGATGATACCATTGCATTTATCCGTTTCCTTTTTCAGTTCATTAGTTCTGTCTTTTACTTGCCGCTCTAAATCGGCTGCATAATCTTCCAAGCCTACGCAAATATTGTCGGTAAGATTGATTTTTCGTTGTCTTATGGCCAGGAGAGGATTTATGGCAGCCAGCGCGTGACGAAGGATTTCTATACTGGGTCGCTGATTTGCGTCCAAGCTGATGCACGATCGAAGAACGTTTTCGAAATCAGGTACACTTGAAAACGTCACCATTTCGGAAATACTGTGGAGATTAGGAATTTCTGTAAAGTGGATTACTATGGTTGCTGGTCACCGACTGGAACTACTAACTATAACGCAAGACCGTATGTCAACGAAGCCGACGCAAAGTGCAAGCGGTTCAGAAAATTTCATTGAATCTTACTATCATGTAATAATTATAGTATAACTTACCTTCGGTAAATCCTTGAATCTTGGCAAAAAACTTTCCCGTAGTCAAGATATCGTATATGATGAGACCGGACGAGTAAATATCAACTGACTGCATCGAGTTGCTGTCAGAAGGGACCGTTGATTCTGACGCAGTCCAGTAGAGAGACTCCCAAAGGACATTCTGGCACAAGACTCGACCCAACAAGTCAAAATGCTGATTCGTCCATGAAATTGCAAGGAGGAAGAATGAAGGTATTGTACTGCCTGCAACAACCAAAACTCTTGTCTTTTGAAGACAAGGCAGTCGTCAACGCGTAACAGCATACTTCTAGATAGTCCAAAATGAGCGAACTTATTAAAGCCACATTTCTGCTGACGCAACTGCCAAAAATGTCAGGCAAAGGGCCTCTTGGCGGTGATTCTATTACGGCCGAAATCCAGTGCATGTCTGTGGACGCATTGGTTATAGCCAGTCCCAAAAACTGGCAGATATTGATGTGCTCGATTTTCCTTATCTGCAAACAAAACGTGTGTAAAACGCAGAACAGTGTATGCTACTTAATCGCGATGTGATTTTCACAACCAATCTATAGTGCGCCTGCGCTCTGGTGTATGACTACCGTATGTGTGAGTATGAGTGAGAAAACAACGCGTACTAAGAGTCCAATAAGACAACCATAAAGTGCCGTGTACGTATTCACTTAAAACGTCACACTTACCTGCCGTAACACAAACACCAGTTTCTTGCTAAAGGAAATATCGGTAAAATGGACGGCGCAGCTTCTACCACACACCTTCCATCCCATGACCGGCTTATGTTTATGGGATCCAAAAACAACTGCGCTACACAAGCTCTGTTAGAATACGGAAGATTGTAAAACCTGCATGTGGGACAACGAAGAAAGTAGCTTATGGCCTTACCCGCGAACCCCTTGTTGTAATGGGATGGATGCTGGGGTCAGCGGGGACATCTTCTAAACTTTGATGTAAATGAATTTGCCACCATGGGTCAGAAAGCAGCCAACGTTTAGTTGTGGACCTTTTGAGGTTAAAAAAAAGTTGAACTTTGCGGCTTTTGGTGGTGAATTACGAACAGTGTAATTACAGGTTAATCCAAGCATAATTACATGGTCCCTTGCCAGTTCGAGACCGATTTGGATACGGACAAGCTTTAGTCGACCGAAGCGTAGCGAAGGTCCTCTATGTTCAGAATTAATGGGAAGCGTGATGTCCGTTCGTCTGTCACCGCCACCAAATGCACATATGCACGGTAGCATTGGGAAGAGACGCACCAATGCGCGGTGGCTGTATATACTCACACCCCATGTAACTGGCGATGTCCGTTCTTCGAGCGCCGCCACCAAATGCACACATGCACGATAACATTGGGAAGAGATCAGAGCATTGGGAAGGTAACCGACAGAACCATCCGTCGGCTCAGGGAAAAATCTGTACGTAGGTTTTGCTCTTCCAGGATTTTGTAATAACGTTGATAAGTTTACTGTCCTGTCAACGTTGCCCCCTCCCTTGCCCCCTCAAGGCTACCGATCACAGATGTTGACCATTCTTCAAAACAAGAAGTTGTAATGGCAGAGTAAGTGGACCCACCCTCTCCTCTTCGCGGCTTTGCCGGAATGAATTCTTATTTTGTCGTAGTGTATGGTCTGAACTGCATCAGTTTTAAAGGAACCGGACTGGCAAAAACGCCCAGCAGACATTTTTGCTGTCTCCTCCTTTATGCGATCGCTAGAACGGCAACTCGTTGGCCAGCATGGTAATTAAAATTACTGAGACGACTGCCCTCAGTAAAGAATAATGGGTGACCTTAGTGACCCTTCCTGCTACTGCTTAACAAAACTGATAACATCACAGAATTATTCAAGACGGGGTTGTTCTTCCTGGGTAACCGTAAAAAAAGCACTGATCCCGAGTAGAAAAGTTTGTCTAGCAGGAAGACAATATTTCTAAAGTAAAACAACATTATATCTGTTTGGTACTGCAAAAGTTACATTTAAATAAAACCGTTCGATTGCGAAAACGCAGTCAATAGAGCAGTGGACGGGTTTTTCTGTTAGATGGCTTTCCCGATTCCATTAGTAATTTGGTAGTGCTGCTCTGTTGAGAGTTGAAAATAGCTTTATTAAGAGGCTCGACCCAAACTGTTATAATTTAGGCACATATTCCTGCTACGCTTCGGTCATGCAGTGCCCGCAAAAAGCGAGCGCACTTTCCTAGTTATTTACTTGCTAGAAAAATTTCGCAGCCGTAGAAAAGCAGCACTAACATATTAAATCAAGTATGCTTCTGATTTTGAAAGGTCATCCGCTCATGGTTGTATTTTAATTGCCGCGAGCAAAGATGATCTTTCACCGTTTTCGTATCAAATATGTATTTTATTATTGGCTAAGAATCACTAACACGACGTATCCCGATGCAGTTAAAACTCCCATAACCGCTAACGATATCGGCCAAGAAATGGACAAAATTGTTGATTTAATATCGCCTACAATAACAACTGACTAGGATCACATACTACGAATCCACAAAATACGTTGCAGTCCTGCAGAATAAAAAAGTTTGAGAAGTGCCCGTTACCTGGTGTGCGACACAGTAGACTTTGATTTATATATCCACACAGTGGTTCGTTGGGAGGAGGAAAAGTTGCGTTATTGGCCCATGTCAACAAATGCGTTATCTCGACCAATTCTTCGGTGTTGCCGAACTTTTGCAACAATCCCTGTGCAGTGCATTGTAAACATGGTACATTGTACGAGAACATATGCGTATACGCAGCTCCAGAAGCATTACTTTGTATTAAGTTAAAGTAAATACCATGCGGTTGCCGTTGGTGTCAAAAAAGGATACGGTGATATCAGTGCGTCTTTGTCCGTCACTGTCGATATACATGGTGTTACCAACATCATCTCTGAAGGTGCGGTTGGTTAACAGGTGCGCTAAAACCGAACCGCTCCAATCTGGCCTTTTGTTTTTCACCAAAGTATCGTTGATCACCTGAGAATTAGTACACTTTCTAAATGATTTGCACTCCCGGTATTCTCGCTGTCGACATTTTGGAAGTGTCGCAAAAACTATTATCCTGGTTAGAGACTTTACCTCCGCAAGGGCAAAAACTGTCGTGTAGGCAGAGGCTATCAGGATGTACGGCTACCAAAAAACGTAACAGCAAGCGCGTAAAGGATAATTGGAGTACTGCGGTTTTTAGATCTTAAACGCGACAACCACGTGGCACATCCCTACCTGAGTAGATAATGGATAAATGTAATTAAAATCTCGCTCTGTGCGCCGCAGGAAGTGCTTCCCGAGCTGCATCTTTGCCAAGTCATTTTGAGTATTTTCGCTTGGGTGAAGGATTAGCACCGACTGCAGCGACTGTAAAACGGCCTAATGCCGAGAGGGTAATCTGTTAATCTTGTGTTCTACTACAGCTTAGGACGAAATGGTCGCATACCCAACATCTCCACATTCAGTACGCATGCAGCACACTGCACTGTACGACTGAGTTCAAAATATCCGTTTCGTACAAGTGCACTGCACCGCTTGCGTACAGAATGCTGGGTATGGGGCTATGCGACCATTTTGTCCTACATTGTACGTGCGTACTTGATCAATATTAGTAATAATAAATAATGGTTATAATTAATTTCTTGCCTTCGTGCAACCGAGCCTTGCCGGTTCACAGCAGCACTACGTAGTGGACAATGATCGAAATAAAAGAAAAGGCAAGAAGGAGAACCCTTTCGTAAGAAATATTCGGCAGAGAATACAGTCATGCTTCATATGATACAAATCAACGGAGTACCAAACACGTTGTATACCTGATCCTTATTATCTATATTCTGCCAGCGTGATGGAAGGAAAGGATTAATTTCTACCAGGATATACACCTGCAATAATTTAGTTATTCACGAATAAAGTAAGACTTTTATTTACAGGTGTGTTGTCACAAAGTTTAGACTTGTATGGTAACCCGTAAACCAGCTCATACGTATTCTCCATTTGTCATGTTCAGCAGATAGGTGGTATGCTGCAAAAATTTGTTAAATTTTATAACAGAAAAGTTCTTAAGATAAATGAAATCAAAAATTAAACCGGACAATGTTTTCTTACCAGAAATTCGCGCAAAGCCGAACCGCCGCCAAAATACAGTAAAACTACGAGAGATATTAGCAGTATGTTCAAGCTAAGATGGCAAAATTACTGTAAATACAGTACTGTTACTGTTCTGCAGGCTAGCTAAATTGTCCTGTACATGCAACTGTAATAACTTTCTGTGTTATTTTAATTTGTACGTTATTATAATATAAGTAGCGACTTGGCAGAATTGCAAAACTTCCATTGCTAAGAGGGTATGGGAAATTAGCAACTGTAATCACAATCACTCACTTCTGCTGCTGGCACGAATTTTTTTCAATAAAGGTGCGAATTCACCAAAGCCCGCATCTATCTTTGTATCAATATATCGGATAGCATACGTTACACGCTTTTGAACCTGGAGTAAAGCGAGAACCATTGAGCCCAGCTCAGAATAAAAAGGAGGAGAGCCTTCATCGATCACCACAGTAATGGATGTCCAGTTATATTTGTTTAAAATGTTGATATACAATTCCGCATATTCCAACAAATGGAAACAATTTGTGGATATCCACGTTGGTTGCCCGTATAAAAACTGTTTGCGCTTTTTTGGGCTGGCGTTTTCCCTAATAACGAACCAAAATTAAAGGATGCGGGAATACTTAACCTGTATTAATTCAGGTACGTGGCAATCAACAACGTATTCCACTGAGCTTGTAAATAAATCATCTCTAAAGTTCCAGTGTATTCTGTGAAACAACACAATAATGAATAATACAATTTCAGGATTGGAAATCATTTTGCGAACAATCTTCGTCTCTTACCTGGTGAGAGGTATATAGTAAGGTCGTGTTCGTTCCTTTCCTCGTAGTGCCACTGAGCTAGCTCAACAATAAGATTGTCTTGAAGATATGTGCACGTTCGGTCTCCAATAAAATGGAGACTGAAGTTTAGTGTTCCGGCATAAATGCCTTGCACACGATCAACGGCTAAAGAAAACCCTGGTCCAGAGTATGGTAAAGCCGCATAATCGCAGTACGTAGCGTTGCTGCCTATAGCAACCAGGCTAACATTTAGAAGAGTGCCATTTGTCTTATAACTGGAATTCGACAGAGGTGATATCTGCTTGTGGGTTTCCGCCAGAGCAACAAGATGAGCAAAAATTAGAGCCAACGAAAACATTTTCACGAACGGATTGATTGAGTTATTAGTTGTGTCCTTCTTAATCACGAGACATTGACATAAGTTTATCAATGAACTCGTATGGGAAATGGTACGTATTGGGCCTGTGGATGATTAAAAAGGGAAGATTTTGCTTAAAGTCATTGTTTCACGCGGTAATTTTTCAACCTGCTGTTGATTGGCAAAACAAGTAGTGGCAACTGCTGTTGATTGGCAAAACAAGCATACATATACATAATATAACGTAATAATAATTGGCCAATTTGGTTTTAACGTGTACAGGTCCGTTCAACACTTGAATTTCCAGTGCTCCCGGATCTACCAGGAGCAATTATACAATTACACTTAAGGCTTCGAACCACTTATAATATTCAGACCGGAAATCCTTCGCATGACCGCGGAACTCAGGAAGCAGACTCTAAAGGAAACCGGCGAGCTACGGACGAAAAAATTTGTTTTTGCACAGAAGATTTACATCGAAATCCGACGCGAGAAGGCGGAATCATTCATGGAAACGGTACCAGGTTTGACCAATTTACAGTAAACATTTCTTACTAATGGGACGCAGTTTGACGTTGTTATCCGTTGTGGTTCTATGGTGCGTGCAGCCTTCGATTGTTGAAAAACAAGTAACGGTAAAGCACTCACAAATTAGAATGAATAGCACGTTTTCAAAAAGTGAAGGCACCAAAGAAAACAAACCAAGGTGAGTAAAAAAATTAAAAAGAAAGGTAACTGCATAATAAAAACACAGACAACAAAAGTCGTGCGAATACATCGCTCTTCAGCAAGCAAAAGAGAGCGAATAGATGAACTGCCAAGGATAGCGGCTGATACACTGTTACTGCACTTAATTCACCAACAGGAAGCAGGACGCTTCTGGCTCGTGACGCCGACTTCCGCCTGAATGTACTCAAACACGGTTTCACACAACACGCACTCATGAGCCCCTTAATCGGTTATCATTCAGAATCGGATCAGGAAGTGCATGTAGAGTTGCTTCTTCGTTGCGCCTGAAGCGCCAGAGCTAGAAAACATTAATTTCAAATTTTGAATTAAATTTTAATTTTTGAAATTTATTTAATAATTATGAAAACATTTATGGAAACCTGATTCGGTGTAAAAGCGATGGTAATGTTGTTTTCATAAAAAATTCGAAGAGGATCGGTTTATAATGAGACTTTTGGAACACCTCCGAGTGCGCTTAAACTTTTGGAATTCACCGATAACTTCCATCGGATGCTGCGCTCATAAACGGTTTTCCCGCCAATGTACAAATCATTTGGCTATAGAATGTCATAAAGCAGTGTATAAAAGTATTTTAGATTGCGCGAAAGTGAAAATTTAAGCATATGTTCCCGAACTCGGTTCCATGCACCGGCACACGCTCCTTAAGTTGGTGGTCAGGCCTGGGATCCTTTTTCTACCGGTCCTGTCAGAACGTCACAAGCTGCACGTTCACCGCGCTGCAGCCACCAAACACAATCCTGTTACTTACAAAAAAACAATAGTGTGCAGACCTGAAGTATCAAAAGCGAAGCCGACTTCTGACCTTTAGTATATTGGTTCATTCGATTTTTCAGTGTTTAATCATCAAGCTGGCGACATAGCAAATGGAAGATTTTCACAAACGTGTCAGCAAGATGGCTTTGAATTTGTTTGTTTGTATTCAAGTTCTCGGCATACAGTGTCAACATCATGTGCCATCCACTTGAAAATAGAATAATCAATATTTTATATTTTTGGCATTTTACAGATACAGAGTGTATGCAAAAAATTTACGAATGAATAAAACGCTTTTGGGAAAGCATGCGTCAACACGCCTAATTTCAAAAGCGTCGAGATCGACAATCTCAAGAACATAAAAACTGAGTCCAGCTGACAAAGGGAAATGAATGCCACGTTCCCTTAACAAAAGACAACGCATGACCGAAAATTTTACTACGTAATTAAAATGGTAAATGCAAGCAATAATCAGAGTAGGAGTAGGTAGTGACGTAGTGTCCAACAATCTCGAATGCCAGAAAATGGTAGAAGTCGACTTATGAAATGGATTCGACGTAAATACATAGACAATATGCGGTAGATAGTAATATGACTGGCCAGCACATATGCATGCTGCATGGTAGTCCAAAAGCAATGTAAAAGTTAGCGCAGTAACGCCGGCAAAAGCCAGTATGTGGTCATCTCGTATTTCCCCTTTATTGCTTGGCGTCCTCGTGATTCAACAGAGAATTGTTCGAACTGTTCCAAAAGGAGTTGGCTCTCTGGACTCAGGTGAATGTGGTTGGGCAGACCATGGCTACACATCCTGGAAGCCACGTTAACGGTGTCACCGAACCTGTCAAATAATCAAACCCTCTTTAAATGGTTCACGGTAACGCTTAAAGTTTTGAACAGTACTTTATGTTTAATTTTATACGGTCACAAATAGTGAGGAAATCTTAGTAACGATATCGTATTCCTAAATTGTTATAAATGCTAGGTGAACGCTTGCTTACAGACAGTAACGTGGTCGCTTTGATCCCATCAGGCCCGCTGCGCATGGACCTAAATAACAGAGATCTATTTAATTCACAGTCAACTTTGGAAAATTAATATCGCAGTCTCACCAGAATGAATACCGATCTTGAGCTGCAGATTTAACAGAAAAGCCAAGTGTGGGTGACTATCCAACAGTTTAAGCGCAAACGTTGCTATCCGCTCAATATGATTTTTGCCAATTCTTTCCGGTAGTCCGCTTGCTAGCTGCAAAAAAGACTGGTACATACTTGTATTTTCCACATACACACGTTTTGCGAAGGTTTTTTAATCAGCTGCCGGTCCGTATCAATATCTTGAGTTACCATGAACGAATCCATGACTGCTTCCACTTTATACACCTCGCATTCCATTGACAGTTTATCGATATGGGCTTCGGTTGATGATATTAGATCAATCGTCGTTTGGGGTTGTTGGATTTTAATGAAGTCACCGAATCCATGCAGATCAGTAAACATAATTGTCACACAGTCATAAAACTCTGGTAAAAGCTTTTCTCCAACTCGCAGCTGCTTGGCTACAGATCTGCCCAATGAGGTGCATCTTACCGCTAGACGAAGTCGCATTAAGCACAACTATGCATTTGTAGGAACGTACTACGTAGTGGTACATACGCTTACCCTGGTAAAATCTGGTTTATGATAGCATCGCATTTATTCATCTCCTCTTCCAGTTCATGAGTTCTGACTGCCACTTGTCGCTCTAAATTGGCTGAATAATCTTCCAGACCAGCGCAAATTTTGTCGATAAGACTAATTTTTTGTTTCCTTACAGCCAGTATAGGACTAATGTCAGCCAGCATCACACAGAGGGTTTTTATATTTGGTCGCTGATTCTTGTCCAAATTGGTACACAATCGAAGAATGTCTTCGAAATCAGGCACGCTTGGAAAGTTTATCATGTCCGAAATGCTGCACAGATTTTGAATCCCTGTAAATTCGATTACTAAGATTACAATAACTGAATCTGTTCTTGTTGAATATTGCATATTACATAAATAGAAATGTACAAATACATTCGGATTTTTGGAAGTACATGCAGTGTTATCACATCGCACCGCAAGATCATCACATACCTGCACCTTCAGCTAGTATTCGAACTTTGTCAAAAAAATTTCCCATAGTCAGGATATCGTATAGGACGAGGCCCGAAGAGTAAATATCCACTGACTGCATCGATTTGCTATCAGAAACAACCGTTGATCCAGATGAAGACCAGTACACAGGCTCCCAAATGGCATTTTGGCACATAGTCGTTGTAAGGTCACCGCAAGCCGCTTGCAGATTCTGCCGTAGTCTTTCGGATGCACAATGTGCCAATTTAAGCGTGAAATGCCGATCGACCCAGCAAGTCAAAACGCTAATTCGCCCATGAAATTGCAAGAATGACGAATGAACGTACTGCACTGCCTGCAAAAATAGACAATCTTCTGGGTTGTTGAAGATCATAACCGTCCTGCGAAACTATACTTCAAGGTAGTCCAGAATCAACGAGCTTGCTAAAGCCACATTTCTGCTGACCCAACTGTCGAATATGTCTGGTAAGGGACCTCTTGACGGCGATTCCATTACGGCAGAAATCCAGTGCATGTCTTTAGATGATTCGGTAATGGTAAGCCCCAAGAACTGGCAGATATTGATGTACTCAGTTTTGTTAATCTGCCCACAAACCGTTTAAAACAATGCAAATCATCCGATGACTGGCTACACAAGACGATTTCCAAAAGCTAACCAAAAATGCGCTTTGATGGAGTAAGGAATAATTCTAAAGTGTCATATGCAACTTGCAAGTTCCACAAATTATTTCTTAAGATCCAACTTACTTGCCGCAGTAGAAACAACAGTTTCTTGTTAGAAGAAATATCGTCAAAATTGATAGTGCGGCTTCTACTACAAACTTTCCATCCCATAACTGGCTTATTTTTATAAGATCCAAAAACGACCGCGCTGCAGAAGCTCTGTAAGAACACCGAAGAATGTGGCACGATGTCTCAAACAGAAAAGGGGCTAGCGGCCCGTACTTGGGTATTTTGTGTTGCGAAGAGGTGGACGCTGGATTCCTGTGAGACACTTTCTGGAACGCGCTGCTTTTGTACCGTCGCAAATCCGTGAAAACGGGATGCGGTTGCAGATAAGGATTTCTTTTGTAAATGGATTTGCCACCATGGATCAAAAAGCAGCCGTTGTTTGGTCCGGGACCTATTGGGTTCACAAAATTTCAGTTTTGAACCTTCGGTAAACAATTTAACCGTGGAATTATAGTTATTCAACACGATCCAGTTACGTAACAAAATCAAGACCGCTCTTATATGGAAGAGCTTCTAATGCAATTTCGTTGTGATAAAAAATTATTTATATGTAATGTGGTATCAGCACTATAGCGACATTTTAAAAGGTCATTCTCTCATGCTTTTCTATTTATTGCTGCAACCGAAAGCGGTCTGCGTCTAAGCTTATATACAAACGCCTACATATAAGTTTGGTGTCCATGGGCGTGCAGAAATTTATATCTAGGAATCACTTACACAGTGTATACCGTTGCAATTAAAACTCCAACCACCACTGTCACCATTGTTGAAGAACTGGACAACAATGCCAATCGATTATCGCCTGCAGTGGACAACTGACCGGTTTTTTAAAAACAACCACAGAGCGCAAAATAAATGATGTGCAAAAAGTATCTTGTACCTGGCGTTAGACATAACCGACTTTGACATAACCGACTTTGATTTAGATATCCACATAGTGGTTCATTGGGAGGAGGGAAGGTTGCGTTATTGGCCCATGTCAACAGAAGTGTTACATCGAGCAACTCTCCGGTTTTGCCAAACTTTTGCAGCAATGGCTGTGCAGTGTGAAAGCTTGAGCAATATTACAAAAAAGGAAACGGGTACAATATAGTACATGAATGCAATATGCGTACCATGCGGTTTCCGTTGGAGTCGAAAAAAGATACTGTAATATCGGTGCGCCTCCGTCCGTCGCTATCGATATACATGGTATTGCCAAAATCATCGCTGAAGGTTCGGTTAGTCATTAGCTGCGCCAGAACCGAACCGCTCCAATTTGGCCCTTTATTTTTTGGCAAAGTATCGTTAATGATCTAAAAAATATTCCTTTTATTAGGGTGACACTTTAGCCATCCCTAACACCCCGTTCTTAAAAAGGGATAGCTATAGTGATTTCCTTTTTTTAATTCTTCCCACTCTCGTGAGCATAACGTTCGACATTCACGAATCCTCGCAAAAACTAACTGTTGGCACTTGGCAATTATAGACTTTACCTCCGCAAGGGCAGAAATGGTCGCATAGGCTGAGGCTATCATAATGTACGGCTAGAAAAGACAAATTGGCTATTGTAAAAAAAGTAATGAAATCCGTAGCAGCAAAAAATGCCGTTTCAGCTCCAAATCGAACAATCACGTATGCTTTACCTGAGTAGATAATGGGTACGTGTAATTAAAATCTCGATTGGTACGCTGCAAAAACTGCGTCCCAAGCTGCATCCTTGCTACGTCATTTTCAGTAGTGTCGCATGGGTAGAGGATAAGTACTGAGAGAAGCGATTGTAGGATGACCTAACGTCAAAGGAAATCGTTAATATTCTTTTCGAACACAGTATACATAGTTGTAAGAGCTTGTCTGTTCCTTGTAAGTCTCGGTGATCGTCAAGTTTGTTTTGTTTCAGTTGCACTATTAATTCCAACATGCTACGTATGTATCTTTTACCCCATACCGTCTTACCTGATCATCTTTGCTTCCAGTTTCCCAGCGTAACGGGGGAAAAAGCTTGTTTTCTACCAGAATATATACTTCGAAGTACCTGCAGTGATACTGTGATATTATTTTTTCGCTCACTAAAATAGATTTGGTGTACCGCAAAATGCCAGCCAAATCAATATTGCTACTGTAGCCAATAAACCAGATCTTAACTTACGTATTCTCCATTTGTCATGTTTAGTAAAGAAGCGGTATACTGCAGAAAACATAAGCCAAATTGTTGAGTTAGAGCAAAGATTTTTATAAGTGAAATAAAATAACTTGACAACGATTCACTTACCATAAATTCGCGCAAAGCCGATCCACGACCGAAGTACAGCACAACTACGAGAGATAGAGTGATACTTTTTTCGCGGAGAGCGCATGGGAAATTGGACTCAATACTCGATAAGCAATTACATACTTCTACTACTGGCACGAACGTTTTCCAATATCGGTACAAATCCTTCAAAAGGCGCATCTGGCTTTGCAGCAATGTTTCGGACAGTATATGTTATACGCTTTTGGTCCTTGAGAACGGCGATTACCATGGAGGCCAAAATAAAATAAAACGCTGGAGAGCTGTTGTCTATTATCAGTGTAGTGGATGTCCAGTTGTGTAGTGGATGTCCAGTTTAAAATGCTCATATATAATTCTGCGCATTCCGACACATGGAAATAATTTGTGGATACCCATGTTGGATACGTGTATAAAAGCTGGGTGCGCTGTTTTGGGTTGGTACTTTCCCTAATACAGAAAATTTACTAAAGATCAATCAATATGAATGATCTTTATGACAAATATATTTTAATTACGTGGCAATCCACAGCGTATCCCATTGAGCTTGCAAATAGGCTATCTCCAAATTTCCAGCGCAACCTGTGCAGCAATAGAGTGATACTTCTACAATTTCGGAATGGGCTGTCACTTTGCGGCACTCCTCAACATTTACCTGGTGCGAGGTATATTGTTAGGTCGCGTTCGTTTCTTTTCCGATAATGCCATTCTGCTAGCTTTCCAATGAGATTGTCCTGAAGGTCTGGACACGTTAGGTCTCCAATAAAATGCAGACTGAAGTTTATTGCTGTGGCATAGATGTCTTGCACACGATCAACGGCTAAAGAAAACCCTGGTCAGGTGTATGGTAAAGCCGCATAACCACCATCTGTAGCGGTGCTACCTATAATAACCAAGCTCACGTTGAGAAGATTGATATTCGTCTGGTAAGGAGATAATTTCTGGGTCTCCGCAACAGCAACCAAATAATTAAAAATTAGAGCCACTGAAAACATTTTCAGTGTCGAAAAGCCAATAGTTATATTAATTGCGTCCTTTTTTACAATCCTGATAAGGTGGCTTCGCAATAATTTACAGTATTATCACGAGCAGTGCCGGTCATGCGTAGTACTTACGCAGTGGCGCATCAGCGATCAATATACGCGTGGGTAAAACCGTAAAATAATAGACGTGTGACTCTTTAAGAAGAATAGCGCGTTAAATGGGTTTGTTAATTTTGAATCACTTTTACTCAGTTCTTCGCTAATGGGTGTCAATGACATCGAGCGAAATGATTTTTTAAACCACGCCAGGAACGGAACCGCGATGATAATTAACTATATTAGTAAAACTCCACGTGCGCTTTCTCCAAGCACACGGTGATTTTTCAATCTGGGCGTTGATTGGGGATACACAAATGTAACATGGAATAACTGAGCTTATTCGGCTCGAACGTACTTACGCAAGTAAGTTCACAACTTGAATTACCAAAGCTCATTGCAGCTACCAGGATCGATCCACAAACACACTTAATATTCGTACCATTTATAACATTCATACCGGAAATCCCCGAAATGATCGCGGAACTCGGGAAGACGATACGATAGAAAACCGGCAAGCTACGGGCTACGAAATTTGCATTACGCAGTGGGTCAGCCCTGAAATTCGACACGGGAAGGCGGCATCAGTCATGAAACCGGCACCGGCACCAGCTTTGGCCAATTTACTATTAACGCTTGACCGCATTTTTCTGCGGTTGCCTAAGGATGTGCGATATCTGGCGGCTTTCGATTCTTATAAAAAACTTTTGACTTTTGAAAAGCAAGTAACGGTAATTAAAGCATTCACAAATAAATGAATCGCAAGTTTTCAAAAACTGAGGACACGATGAAACGAGGTAAGGGGCTTTAAACAAAGGCAAAGGTCGCTGCATCATAGAAACACAAAAAACAAAAGCTTTACGAGTATGCACATGTATACATCTTTAGCAAACAAAAGAATGAAGAACAAATACAGCAAATACAAGCGTAGCTGCTAGCAGGAGATGGAAGATTTTCGCGAATGAACCAGCAAGAATATGCAGCGAGTATGTGACGACCGTTTCTGTACGATATCCTTTGAAACTGGAATGTACGGACCTTTGTCTACGGTACTGTACAGACACGTATACAACAGATAAATGCAAAAAATTTACTGTTTGCTTTTAACGAACCTCCCATTTTTCGGATGAATAAAGCCCTTTTTGGGAAAGTGTGCGTCAAATATGTACAGTTTCAAAAGATCCAAGATAGACAATCTTAAGAACATAAAACAGCTGACAGGTGAAATGACGTTGAGTTTCCTTAAAAAGACACCTTAATTTCCTTGAAAGAAATTTTGACCAATTTAAACGGCAAGTGCAAGCAATAATCTGAGCGCATACGAGTATTGCAAATAATCTTAAATGCCGCAAAAACGGTGGAAGTTGCCATGTGAAATAGATTCAACGTAAATAGATAACATGCGGTAGATAGTAATATGACCGGCCAACACATGGCAATCCAAAAGGTACGTAAAAGTTAGCGATGTAACGCCGGCAAGAGCCAGTATGTGGTCATCTCATATTTTCCCTTTGTTGCTAGGCGTCCTCTTGGCTCAACAGAGAATTGTTTGAATTGCTCCAGGAGGAGTTGGCTCTCTGGACTGAGGTGAATGTGGCTGGGCAGCTACGTTAACGGTGTCCCCGAACCTATTGAAAAATCAAAATCTTTTATATACAAGTAGTTCACGTTCACAGTAGTTTTTGAAAAGTGGAATCACTGTGTCTGTACTCGATTCTTTCTAATCACATGCAACAGTACAATTGTAGCAAAATTAAAGACACTATGCATTAACGCCATTACATTATGTAAAGCGCCTGACAAGTGTTTTCGGTACGGTACTAGGACCGCTCGTAAACGCTATATAGCATACAAACAATAGCGGGGTCGTTTTAATCCCATCAGCCCCGCTGCGCACGGACCTAAAATAAGCCAACGTTCATACTGGGACCACGGAATCCGGCCATAATCTGTCTGGGATCTTCGACATGATCTCCACCAGCGTTCATATTGCGTCCATAAGCAGTGTTCCCGTATGCATTTCCATCATTACCATGGCCACCGTTAGTGCCGTACCCGTTGTTGCCATAGCCATTATTGTCTCCATAACCGTTATTGTCTCCATAATCATCTGGACGGCCAGCATCTTTTGGCATATTCGCCGAGTATGATGTGGACATAAAGGCTTGGGCTTTGTCAAAGCCACCAAGCAATCCCGATTAGAGCCCGGCACAAGCAGCAAAAGTGATGCTCGGCTCGCTCGTTTTCACTTGCCAAAACTTTCCGCTCGTTCAGGTCGCTCGTTTTTCATTTTACTTTGTTGTCGCTCGCTCGACTCGATCGTACTCTTATTTTTGCAAATCGGCTCGCTCGGGAGCGGAGCTAATTTAACGTTTCAAATTTTTTTGCGTGAATTAGATATTCCAGAATTTTAGTCTCCCCAAAAAGCAAAAACTTAGTCAAAATTAAAAGGGTATCTAAAATAACTTCTCTTCCACATTGGCAGTTCATTTTTTATAACTTCGTTTTTTCGCTGAAGGCTTTCTGCAATTTGAACTGATTCCCGTTTTCTTGTCTATTTTGAAATGCAATAAAAATGTTTGAAATGTTTACCAAGCAATAAAGGAATTAAGAAACCGGTTCAAAAATGTCTCTGTTGGTTACGGATTATCGTTACTAGTACTTAGTCCCGACTCCCGAGTCCAACATGTCAAGGAAAAATTTAGTAAACTAGTTCGCGCGAAGCGCGAAGGTGACGGTGATTTACGACCCTTTTCAGCTTGGTCAACCTAATTTTTACGCAGGAAACTCTCAGTTCGCATAATGTCAGCCTGTACGCTCGTGATCGCTCGCACCCGGCGATCCCGCTCGCTCGGCTCGCTCGCATATTTTTTTCCTGTTGCTCGGCTCGTTGATAAATTTGCAAAACAGCGCCTGCTCGCTCGAAGTGCTCGCGAGCACCGAGCGCTCGCGAGCCGAGCAGCTCGGCTCGTGCCGGGCTCTATCACAGACCTACCAGAATGAATACCGATTTTGATCTGCAAATCTAGCAGAAAGGTCAACTGTCGATGGCATTCCAGCAGTCTTACTGCAAACGTTGCAATCCTTTCAATATGATCTTTACCAATTCTTTCTGGTAGTCCGCTAGCTAACTGCAAAACATTTTTCATTGTATAGTTATGCGAGGTTTTCCCAATAGACCAATCTTTATTACCACGAAAGATTCCATGATTGCTTCCACTTTGTACACGTTGCATTCCATTGACCGGTTGTCGATATGGGCTTCGGTTTCTGATATCAGACTAATCGACGTTTGTGGTTGCTGAACTTTAATAAAGCCGGCGAATCCATACAGGTTCCAGGAACAGGATGTTCACACAATCATAAAATTCGGGTAAAACCCTTTCTCCAGCTCGCAGCTGCTTGGCTACAGATCTGTCCAATACGATCCACATTAAATAACATTTATACAAGTACTGTACCCCACATTTGCTGTACTTGGGAAAAATCCGTCATTTTGATCATTGTGACTATATCGCTCAACGAAATATTACTTATTTTGGATATTATTTATTACTTATTTTTAATTACTTATTTTGGATATATATACCGTGGAAGAGTCTGGGTGATGATGCCATCGCATTTATCCGTCTCCTTTTTCAGTTCGTTAGTTCTGTCTGCCACTTGCTGCTCTAAATCGGCTGAATAACGTTCCAGGCCGGCACAAACTTTGTCGATAAGACTAATTTTTTGTTCCTTATGACAAGAAGAGGACTTATGGCAGCCAGCGCGTCACCAAGGCTTTGTATGTTTGGTCGCTGATTTGCGTCCAAGCTGATGCACGATCGAAGAATGTTTTCGAAATCCGGAACACTTGAAAACGTCGTCATTTCAGAAATGCTGTGGAGGTTCTGCATTTCTGTAAATTTGTTTACTATGGTTATCGATTGACATTTTTTGTGGAAATACAAACCGCAACGCAAGATTATCGTTCTAAAACGCAAAATACCTTCGGTAAATAATCGGATCTTGGCGAAAAACTTGCCCATGGTCAGCAGATCGTATATAATGAGGCCGAATGAGTAAACATCCACCGATTGCATCAATTTGCTGTCAGACAAGGACCGGTTTTTCAGATGCTAACCAGTAGGCAGACTCCCAAATGGAATTCTGGCACATCGTTGTTGTTATTGTTGTTAGGTCACCACAAGACTCTTGAAGATTCTGTCGCAGTTTCTCGGGTGCAAAATGTGCCAATTTGAGCGTGAAAAGTTGATCCACCCAACATGTCAAAATGCTGATTCGTCCATGAAATTGTAAAAATGAAGAATGTATGTATTGTATTGCCTGCAACAACCAAATAAACCTGTCGTCTTTTTAAAGACCAATGTGCATTGCACGCACTTCCAGGTAGTCCAGAATCAACGAGCTTATCAACGTCATATTTCTGCTGGCGCAACTGCCGAATACGTCAGGCAAAGGGCCTCTTAGCGGCGATTCCATTATGGCAGAAATCCAGTACATGTCTTCAGAGGATTTGGTTATGGCCAGCCCCAAGAACTGGCAGATATTGATGTGCTCAGTTTTATTTACCTGCCCATAAACGGTTTTTATTACTGTGCAAATAGCTAACAGTTCGCTACACAAGGCGACTGGCAAAAGCTAATCCATAGTGTGCTTTGGTGGATGATTATGAATTAATTTTAAAGCGTCTTGTGCAGGTAAGTCCCGCAAACCCTTTCTAAAGATCAAACTTACTTGTCGTAGTAGGGATAACATCTTCTTATTAGAAGAAATATCGGCAAAAGTGACAGTGCGGTTCCTGCTACACACTTTCCAGCCCATAACCGGCTTATTTTTATGAGATCCAAAAACGACTGCGCCGCAGAGGATCTGCAAGAATACGGAAGAACCATTAAGTGGAAACTGTAATAACCAGAAATCTGCCCATTAACCGTTACCCGCGTGTATTTTGTAGCAACGAGGCGAGCGCAGCTGGATTCATGTGAGAAATTTTCTGGAACCAGCTGCTTTTGTATTTTCACGAACTCGGGATAGCGAGATATCGCTAACTGAATTCGACACCAAAGGTTAAAAGGCAGCCGGCGTTTGGTCTTAAACCTAAGTTTGTAGAATATGGAAATACGGAGAAGCTCTGGCTATTTACTTTCCAAAACGATTTTGTTGTGATCGAAAAACTGTAGTTGTACTAACAGTTTTAAGCGGCGATCCGCTGATGCCTTTATACGAGTATTAACTGTCGCAAACATAGTTGGTCTGCGTGCGTACAATACACATTTCGATATCCATGGGGACGCAGATCAGTTTTTGGAGCTACCCATATGCATCACTTACACAGTATACCCCATTGCAGTTAAAGCCCCAACAACCACTATCGCTATCGCCACACAGCTGGACAGTACTGCCACTCGACTATCGACTGCAATGGACAGGTGACTGCTTTTAATAAACCGTAAAATACTTTAAAGAACAAACGATGTGCGAAAAGTGTCTCATACCTGGTGTTAGACATAAACGACTTTGATTTAGGTATCTACACAGTGGTTCATTGGGAGGAGGAAAAGTTGCATTATTGGCTCATGTCAACAAGTGCATTACGTCGACTAGTGCTCCGGTTTTGCCAAACTTCTGCAGCAATCGCTGTGCAATGTGAAAAGGTTGAGCTCCATTGCAATTTGCAAGTAAAGCACTTACTGTGCTTCGAAGTATACATATAATGAGCCAGTTCCGGTCTACAATAGTGCAGAGTCAGACTACTGGTGCAGCTACGTCAGTAGTCTGCACTACTATTGTACAGCGGCATTGACTGAGCCTAAGGAGTATTAATTTTGTACTAAAATAAAAAATACCATGCGGTTGCCATTGCTGTCAAAGAACGATAAGGTGAAATCAGTGCGTCTCCGTCCGTCGCTGTCGATATACATGGTGTTCCCAACATCATCGCTGAAGGTGCGGTTGGTCAACAGCTGTGCTAAAACCGAGCCGCTCTAATCAGGCGCTTTATTTTTTGCCAAAGTATCGTTAATGATCTGAAAAATATTTCATCTTTTGAATGGTTAAATCATACCTTTCGGGTATTCACGAAATCTCGTGAAAGCTTCACGTTCGTAGGAGACTTTACCTCCGCAAGGGCAAAAACCGTCGTGTAGGCAGAAACTAGCAGGATGTACGGCTAGAAAAGACATAACAGCAAGCGCGACAATAATAATTGTAACAGATTTCGCAGATTGCCGTCTTTGACCCTAAATGCAACCCGGTTTACCTGAGTAGATACTGGATAAGTGTTATAAAAATCTCGCTCCGTGCGCCACAAGAACTGTTTCCCGAGCTGCTCCTTTGCCACGGGATTCTGAGTATCGTCGCTTAAGTAAAGGATCAGCACCGACTGGAGCGACTGCAAAATGGCCTATCGTCGGGACAACTTGTTAATATTATGTAAACTAACAGTGCATCTATAACCTAAACTAACAGTGCAGTGCAGTGAGAACTTCTAATTCTGCAGTTTAGAACTCTTAAGTCATGTACATATGTTCCCCTATTTCACGATTCACACCAAATATTGGGCTAAGAATGCATGCTCAAGGACAGAGTATTGTACTGCACAGTACCAGCTACGTTTCTACCTGATCATCTTTGCTTCCCGTTTGCCAGTGCAATGGGGGAAAAAGATTGATTTCTACCAAGATATGCACCTGAAACAGTTAATATTGATTTCCTAGCTACGTTGTTATACAAGTGTGTTGTTAGACAATTTTAGATTTGCATTGTCACCCACAAACTAGATCTTACGTAGTCTCCATTTATCATGTTCAGTAGATAGGCGGTATACTGCAAAAATTTGTCAGGTTTTACAATAGAAAAGTTCTTAAGGTAAACGAAATGAAAAACCGGAGAACGATTATCTTACCAGAAATTCGCGCAAAGCCGATCCACGGCCAAAATACAGCACAACTATAAAAAACAGCAGTGTAAAGAAGACAAAGTTACTGTAAGTATTTGCAGACTAGCGAAGTAGTACATGGAATTTGTCGTAGCAGTTCGTATTGCATTAATTTTGCACGTTATTATAATTTCACGCTTGAACGAGGTGTAAAACTGTTTTGCTAAGAGCGCATGGGAAATTCAGCCACTATAATCACTCACTTCTGCTGTTGGCACGAATGTTTTCGAATGCACCAAAGCCGCATCTGGCTTGGCATCAATGTTTCGGACGGTATATGTTATCCGCTTTTGGTACTTGAGTAGGACGAGAGCCATCGAGCCCAGTATAACAAAAAATCCAGGAGAACCATTGTCGATTACCACAGTAATGGTTGTCCAGTTATATTTGTTTAAAATGCTGATATATAATTCCGCCCACTCCGACATATGGAAATAATTTGTGGATATCCAGGTTGGGAACGTCTGTAAAAGTTGACTGCGCTGTTTTGTGTTGACGTTTTCCCTAATAAAAAAAATCTCAAATTGAACCATGTCAGTAAAATCTGTGGCAGCTGATGTACGAGAAAATCCACAATGTATTCCACTGAGCTTGCAAATAAGCAATGTCCAACGTTCTAGCGCATCCTGTGAAACAACACAGTAAGTATAATTTCAGGCAGTCATTTTACAACACTCCGCCTCACTGACCTGGTGAGAGGTAAATCGTAAGGTCGTGTTCATTTCTTTGGTAATGCCACTCAGCTAGCAGTGCAACAAGATTGTACGGAAGGCCTAAACACGTACGGTCTCCGATAAAATGGAGACTGAAGTTCATTGTTGTGCTGTAAATGTCTTGCACACGATCAACGGCTACACAAAACGTAAGGTAAAACCAACGTAAGGTAAAACCGCATATCCGCCATCTGTAGCGGTGCTGCCTATAACAACCAGGCTAACGTTGAGGGTATTGGAATGCGACTTGTAACTGGAGTTCGACAGATGTAATCCCTTGGTTTTCGCTACAGTAGCAAAATGAGCAGAAATTAAAGTCAATAAAAACGTTTTCACTACCGGAAAGTTAATCGATTTATTAGTTACGTCCTTCATTGCGATCACGATAAGTTGACCGATATACCGGTATTCGTATTTTTACGCCTCGAAAAAGACAGCATTTTAGCTGGATTCGTTGAAGCTTTTTTTACTTATGCGCTAATTTTTTAATCTGGATGTTGTTTGGCGAAAAGCATGGTGGAACATGCACGCAACATGGCGTAACTGGGCGTCCAGCTGCAGTTTAGCTTCTACTCTGTACGTGCACGTGCGATTTCACAACTTGAATTACCAATGCTTATGCAGGATCAAGTTGCACACCACACCTTATTGGAATTAACACTGTATTTGTTTCAGTACGTACTGTACAACGCTGTTAAGCAATTAAAAATTGCATTACACCTTACGCTAACAACCACTTGGATCCTTCCGATCGGACATTTCTCGCATGACCGCTGGATGCCGAAGAAACCGGAGAGCTGTGGACGAGGAAATATATACGCAGTGGATCACCACTGAAATTCGACGAAAAACGAATGCAACCATTATTGTATTCATTTTAGCACCGGGAAGCAGGACGTTTCTGGAACGGTGCGGACCTTTCTGACAAAGCACTAAATACAATACGTTGATGGTACTGTAATTATTTCAATATTGTGATTGATTATGTATCATGAAAAGTTCGCTACGAAAATCCCATATTCGATTTGGCGGGAAATACAAATTAATAACACCAACTGGAGTTGTGCATCACAGTTTCCCATAGTATTTAAATTGCACACTGTCGCACTACGTATAATGAAGTTTTTTTTGGACCGACAGTACGTAATCGGAAAGCAGTCTTTATGACTTAAGTATCGGTATGTACAAATTTTATTGTAAACGCTTCTTGTTCATTAATTTAAGTTTTCAGCGTCACTCGCTGCCATTGTTATAGTCGCAGGACACGAAAGCAAACCCGAGTGCTGTTTATGTTTTTATTAATATCTTTACCATTAATTGTTTTATCTTTTTATCTATCGCATTATCAAAATTAAATCATCAAAATTATTTTTTCATCAGAATACTATTTTATCAAAATTACTTTTCGCCACCAGTTAGAGAATTTCGATAATTATTCAGCGCAATTTACACCTGATTCGTTAAACGAATACAATGCACTACTGTATGTGAAAATTTAATACTATTGAATCGCCTACCAAGGAAATCTGTCTTGAAGCATCTTTTATACAGTCATCTAATACTACACCGGCCTTTCCCACAGGACTTTTTCAGAAAGACCAAAGCATCAAAATATACAAAAGTATCAACATTACGCTCGACAACATTATTCTAATGCAAAATGCCAATATCAAAGCAATGTTATGACAAAAGTCACAACTACAAGTACAGTGATCACTCTCTCAGGTAGACCTTGCTCACTAAAATCTTGGACATTGAATTTCAACAAAGATGTGGGGGCTGAATGTCCTGGGGAGGAAAGCTTCTTTCCGTAAACGGAACCGACCATTGGATTTAAATGAAAGGGACACCGGTTTCAAGTTATCCGCGCCTACGTACCGCGCCATCATCGTTTATTATATAAATACCACCGTTAGACAAGTTTCCTGTAAGAACTTGGGAAATACTGACCTGATCGGATGCCGGTTATTTTATCAGCTGCATTCGAAGCTAGCCTTAATGGAGCAATCCGTGTCTCTATCTACATTTTACGCCACTGTACCATATGTTTCTATAATTCTCGCCGTTGCTATCACATGTGCAAACGGTGTCGTATTGGCGGCCTTCTTCGTCAACCGCCATCTCCGCACGCCCTTTAACTGCTATCTGATATCGCTCATCCTCTCGGACATTGGGCAAGCGGCACTAGATATGCCTTTTACCATTCTCAGCGGGTTCCAGCCGGTGTGGCCGTTAGGGCATGTTGCGTGTAATTTTAATCTGTACGCTAAATGGGTGTATGTTGCCGCGGTGCGTAATACCCATGCACTAATTAGTTTGAACCGAATCTGGGCGTTATTCTGGCCGGTGTCGTATAAGCATTATCATACGAAAAGCACGGCGATTTGGCTTTGTGTTGGGACATGGGTATACGTCCATGTTTGGCTGATGCCAGGGCTCGTACCGGATGCCATGGTGTGGAGGAAAGACGATGGCACGTGTTTTGTTAATACGACTGCTCAACCAGTCTGGGCAATGACTACGCAGATGTGCCTATACAATTTGACTCTTGTTATTATAACGGTCAGTACCGAAACAGAACCGGAGAACTTGAATTTTGTTACTGCCTCATGGTTGGATTGGTTTTTAAAGGGTGTACTTCCGTGATAATAATGGTTTTTCCATTAGGTAACGTATCCATTTATCTGGTGGAAGATACGCCAACGCCGTAAGTTAATCGTTCCTCGAGTTGGTTTCACAAATACAACAAGTTGTGAGCAAGGCACCACTCAAAATGGACAAAGCATTCAGCCAACATGTGGTCCAACAATTGGCTCTGGTAAGCTTCTAATATTTTATTAAATATTAAACTAAGATACTGATGTTGACCTTTACAATGCCGGTAAAGAACTTTGCATAATTTGTGCAGTACCTAAGTATCAGGTGTTATAGTGGCTACTGAAGTTGACATTAATAATATCGATGAGGACGAGGCACCGGATACGTCGCCAAACATTGCCTCGGGCCAGTCCTTCCAAAAGACACTTGGAAAAGGTGTCATGACGTCGTCCAAAAGTTCTCAGAGCTTCGCCGTGTTAACGTATCTCGTCCTGGGAGTCGTTTTCTGCTGGACACCAATTATGACGTTTTTTACCGTAGCCGATTTTACTGATTTTAACAATAACCTGCTCTTTATTATCGGATCCTTATTGTACTATTCCAATTCACTGCTGGATCCAATTTTCTTCTGTATCGCAATAAGACCACTCCGAGCAACCGTCCTGGGCTTCTTCCATCGTCGCAATTTATGCACATGTAACTGAAGTATTTTTACCGTTGCTTGTCTTAGAACGATTTTGTTATCCGATTTTCAGTAACCGTGGTAATTCTTGGCGAATTATATTCTTAGAAATTATGATAACCGATTTTTGTTCCGGATGTGCTCCCTTAATCTACCCTTAATCCCCCGTGTACCGTATCAATAATATCCTGTACCCTTAATCCCCCTTATACCGTATCAATAATAACAGCATAAGTACCAGCGTCAAACAATTCTGAATTTTTTTTTATTCCATCGTTATACGCACCTCCACCTTTACGCATCGTTATACGCTCCTCCTATTGGCCCATACAATATTCCAAAATGATTTTTTGCTTCTTTTTATGAGATGGTAGCCAAGTAAGTCGGAAATCAAATTTCCGGAGTAATATCCGGAACATTCAGAAAATACTCCCAATTTCTACTGGGCTTCGCGTCTTTTGTTGTTGGTCGTGACAGGAGTAATCGAGGGTCGGCCTCATGGGGTTAAGAAGTTCCGCCGGTTGTCTGGCAGTAAGGACATTCCGTCTACAGGAAATTCCGCCGCCTTTTTCATAATAAGAAAATTCCGTTGATAGGAAATACCGCTGACATTTGAACGATACCAATCTCAGTCGGAATTTTGATGTACCGGGTGGCTGAACAAAATGGCCCTATGTTTCATTGAGGTGCCCTGGGTCTGTCCAGTGCTCGACTGAGATGACATTAGTTTTACTCGAAAGAGCAATGTCTGTAGCACATAAAAATTATGTCAAACCATTAGGGTAAAACAATTTGGTTTTTTTCTGAATTATTTTTGAAAAACTGGCAGAGTTGGATACTGTCCTGGAAACCAAAATTCAAATTTTCCTACTTTCGAATTAAAATTGAAGATATTCAACTAAGCCCATTACTGTTTATCACCTTACTGTTTCGGAAAGAAAAATTGTTCCTGTTTTTTTTTACGGTAAAAACCAGAATGTCGCTGGTGACCCTGTGTGGCTAAGGAGCGAAAGATTGATACTCCCTACATTTAATCCTCATGAAACGGGGTAGCATATTTTTCGAAAACAGTTTTTACACCATCGGTTCGAAAGCAGTCCTGGTTCAAACCCGTGTTTGAAAGGGCAACCACCCATCTACAATTGTCAGTTGAACCGGTGCTTTTGTTGCACCCTGTCATGAACAAAAAAATTGTTACTAAAATACCTAAAAAAGCAAAGTAAAAAACTTGAATTTTTTTAGAAAAGTCAAAAGTTTGTTTAGCGCATAGTTTATCCACCCCATGCACATGTCCAACAGTTTTTTTCCCACTGTAAGATTAGGTCCTTTTCGAGATAAAACAATTTAAAAAATTAAAATATTACTCACGGAAACGAAGCGAGACGAAATTTTTAACTTTGAGAGCTGGGACACTAAAAATTTCGACAAAATTTTAATTGGCGCCATAGTTAACGAGGTAATCTCAATTTTTCAAAAAAAACGTTTTATTGGTTTTAGTAGTTTTTAAAATTGTCTATCTAACAAGCCTAAGCTGTTTACAGTCAAGTAGTTTGCGAGGGGCGCACGAAAAACGGAGAGGGCCATTTTGTTCGGCCACCCGGTACTAACTGGGAATTTCTGTCATTATTTTCTGTCATTGCAGTAACTGTAACTCTTCACAACGTTCAAATTGAACGGTGTCCGAGTCTATGGATCTGACCGGTAACATATGGTGCAGTGTTCAATTACCTCGTATTTTTGCTGATTGTCATTACTTCTCGGCAGTTATTTTCACATCCAATTTATCCAAAGCACGTGCAGCATCTCCTCCCGCGTCATAATAATATACCACTAATTCTGCGTTTCTCGTAACCGCACACACCTTTTACGTAGCTATGTATAAAACTATAACGGTCCAAATTAGCCTTTTCATTGCCAGACCTGCTCCAGGCTTTTCGATTTCATAACGTGCGACTGTAATTAAATTTTCTGTAATGATCAGGGAAGACCGACAACGTAGCTCTTATTAAGCTTTTCGATTTCCCGCTGACGACATCACGCTATAGTCAGCTTCAGCACGCCTTCTTATAGACAAAATGTTCTTTACTAAAACTTTATCTTTCTCACTGCCGATCTCCCGTAATGTATAAATTCAACGGAACGAAAAACTTGACCGAGTTCGTGGGAAATTATTCCTTCTTCCCAGCAGCAAATAAAAGCCTTAGCACTACAGGTAGCTTTTTAACTGTCTTACCGTATATATTAGTCCTACTATCCATTGCGACAACAGCATGCAACATTGTCGTCTTATCGGCGTTCGTTGTCAACCGCCTGCTGCTTACATCCTTCAACTGCTACCTTATATCGCTCATCGTGTCCGACATTCTGCAAGCGTTATTCGACATACCGTTTACCATTGTCAGTGCATTCCATCCGGTATGGACGTTAGGACCGGCAGCGTGTACGTTTAGCCTGTACGCCAAATGGGTATTTGCGGCGGCTGTGCGGAACACTCATGCACTCATCAGTCTGAACCGGATATGGGCGTTATTCTGGCCGATTACATACCGCTACCATCACACTAGGACACTGGCTGTATGGTTGTGCATTGGGATGTGGATTTATATACATATTTGGTTGTTGCCTGGACTGGTGCCGGATGCGGTTAGTCTTCGAAGAGACGATGGGACATGTTTCGTCAATACGACAGCGCAACCCACGTGGGCGATCACCACTCAGATGTGCCTATATAACTCTACGCTTTTAATTATAGTGGTCAGTACTCAGACAGCAAACCTTTTCTGTTAACTTGAAAACCAAAAAGGTCAAAACGAACGTTCTTATCTTTGCAATATCCGATTTTAAGGGCCATTGGCGTAAGTCTTACGCAACAGGTTTCTTCAATCGTTAGTAGCTGTAGATGATTAATTTGATTTTATATAAAGATTATTAGATTTTTTCCAAGTTACAGTATATTCTTTGAAAACAGTCCGTATCGAAATCTTTTTGGAAATTTAATCTTTAGAGACAGCTAAAGCGCCTACTCTACAAATATCTAAGAATATTTCCGTTATATCTGTACAGGTGACGTATCCGTTTATTTGGTGGAAGATTCGCCAGAGACGGAAATTTATCCAACCGCGCGGAAGCAGCCGAGATTCGAAGGTAGAAATGCCTGCAACATCAACTCCGTACAGCCGGCAAACGAGCCAACCAACATGTGGTCCTGCCGGAACGTCCGGTGAGTCATGAGCGCATTCCGTTCATTAGTTTTTATAATAACACTGATCTCATGTTGCAATGCGCAGTTATGATCGGAAATGAAGATGCACCCGATATTGGCAAGGGTGAGACTAACGAAGAAATTCCAGCTGAAAACATTCAGAAGCAAAAAGACAGCAAAACCAGCAGGAAAGATCTCGTTAATAGACGACATTCACAGAGTTTAGCCGTTTTAACGTATCTCGTATTAGGGGTCATCTTCTGCTGGACGCCCATTATGACGTTCTTTACTGTTAAGGACTTTGTGAACTATGGTAATAGTACGCTGTTTGTTGTTGGGTCTCTGCTGTACTACACTAATTCGTTGTTGGATCCAATTTTTATCTGTATTGCGATTAGGCCTCTAGGTAGCACGGTGCTAGGTTTGTTTTTCTGTAGAAAACCTTCTTCCTTGTCCAAATGAGCTACAATGCTGCAGTGTTGATTATTTATGCTACGTATATACACTACGTTAGCAAAAAAATTAACAAAACGAAACGACAATAATGGCATTTGATTACTCCAAAACCGAAAGTCACAAACCATATGTTATCAGCAGCAGAAAGGACAATAAATTGGTCACTCGCTCGTGAGATAACCTTAAGCTGATGTATTGCGCGTGAATCTCAGTTCACCGAGCGGGTAGTCATGTACGGAGTACTCTGTACACTGTTAATTGGGCTGTTGGGCCAACAGAAGCGCGTGCTACAATACATGCCAGTGGCATCTCGGCGTTACCAAGATTGTTTGCGGCATTACCTTTCTTCTGATTTGCAGTAATGGAAGTTAGCGTGGTCACGCTAACTTGGTTTAACGCGGTGAGAGAAACGCCGGCCAGACATAATTTCTCGTTTATTTAGAACAGCGATGAATAGTGGAAATCAGCATCCTTCAATTTGACCTGCTGGACAATCATATCCTCATCGGACTTCGCCGAATTCATTATGCTCGCCAGCGTACTACCTGCCTGCTCCTATCTCGTACCACCAGCCCGCTTGCCACGGATCCGGATAGAGTTGGCCCGATTTTTAGTTTGCATTGAATTTCTTGATGTTACCTTGTCATTTTAGTTTCGTGATGCGCAGCGAATTATACAAGTGGAAATTGTATTGCGACTAGCGTTGCATGTGACCTTTACGAATTTAAGATCTTTTGGAGTTTAATAATAATATTCAGATCAATTTTAATAATAAGGTTTTACTGAGATCAGCTCACTCGCGTGGAAATGACAGGACGCGGGGCCGGGAAGGAAGAGACCGTCCGGAGCCCGGGAGCCGCCAGGGAAACGTACGACCCGCGCCGGTGCAAGTTCTCGTCGCAACCCCGCCGCAGCACCAGAGATCGCACCAGTTGCGAGTGGTTGCTCAGCGCAGGCCATCAGCAACATCGACGAGCAGATCGCTCAAGCCCAGCGAAACCTGCAGCTGCTGCAGGCGCAGAAGAAGTCGGCTTCCAGTGGACACGTCGCGGAGCCGGATGTCATCCCCCTCGAAACAGTGCCGCCGCCTATTGTTCAGCCATCGGAGACCAACATGATTCTTCAGCTGATGATGAACCAGATCAACCAGCTCACCCAGCGAATGAACGACAACCAGCCGGCATCATCATCAAACAGTGGATCCCCTAACAGTAAGAAGGCACCGCCGCTACCGGCAGGGTTTCCATTTGTAAATGAAAAATGCTTGGAAGAACTCTACGATCTTACTGTCAACGTAGATTTAGACAAGTTGCTCAGAGCGAACAGCATAATGTCGCCAATCCACGGCGAAGCGAAAATTGAGATTAGAGACGGTAGCTACGTTCTGTCAGATTCTAAACCAAGAAAGGTCACGATTACTTCGTTTACGCAATGGACGGAAGCATTCATGGTGTTCCGACGAGTACGCGGCTACTACCATCCGGCGTTAGAGCATCCGCTGAATAATTATCAGGCCATTATAACCGATTTAGCCGGTATTTACGCGCCAGTCGTATGGTTAGAGTATGACAAAACGTTCCGCGCCAGCCGCACCCGCGACACCAGTCCTGATCAGTGGAGCCTGTTAGATCGCAACCTGCTCGATCGCTGCGTCGCCCGTCTGCCGAATCAAGCTTACCTGCCGCTGTGTCGGGCATGCCAATCTCCGGACCACCCGGAACAAGCATGTCCCAAGAAGTTCCAGTTGTCTGCACATGGTCTCAAGAACGCTACGGCGGAACAGCCCTTTCGACACATCCCGCCAGACCTGTGCAGGAACTGGAATAACGGGAAATGCACGAAAGGATCCAGCTGCCGATTCACGCACCACTGTGGAGCATGCCGATCCCCCAACCACACCATCCACGAGCACGATTCAGTGCAGCACAATTCTCCCAATGGTCACACGTCCAAACCCGGAAGTGGCCACGCCAGTCTCCGTCGATAGGCTTGCGGAACTACTGGTAGAGCACATTGATCGTGATGCTGTTTGCTTTATATTGCAGGGCTTTAGGTTCGGTTTCAGCGTGGGTTACGAGGGCCCTCAATTCCGTCGCTTTACCAGAAACGCGCGTTCAGCACTCAACGACCCTGCGGTCATTACTTCGATGATCGGCAAAGAGATTCTCGCGAAACACACAATGGGTCCTTTCGTTACCGAGCCACATCCGCATTTCGTCACCAATGCTCTTGGTTTGCGCCCAAAGAAGCCGTCAGGACACCGCGTCACCATGGATTTATCGCAACCTTTCGGATGCAGCGTCAACGACGGCATATCAAAAGATAAGTACTCGTTAATCTACGTTGGCGTAGACGACGCGGTTAAGATGGTGATGAAACAAGGTAGAGGGTCACTTATGGCAAAAGTCGATATAGAATCTGCTTTCCGAAATTTGCCAGTTCGGTCCGCAGACTGGCATCTACTGGGATACTACTGGGATGGCGCATTTTACTTCGACGTTGTAGTGTCGTTCGGTTTGAGGTCGGGCCCGTTCTTGTTTGATAAATTCGCCGGCATACTCGAATGGGTCTTTAAAAAATGTACAGGTAAAGACTCTTTACTACATTTTCTAGACGATTACTTCGCATGCGGCGCACCAGACAGCCCAGAATGCGGCAGGGTAGTGAATCAGATGTTGTCTGTCTGCAAATACCTTGGCGTACCCGTTAACGAGCAGAAATTAGTCAGCCCGACAACGGTTATCGAGTTTCTCGGTATAGTTATCGATAGCGTAAACTTCACGTTGTCGGTATCAGCGGAGCGGATGAAAGAACTGACATTACTTTTAAACAGCTTCTCAGGGCGAAAGCAGTGTACGAAGCGAGAGCTACTCAGTCTGGTAGGCAAGCTATCTTTTGTAACCAAATGCATCCCAGCTAGCCGAATATTTCTGAGGCGAATGATTGATATCAGTTGCAAAGTCAGTAGACTTTACTACAACATCACACTGAACGATGGTTTTCGAAGGGACATTGCATGGTGGCAGGAATTCTTGCCGGCATGGAATGGAACTACTGCCTTGTGCAGCCAGAATGGCTACCGGCAAGCACGCTGCACCTATTCACAGATGCAGCCGGCTTGATCGGTTACGGCGGGGTGTTTGGTAACGAATGGTTTCAGGGAACGTGGCCAGAGTGGTTAGTCCAGTTAAAGCCACCCATCACATTCCTGGAAATGTACCCAATATATGTAGCGTGCGTCGTATGGGGTGGTAAGCTTCGATGTAAAAGAGTAATGTTTCATAGTGACAATACCGGCACAGTTCAGTCGTGGTCAGCCGGTTGTTGTCGGAACCCAGGCATAATGGAAATGATTCGCCGAATGCATTTTGTCACCGCACAGAGCAATTTTGTCGTGAAAATAGTGCACATTGCAGGAACCGACAATAGCATCGCTGACGCATTGTCCCGTTTTCAGACGCAACGTTTCCAACAACTCCTCGCCTCGGCAAGCAGTGTTGGGATCGAACCACCGGACCTGCTCTCACGGCTGCAGCCGTTCCTGATCGGAAAAGAACCCCCGATTGTATGGTCCGCCCAGACGACCTCTTCGCCGCCGGAGTGGCTCCTGCTACCCGAAGAGCATACGCCAACGGAGAGCGAAGCTTTGAACAGTTTTGCAGAGTCGTAAAAGCTAACCCGTGGCCAGCCAGCCAGCAAATCGTAGAAGAGTACGTCGCCCACCTATTCAACCAGAAGTCATCAGCATCGACCATCAGTGTCTACTTAGCAGCTATAGCAAGACGTCATCTGTCGCAAGCAATGCCGGATCCCACCTTTAATCCTAGACTGAAGCATATCCTTGAGGGCGCTCGACGCTTAAACGTTCCGCAGCCAGATCAACGACTACCTGTAACCGCCGCACTGCTGAGCCGCTTACCGAAGCGGTTGCATTTAGCCACGCCCAACCTTCACGACCAACAAATGTTTTGGGCCGCTTTCACAATATCTCATCATTTTCTCCTGCGTGTTTCAGAGCTGACGTCACCATCTCCCACCTCTTTCGACCCTGCCACGACTCTTTTATTGCAAGATGTCCATTGGAGCACATACACGCTGGAGATAACGCTGAAGCAGTCAAAGACCGATCAGCGCCGAAAGGGCATTAAGCTATCGCTCACGCCGAGTGAGGCGCCGGCAACCTTCGCAGCTTGCCTTGCCTACACAAAGCGTCGCCAGCTTCAGCGACCACCGAATCTGCCGTTCTTTGTCCACGACAGCGGCCGTTACTTGACCAGAAATGACCTGTCCAATGCGCTCAAAATATCTCTTCCACCGGAAGAAGACCGAGATCGCTATTCCTCGCATTGTTTCCGCATCGGTGGCGCAACATCAGCCGCCGCCAGTGGCGCTTCGGCCGAAGCGATATGCGCACGGGGACGATGGAAATCGTCCTCGTTTCTGCGCTACATCCGTCCCTGTCCAACGCGTACCTTTCTGTTTGGGGCACCTCCTCACTCGCGCAGCTCTCTCGCACAATGGTACGCACAGAACCGCACCGGAAGTAGCCGCATACGCATCATCCTGGCCATGAATCAGGATTCAACTCCCTGGCCACGAATCAGGGAGCACACCTGGCCACGCATCAGGTGTTAGCATCGCACAGTCGCTCGCAAAAACGCTCCTTCCGGTGGCCGTGCATGTTCTGACGTTTCCACGAGACTCCGCTGCCGGGCTGAGGCTGGCCAGTTGCCCCAACACCCTGTCGGCGTTTCTCGATCGTTGTCGTTAACTACGTATGGCCTTTGTCACCCTTGTTTTAATTACTTACAAGAGTCATCTTCGGCTTCGCCTCAGATGCTCTTGTGGTCTACAGTCGATTCCCTAAAAAATAGTTTTTGTATCGGAAGTTTGAATAATTGATGTACATATATATAAAAAGTAATGTTTAATATATTGTCCAAGAATTATTTATTAGAAGTTTAGAACGCAGCATATAAACGAGGCGAAGAAAAACTTAAAAGAATCTTTTATTTCCGTCCATTTTTTAACAATATGGTTTTTGTGTGCGTTTCTTTTTCGAAGATTGCGTAGCGTCGAAAGAGCTTTCGGCATTACATTACGTGCTAGGACAGCCCCGAACATATGAAGTAGTACCAGATATTATTTGAACGTATATTATTAATTTTGATTTACTGCACTTCGCGGTCAGAAATACAGGCCGCAAAGTTTCGACCCGACAAAGCTTTGTCATTTTAACAACTGTAACGTCACTGTCGAAATTCCATGGAATGGATTGCCTGCTCCAGGAAGATGACAATAGTAAAAATAATAATACTAGAACGCTATGCAATGCCGCACTGTCTCCCGTTCATACGCAATAGCAGGTCCTGTAATTTCCGTCCATTGGTATGGACTACGGGTTGAATAGCTCTGAATTTCGATCGCTTCAGAATAAATATTTCATTCTGAAACGAGAAAATGCATTTGAAACAATTCGTTGACACGGATGGTTGACGGTTCTGGTCTCATCTGGTCTACGTTGCATGCTTCCCGTTTCTTGTGTAGGTTTGGTCAGTGGAAAGTGTGACCCTTTGTGTGATTCTGTGCACTTGGCACCTCAAGCACTGAGCGGTGAGCAGGGGTATCGGTTCGGTTCTCCCATAGTCTTAATTTCTGGGAACAGTTCACACCAGTTCTCGTAATTTCCGTTCATTCAGTTGACCTGATCAGTAGTCTCGTACTGCACACACACAATGGGCAAACATTCCAGGGGTAGTTTTGGTGGTCGTGCTTCGTGGTCATACACTCACTTGTCCCTTGTCAGCAATTTTGCCCATATGCACCGAGAGTTTTTGATTACAGTAATTTGATCAGACAGTCGCAGTTTTCCACTCGCTTCCATCGAGCAGACGTTGCGTTTTCGTCTTCTGCTCATGCACGAAAGTGTGCCGAAAATTTCAAAATGTGCCAAAAATTTTAAAATGCTTAAAAAGAATTGAGGGGTACAAAAGTCTCATTATAGATCCAATCCAAACGATCCGATCGATCTTTTCCAAATTTTGCAAGCAAACGTATAACTATGAGTAGCAGGTAGTACGTAAATGTCGGTCGTTTTCACGGAATTAGAACGATTTCCACTATTTTGCTTTCAAAATATACCTTTGTAAATTTATACGATTTAAAATTTACGATGTAATTATGCATAAGAACGCGCGAAAGCAAAAGTTCCCATGCGGTAAGCCCACTAAAGTCGGCCCCGGCTATGAATGTCACCGGCAGACATCTCTTTAATTTACAAAGGCTTCCGGTGTGATACAACTTCATGAAATTTGCACTTTTCAGTCCTGAAATCTATTTTTAAAAAATTCAGTTTTTATTACTTACTACACTACTCTCTCTGTATTGGAATATTAATTGCTCCACGCAACAATGTTTTAGAAGTTTTCAAGGTCACCTTGAACCGTGTCTGTACCGGTACCGACATCCGAACGATGGTCTCAGGAAAGATATTTTCGGAAAATAAATGCATGTGGGACCCTTTTGGAACATGCTGAGTTTAATCGTGAAATCGGTTTTTTAATTTGCTTAGCGGTTTTTTCTAGCCACGTTCCACGGGGCGGCCGATCATAATATAGATCTATTTCCTTGATATTTCGAAATCTGATAGAAACTGAATGACTTCTTGGTCTAGCAGATATTTTGTGCATGCCACGTAATGGGAAACCGGCAATCTTGTGGAAAAATTATTATGTCAATCATATTATGTATAACACATACTTTGTCAGGCTTCTTGAACAGTTTCTTGAATACGAACAGACTTGCTTTGGCTGAACAGAGTAATCGTTCTAACGGGTAAGATCCAATATTTTCCTTTCAGTATCTATCATTGACCAGTTTTTCATCGCTTCTGTGGTTTTTTACCTTTAACAGTGTTGCATTTCGGGGCAAAAAGCTTATTGCAATTGAGACTAATTGTTATAAATACCTACAGTCTGCGTTCAGTGGAACATGATCAATAGCGACTTAAAATGGGTATATTGGCTCAAGAGGTGTGAATCTGACTCACCAACTGCTTTGTTTGCCAACGTAAAAACTTTCGAGACAAAAAGCAAACAAATCATGTGCGAAGATGTAAGTTAAAATGATAACTCGCGCTATTTACGTGGAATCTTTAGAAGTCCCACTTTTTTATAAGACGCGATAGCAGTCTGTAGATGAAATGAAATCGATCCTGTAAATATAATCATACCGGCTTTCCGTTTTCCCGTGTTGCCAGTCCTGCATATGACTGAGCGGACAGGTAACTCAATAGCACAATGTCAGCTTTCAGTACAATAATCAAATTTTCACTACTTGAGCAGGAAGGCCATAGCCTATAGCCAGTCGGAAATTAGCGTGACTTCATTTCCGACAGTGCACGCAACTTGCTGCTATGCAGCAGGAAAAGGCGATGTTGCTTCTTTATGCTTGTCAGACCTCTCATTACAAGAATACTGAAAATACCTCTGCACCGCGCAAGATTATTATGTTGTACCAAACCTTTTTCTAAAATCTGCTGTAGTTAGAGTAACCCCAGTTAATATCAAGATGCTTTCTGTAGCGGATAACACGTCCCATTCCCGTTTTCACGGTGGGAATTTCTCCCACAACGTATCGTTAATAATCGATTCCCAGCAGGAGAACTATTCGGCCATTAACACTGCTCTCCCGTATCTGCTCATCTTGCTTTCCATCGCCACCACAGCCAGCAATATAGTTATTATAGCAGCTTTTTTAGTGAACCGGCATCTGCGGACACCTTTTAACTGCTACCTGATATCCTTGATTGTGTCTGATATTGGCCAATCGGCATTTGATCTGCCTTTTATGGTGGCTAGCCTCTTCCAACCAGTCTGGATATTTGGCCGAACAGCTTGCAATTTTAACTTGTACGTTAAATGGGTGTTTGCCGGTGTTGTGCGCAATACGCATGCGCTGATTAGCCTTAACAGGTTCTGTGCGCTCTTCTGGCCAATCATTTACAAGCAGTACCACACCAAAACAACAGCCATCTGGTTATGCATAGGAACATGGGTGTATGTTCATATCTGGCTGATGCCGGGAATGGTGCCGGATGCAAGAGGGTTGCGAAAGGATGACGGAACCTGCTTTGTTAATACTACAGCACAGCCAGTATGGGCAATGGCTACTCAGTGGTGCTTATATAACTCAACTCTTGTTGTTATTACGGTAAGCAGTTTTTCACGGTTGATTCTCTTATATTTCCTCATTACGTGCACAAAATCAAATGCGTCACAACTCTACAACCTTCTACACCTGATTATTAATCCCCTAATGACTAACTTTAAATTGATTACAGCACATACAGCAGCTGTGCGTGTACTGACAAATTTCAGATTGCCTGTTCTGCTTGTGCGGTTTTGCAACGTCACTAATCTATTTCCGTGACCAACCCTTTCATTATACACAATCCTGCAGAGTCACCTTTTGATTAAATTTAGCATGACCAGCAGATTCGTTTTCAACAATTCAGTTCAAACCCGTGATGGAAGACAGCCGCAAATGGTTGCGCATGTGACCTACTACGATTACATACTGTGCAAAATTGCTAAATACGTAGCGGATTTTGGAAATAAGGTTTCTCTAAGTTTCAACATGGCATTCAAAATCATGTTCTGTCATTCTATTAAGGGTTGATGGCTGGGTTAGCAACTTAGCACATCCTATCAAGGAAAGGCTGAGAGCCAATAGAATCTTTAGAAGGAAACAGCCAAACAGGTCAAAGCAGAAATTTTTTTAAAATGATATGATGTTTTTTCTGCAGATTACCTATCCGTTCATATGGTGGAAAATTCGAATGCGTCAAAAACTGGTTACTCCAGTAGGTCAAGTTCGTACTGGGCAACGACACGGCAGCTTAAAGATGAATACTGTCTATCAGGGTCCGTCTTGCGCCAACCCAAGCAGCACCGGTACGACAATGAAATACAGTCCCTTTAGTTACATTTTCCTCGAGCTAATTCTCTGCTGGTTTTTGCTAGGGAACGACTTGAAACTAACTTTGACCGATGAAGACGGTGGCGAAGGTGAAGACATCGCGGAACCACCGGATAAATACTCACCCACACACAAACCTAGCGTGCCCATCGAACACGCCGCCGTCCATCCAAAACGGTCTCAGAGTTTCGCCGTTCTGACGTACCTCGTTCTCGGTGTCATCTTTTGCTGGACTCCCATCATGACGTTCTTCACACTGGCGGACTTTATGGACTATGACAGCCATTTGCACTTCGTCATTGGATCGTTGCTCTACTACCTTAATTCGCTATTGGATCCGTTCTTTTTCTGCATTGCCATAAAGCCGCTGCGGATGACCGTACTGGCCATACTACAAGGACGCACCAAAAGAACAAAGTAGTCGATAATAATGATAAATGAGTTTTCTTTAATAAGAAGTTTATGCAAAGTAGATTACAGCCAACCTGTGTATAATTTTTGCTAGCTGTTACACGTATAATTCATATGAAATTAATGTAAATCCCCATTTCAGTTTTTTTTTAAACGCACATCTCTTTATGCGATGTTTAGTGTTGAATTTCGAGACAGATTTGTAAATTTCCTACTATCTGTTATGCGCTCAACTGAATTTAAACAATTTTTAATTCGGAGTTGTTTGCAATGAAACGGCAACAAATGTCTCATGAGTCACGCACGAGTCGGTTTTCGTCATAAGTCTACAAAGTTGAATGAACACACGCGAATACCTTTCTGTTAAAAATCCTTTCACTATCTTGTATGATCTCGTGTTAAGTTATTAATACGGTGTGTTATTAACCTTGTCAATGATCGCAGTGGAGTATATAATATGACTTGCAACAACCGAGCCTCCTTTTCGTCAAGGTTGGCCATTAGTGCGCCTATTGACGCTGTAATGCTAAATCCCCCAGCCCTTTAATTTTGACCCTTTCTTTTGTTTTTGATGGTCCGATTAGGACCTGGTTAAATTTTTGGATTTTACATTTCCTCGCTTATACTTTTGCCGATTTCGGCCTTATGTCACGGAGTACTGCGTTTACGCCGAATTCGAAAGCGATATCGCAAGGAAGTTTACACGCGGAATCCCGCTAGAACCGGATAGCCGGTAGGCACCTACCCAGGCGCTTGGCACTGCAGCTGTCGCTTGCAGGCGATTCCGCATAACGTCAAGAAGGGCTACCATGGCTTGGCATATTTTCTTCACCGCTCCTGTGAATTTGCTTTCGTGTTGCTTTTTCTAGTACAACGCTTTAGTCGTGAAATCTTTCGATCTTGTAATAAAAAGAATAATTTATTTCTGGAATTTTCAAAAGGTTTTAACGACAACAAGTGCAACCAACGAGCGTGCGTTCCTGCTGTTACATTTCATGTTTCATATTTTTCCGCTTGTACAAGGCTCACTGGAAATCGGAAGCCCATTAAATTTTCTACAGCTAGGTTTACGAAAATGGTTCGACAATAACAAAACCGCAACTTAAGAAGTGTGCAGAAGGAGCGTTGGTTCTTGTCTTGCTCTGGTGATACAGCCCAGTACTTGAAAGTTATGATAATAATGTACGCCATGATCCCAAACAGATAAAAAACGTTAACAAAATTAAATCCTGGAAATAAACTCGAGATTGCAAACATGTTAAAATCACGAGACTCATGCACCGCAGTCGGCACCGGTAAAGTGCTTATTTAGCAGGGCATGACAAACCTGATTAAGAAAAGAAAATAAAATCAGGCGGGTACAACAATTTTTTACAATAGCACCGAAGAAGAATTCCACATGCAGAGAACGTATGTAGTGTATCTATAGAACTATTATTGCTATGATTTACGAGTATCAGAGATATGCACTTATTTCGAAGGGCAACCAACAACCTGGCTTCTTCCTTAACTTAGTCTGCAAGGCACAACGTTTTCTGGTGGAGGTAGTAACAAGGTTGTGTTGTGGATCATAATTGCATGCACAGCATCTGTATCAATGAATTGAACCTAATAGTTAGCATATCAGCGGTTTTCATTCGCTACAAGGTCAGACATTTGCCGACTGCAGCATCATTTAATTTGAAAGAGCTGATACCGTGACGTCTGCCTATTATATCATAATTGAATAATGGGGCCGCCACCCTATTCAAGAACTTGTGCAGTGAAATAATCGATTGCATTTAACTCAATCAAGCACTAAATTTCGCTGTTGTACCAACGCTACCGTAAACTACAAGTATAAATATACGGAGTACGTACATATTGTACATACTGTGCAAGTACATATCTATAGATACCGCAACACCGAATTGAATAATATTTGTACCCCCCAGGTACATCAAGGAGGAAGAACTACCGTTTGTCCCAGCTCCAAAATCATATCGTCCCGGTGACACATCAACAACACTCTCGTTGCAGTTGCAGATACGCGTTAAACGGAAAGATGTTCAGCTCACCGAATAATCTTTCTAATTGCTCGATCCAGAACACAACCGAATCAGTCAACACGCAACCAGCGCCTTCTTCCACCATCCTCACAGCGATCCTACCGTACTTGCTAATAATTTTATCTCTCTCGATCACACTGTGCGACGGAATTGTCTTGGTGGCGTTCTTCGTCAACCGGCGTCTTTTAACGCCCTTCAACTTTTATCTCGTATCTCTGCTGCTGTCCGACATTGGTCAAGCGACGCTGGATCTGCCCTTTACCATCGTCAGTATGCTGTGCCCAACGTATCCATTGAGTCGCATAGCCTGCAATTTTAATTTATACGCGAAATGGATGTTTGCCGGTGTGGTACGGAATTCCCATGCGCTGATCAGTTTAAACCGCTTCTGCGCGCTGTTTTGGCCGCTTATGTACAAACAGTTCCACACACCCGCCGTGGCTATCGGCTTATGCGTGGGAACATGGGGATATGTTCATCTGTGGCTGCTGCCCGGGTTGGTGCCGGATGCCATAGGATTACGGAAAAATGACGGGACGTGTGCTGTCAATACAACGGCACAGCCAACGTGGGCGCTGACCACGCAAATGTGCTTGTACAATTCGACACTTGTGGTAATTGCGGTGAGTGCATGACCATTCAAACTGATAACGAGTGGCCGCACTTCGTAATGCTGCTCTGCTACCTACATAGGTAGGTATACGAAATTATAAAATACATACAAGAATAAGAATGCTGTTTCATTTTTTGACATTTCATTGCAAAGATTATATTTAGTTGCGTCCAGCACGTAGTAATACTGTGCTAGCGCTAGCAAACAAAGGAAAACAATCTCTTTAGTTTGCACTGCATTTTACGGTACTTGTGAACTACTGAAAATGCGTGCAGCATTGTCAGTATTCAGAAATGGTGAACAGCAACAGTTTTTTCATGATTGTTTAATTTTCTTAATACTTAACCGTATATCAAGATCATCACGAAACATGATGCGTGTTACCCGTATACATGTATATACTCATACATGTACTGCACGAGAGTGCCGATGGTACAAAAATTAATAACGGTACCTGTATCGCTGCCACACTTCCTAATTTACTGCATTAAATCGTAAAAGACGCACGCGTAAAAGACAAACTCGTGTAGAATCCGGCAACACGGGCACCGCAACCCACCCGTCTGTATTTTTGCGTGCAGTTAATTTGAGTTAATCACACACCGCTTGAGCTGCTTTACCAGTGACGCCAAAACTAACAAAGGCATAGCTAATTTACAAGACTAACTCGGTACTCATGTGGAGTTACAAATAATATTATCACGATGCTTTCGGATCGACTCTGGGTTGCACAAAGGTCACCAAACAGCCGCCAGCTCTTCCGTTTTTCTGAAAGGATCTGTATTTATCGTTAATTTGACTGTTAGCGCTACCTGGAGATGTAAACAGAGAACAAATGCGCATATGTATGCCAATATCCAATGCCAATTACTCGTGTTACTATGCTAATTACTCGTATGTGTGCTAATTGCTCGTATTTAATACGTAAATACACGTATTAATCTTGATAATCCAAACGTTAAGCAGGTTATCATAGCATGGCAGCCTTGTCCTCTCATAATTCCGTTGTTTTCTGATGTTCAGGGGACGTATCCTTTGATATGGTGGAAAATGCGCCAGCGTAATAGGACGGCTGTTCGAAGCGGAGTGCTGTCAAGTTCAAAACAAGCCCATCCGGTTTTAAACGATTCCCATAAAGACCGTGTTCACACGTGCGCCAACGGCAGCGTTCAAGGTAAACTCCAAATTCATGTGATCAGCACGTCCCTAACTTCCGATCGCAATTTACCGGCTGTTTACAATATATCTCTAAAGGTTTTTCTATTTGAAGTGCCGGATGCCAGAAAATCTGTGGATAAGGATGCCGACGAGTTCAATGACTCGTTAGACAAGCACACAATCAAGACATTACCATCGACTGAAACCGAACGCTACAATGGTCAGCGGAAGCGGTCGCAGAGTTTTGTGGTATTAACGTATCTGGTTGTGGGTGTCGTATTCTGCTGGACACCTATAATGACCTTCTACACGCTGGCCGATTTTACTGAATACGATAGCAACATACATTTTTTAATCGGGTCGCTCCTGTATTACTTTAACTCACTGTTGGATCCGTTTTTCTATTGCATCGCAATTAAGCCTTTGCGTGCAACGATTTTAGGCATGTTGCGAAAGCGCTAGTTCACTGTGGAATACGAGTAATTTTAAAACTCTTGAACGATTCAATTATGCTACTGTTGAAAACTGAGATTATCATTGCGAAAAAATCAGTGAAATGAGCAAAAGAATTTCCATAAACAAATGATTTACCAAGTACTCCTGGCTTTTAATAAACACTGTAATGCTTTTTAACTAGAAAAAAAACGTGTTCACTGTAAAATTAATGCCCCAACAACTAGTCTCGTCACAGCGCAGGTGCTTGCTTCATTTGAAGCGACACCGGTACGACACTTAAAATCAAGCTTCTGCTTTTTTACCTGCAGGCGATTTTGCAACAGTTTTTACTCTGTTCCATCTGAAAACTACCCGCGGTTGCAAGATTTCACGTTTTATGGGTCGGAGTCAGTACCGTGCACCAGTGGCGCACCAAAATATAGTGCTCAAAAGCGATCTCTAATTTTAGCGTTCTGCAACAGCTGTGCAATTTATTTACATATTTGGATCGCGTTTAAAATGACTCTTGTTAGAGACCATGTACCGGCCTTGCGCAAAGGTATGAAAGCAGTCACTTAATGAGAACTATTGGATTTAAACTTATTTCGTCATGCTAGCTATTTGCCTTTAGCATATTATATAAATTAAAAACGAAGTTGCTCGTAAAATGATCTCTACATCAACATTAAGCCAAAATATTTCCAATTAACTCTTTGTAGACAATTTGATATTTTCGATTAAGTTAAATAATTATTTTGTATATATGTTTGTGCGATTAATTAACAGATTTGTTGCCGAGATTCGTTATTAAAACTTTTCGGACCATTTTGGAAATGCATTCTCCATTTATTTTTGGGTCGTGATATTTTCTTAATGTTAACAAACAGGTTCGTCAAAACCGCAAGATGATTCTTCGAAGATCACCGTGTACAGTGTACGAGGCTCACCGTACTGCCAAAGAATTCGACTACTCATGAATGTTCTACATATCCCGTAAGTACGTAACAGCAAGTACGTAACAGAGGCCTAGAAATTAAAGTTTTCAAAAGGTTAATTACAATCTGTCATACAGGCAGTAACCTGAATACGGAAATTAATTAGCGACCTGCTTAATACCAGTCATATTGACGAAGAATCGAGTTACAATGTTTTCCTGTTCGTAGAATGCGCATAGTGAATGTGCATATCTGGGATAAACCGGAATGGTTTGTTGGATTGACGCCGTTCAGTAAAGTACCCAGCATCACCGACACTGACAGCCGCAGTTTATGCGAATCTTTGACGATTGCCGAGTACGTCGACAACAAATATGGCAACGGAAAACACCTACTGCCAAAAGACAACTATTTGCGCGCCCAACAAAAAATTCTGGTGGAAAGAATTATGCTTCTGGTAAAGGGTTGGCAAAACGTAATATTAACATGATTAATCGAAATAATATCGCTATTATATTTGATGAAGGTCGGCGATCCAGTGCGGGAAGTGGCATTCAAGGCAACAAAAGAAGCCGGCGAAGAGCTTCTTCGACGCATCGAAAAAGCGCAAGAACTGTTAGAAGACGATTATTTTGCCGGTAAATTATTGTTTGTTTTTAATTGATAGCTGTTTTACTCAATATATTATACTCGTATAATGCAATTAAAACTAATTTTATTGTCCCTGAAGGCAAAGAAATGGGTTTCGTCGACATTATGGTGTATCCGTGGTTTGACCGATCGCCAGCCTATTTGCGCACGGTTGGTGTGGATATCAACACTGGAAACACGAAAGCGATCATGGCTTGGCGGGAGCGAATGCTGACCAACCCGGCAGTGACGGGGTCATCTTACTCAGACGCTTTTTATACGGCCATCCTGGAAGGCCGCCGGAAGGGCAAACCCGACCCAGACGTTGGCATGGACCTTTAATTAGGACGATGTATGCAGTGTTGTGCTAAGCAGTCAAAGTTAATTTGTGTCGGTTCGACCTTATTTTTTTCATTGTGGGTGTGGTGGTTGAGAATTTATGGTTGTTTGTTTCAAACATCTGCAAGCGGTAAACAACACCAGAAAAAAATAAGAGAAAAAGTTCAAAACCCCAGTAAATTTGCTTCATTAAATGAAGGATTACCTACCCTAGTATGCAGTGCACTGCATGTACAGTCTGTACGAGTACTTTATACAAACAGGTTAACAGCACGTAAAACATTAAACAAGAACATGAATTCAAGGTGTACTGTTTTATTGCATTCAGCCCAGGCTCTCAACCAATAACAGAATCTACGCACCCCGTACAATTATAAAAACTAATACAAAAGTTTAATACAAAATAATACAAAAGTTTATGTTGCTATAACTGAGGTTTTCTTACACATTGCATGTTCAGGCATCTAAAATATATTGATGAAATTTTGTTTATTATACATTCGTATGCAATCAGATCTTTAGTTCCTGCAGTTTTCCCAAATTAACACAGAATTAGTCGTCAAATAATAAAATAATATAAATATTTGACTTGTTTTGTCTGTCTAACTTTTCCAGAAAAGACGGCTTGTTGTAACGATCGTTCACTGCAGCAAGACAACACAAAATCTTTACTACATTGGTATGGCTGGCCAACAGAAACCTCTTGTAGTGTAAATAATGTGTCTGTTTTACAAAATATTTATATTTATATCAAATTACAACACCCAATTTTTTTGTTGTTAAATGCATTACGACTACTATTTTTGCGATGTCGGTTTACAGTTGCTTAACTAACTGGGTTCATGTTTCTCGAACAGATTTTGCTCAATTTATTACGAGATTTATGACGTAATGTGGCTCTGTCTCCATGAAGCATCTTAATAATTACCTCTAAAAACCAGTTATTTACTTTCGAATACTTTATAAACCAGCTGATTTTCTCACAAAGCGGTATTCTTGCAGAACCAATGATGGTAAAGTGAGCAATACAAACGTTATCGAAATGGTAAATGGGTGGTAGATCTGTAAGTGTTAACAAAAATGCAGAAAGCGTAAAGGTTAGTAGTTAGCAAAAAGTTGCTTTTGCTTCTGGATCAAGCGCGTCCTTCGAGAAAATACGTGTTTTGTTCGCCTTTTCCCTAAAATTCCAAGGTTCAGTAATTAATTTTATCATTCAAGCAGGCGGGAATTAAGAATGTACCTTGATAAGCATTGGTCCCCGAGAATTCACGATGAAGCCAAACTTTTGGGCGATCTGCGCCGCGGCCTCGCTCAAATGCGTTTGCCCAGCTGACCCATGACTTTCCATTCGAGATGCCATATTCACCGTATCCCCAAACCTACAAATATGTTGATTAACATGCGAAAATGTATGGAAAAGGGCGAAGACAAGGATTCGTATTACAAAACAAAAATTACAGTACATACAGACAGTATCGAGGTCGTTTTATGCCAACTACGCCAGCAGCAGCGGGGCCTACAAAAATATACAAATTGCAGTCGAATCGACAAGCAATTTTATGGCAGCCAGATGATCACTCAGAGAAATTCATGTTGTTCCAGACAATAGTCAGATACGTTAAAACTTAAAAGTGTAATGGACGGTGTCGTAATTAAAAAAATATTAACACATGGTTTTGCAACACAACATTACAAACAGACAGTGATAAAGCTGAACGGCACTTTGAGTTACAGGCTGAACAGCGCACTGTATAGCTGCTTCGAATGTCCATAGCGGCGTAGTACAGTGGCAGTCCTCGGGCTCGAAGGTAACCACTAAATTACTAATGCATACTTACGCCGAACGCTAAAAAATTAATTACATTTAATAATATAATACAACCTATTTTTACGTTAGTTTTTTTTTACCTCAACACATAATCAAAGTATTAACGCAATATACTGCTACAAACCAGAATGCATTCCAATACGGAGCTTTATGGCATCGTTAGCACGGATTTTGTTGAAGATATTTTGAAACTTGATTGCCACTGAGCACACTTCGGCGCAATGTTTGATCCCGTTGCGAACTGGTATACCGCTGACTATCTGTACAGAATCAAAGCAACACATTTTCCGATTACGAACGAATTTATTTTGGCAACTAATGTTTTTTCGGTCCTCACCATGTAGCTTGCTCCGATGGTTTCAACTTTATACACTTGATGTTTCAAAAGCGCGGCATCGAACTGCGAATAAATCTTATCCAGAAGCTCGATAAATTCAGCAACGCTATCATTTTGCAGGTAGACTTCAAGGCCCGAAATACCACTGAAGAACACCGTGCAGCTCTCAAACATTTCCGCGTTCACTGTAATTCCAGCTCGTAGCTGTTGGAGAATTTCCCTATAGAAGCATTGATGTAATAAGTTACTAATAACAGGATACAAGCTCGTCCAAGTAAAGAAAGAAGCGATATATGTAAAACGGTTTTTCTAAAAAAAACATTTTAAACCGGTTAACACTAGAAATATAGACATTTATATTCATCGTAAGAAAATAAATTTTTCAGCAGTACTTAGTAAAATCATAATTATGCGTGCATTTCCGCAAGAACATTAAAATTTATTTAAATTCATGGCCCATTTAGGCTGTGTTGTTTTGAGACTGTCTGCTGTTACGTCAACTGCAGCTTACACCGGGAACATTTCGCGCAGAACCATATCGCATTTATCCCTTTCCACCATATACTGGTGCGTCCGTTCGGCGGCAAGTTGCTCCAGCTCCTGATGATACGCAGTCAGCCGTCTGATGACCCGGTCAAACAAAGAGCCCGCCGATTCCAGACTGCGTAGATCCAGCATAGCGGCCATTAACTTCTTCACCTTCCCAATGGTAAACCGCTTCTCCACGTCCTCCTGCCAGCAGCCTTCCAACAGCACAATCATCTGGTTAACAAAAGGTCCCCGCTCCCAGGTACTGAGATCCGGACGGAAAGGGATCGTGCTGACCTGTCGCACTCGATCGACAACTTCTAAAGCGGAACGGAAAAACTGTATAATTAATGTTTCATCACAACTTCTTGCAGTCACGCGCAACTTCGGTATTGTGTTGTCCAAGTTTAAAAGATTGAAAGTAAATTATAACGGTACCGGCAGCTTGTTTTTCAGAAAGCCTAGCAGGATGTCCCAGACAGAATGGTCCCACTTGTCGCAGGATCTCAAAGAGAATAATGGCGAAAGAATACATATCGTTGGTTGTGGTCTGCGGGGAAGCCAGTGAACGCAGCACTTCCGGACTGGTCCACAATTGGTCAAGAGGATTTTTCATCATATTCAGATCCACAGCACGAAAGTACCGCTTGATGGGTTCGTTAGCGCAATCGGCGATTTTTAATGAGAATACTTTATCAATGACGCATTTGGTGCTGCGCAGGTCGCCGTGGCTTCCTAATACGGAGTTATGAAGAAAGACCAGACCCTGGAAGAATAAAGAAACCAGATTATATTCCGCAGATTAAAGGGAAAAACCGTTAATTACCTGGACTAGATCAATCATCAGGGAGACTTTCATGTCTTTGTCCACCGGTTTTTCTGAAGCCATCAGATCCGCCAACGAACCTCGCTCCGCATATCCCTCGACGATGCCTTGTTTGATTTCCGTACACACACCAATAAACGCGTTCATATTCGGGTGGCGTAGATTCCGTATCTAAGAAATAGTAAATTAAATCACTTAAGCGCATTATTTGAAAAAGGCATCCGAAAAACTGATTGAATTTGAACTCCGCTTAATGAATGCTGCTGTTACTCGTATTTTCGTCTATATATGCATTTAAGAAATAAACTGACATTGGTGCGTGACTTTTGCGAACTCGAATCTCTCAAAAAAAGTACGCTGCATAAGAGAAAGTAAAAATCAACAACGATGTAGTCTAAAAGTGAATTAGCAGAACATGCTGATTATATTTAATATAAACCTCTCAGCGCATTGGCACAATATTTCCTTTTGCGGACCTTTTGGAAAAATTTGAGACAGTCCCATGATAAGTCCGCTGCATTGCTGATCTGGAACTGCATTGGTGTCATCCATTCTTCTTCTCCCCTCAGTACGACTTTGTGGTGTGGTTGTAAGGATTTCCATTGATACGGTCTTCTAACTGTCGTTTGCTCGGAATGAGCGCTGTCGGCAGCCGAATTCTGCGAAGCTTGAGATGTTGGTCTAATAAGATTCATAAACTGTGAATTGTGCACGCTATGAGCGTTTGATGCGTTCTGGGTGTGAGCTTGGGATGGAACCTTGGATGCCATGGGTTCGGCGAGCTCCGTCGGTGCGATATGCCACCAGCCGGAAAGCAGATCGGCTCGCTGACGTTGACGTCTAGACAAAGGTCAACGATTCATGTTTTCAGTTTTTTAGAGAACATCTGGTATTCAATGAACCGTGACTATTCATTTGGCGAAAATAGCTTTGTAATGGAGTGTGGCCTTACTTTATAATAACAACGGCTCCAACTGACAACAAACCAATAAGCGTCACAGCTCCAACCGCGACACCAATGGCGATATACATTATCGTTTGATCTTTGCACTGATCATTCTGTAAACCGCATCTTGGACGATCAGGTGGGGCCTGTCCCAGTTTCCATTTAAGACGTTTTCCAGTCGGTGCTAACGTGGAATTATGGGTTGTATTCATTGTATACACAGTCTGCAAAAGCAGCATAGAAAACAATAATCTCGGTTTTACTGTGATGGTTTTATTAAAGAGAATGGTAATGCAAAAACGGCACCGCACATCAAAGGTCAAGGTTTCTTTGTTGAACTGTTTAATTTGCAGTTCGCTGACGCGGAGTTTATTGTGGTATGTAATCTTCTCCGATGTCAGATTGAAGGTGGCGTTATTGAAGTAATTGGCAAAGTCCAAGCCGCTAATCTTCACATTCCGCTTAGCTGCGTAGTACGTATCAAAGATCTACGAGACTCATCTAATTATTGTAACCAAATTACTAGACATTTTCAGCGTTTTTGTTGTCACCTGAGAAATTGATTCGATTGATTCGTACAGCGTCACGGCAAACTCATTAGCCTGTGAAAAAAATTCCGGAAATAGTTTCGGGTTACGCTAATCAAATTCGCCACTGCGCAGTAGTAAAGGAAGCAATAATTTAGTTCCATATACGCGTCTGATCAATCAGCGTTACTCCGCCTGGACCGCCACTGTAATTATTTTAATTAGTTGTTAGTTTATAGAGACATACTTCAAGGTCGGTTCCGCTTATATTGAACGTCTGCAATCGGCGCTCTTCGACGGTTTTCATAATTTTGTTTATTCCGGAAAAATCCGGTACAAATGGACGTATGACCAATACAGAATCAATTGCGCTGGCGAGTTTCTAAAATCGAAATGTATCGCAAAATAAATACGATTAATTTATTATGCTAAACAGCATGTTCCCTTACCGTGTTGTTGGGATCGTACTCGAAGAACGGATCATCAGCGACCACGTACGTGTAAGCCATAATCAATACCTGCGACAATCGGCAAGAACATTAATTAACTGAAGAGACATCGTTGGCATTCATAGCTTCTCGAGATTGTTTAAATAACTGATTATGGTAAAGCCAAGTTTGCAACCGGTTGTTTTCCTTAAATACTGCGCACAACGTACGTAATCTCCAGAAACCATGCCAAGATCAACAGCTGTTTCCTGTAAAAATTCACAATCATGGGATTACAAAAATTCTTATTTGCAAATTGCATATTTGTTGCAGACTATAATACGAGCTAGGTATTAAGTATCTGTAATCAATAAATAGTTTACTACAGAAATGGAAAAAATACGCACCAAGAAATCCTTCTGCTTTTTGCCGGTTGTACAGGACATAATAACTGCGTTAAATAAAATCAATCAATATCATTCCGTTTGCTTGTAACAGTTTTTTGATAATTAGCTGTCCTTACTTCGAGTAAACTGTGAGGCCTCAGTTAACGCTTCCCGCCACGCGATCACGCTTGTGGCATTGACATTAATCTGTTTGAACTGGATGTTAATGGTACGGTTTTTCTCCAGCGCTTCCCGGTTATACCGGCAAGTTTCTTTATAGCGCATCCTGTTTTTGGGCGAGTCAATTAGTTGATCCTCAATAAAGGCAACACTTTTCCATTTAAACTTCTCCAGTAATGCCACAAACATATCCCCAAAAATTGTCATCATCACCGAACCGGCAGTTATCACTGTCACAACCACAAGAAACCAATTTATGTTAGATACTGTATATTATGTGATAATTATAGTCAACAAATACATAGCTCCACAAACACCACGGCTAAATATTTGACGTAATTCGCTAATAGCTGCGATTGTGTGTACTCGTGCTGTCGTGCAGCACACAAGCGTGCATCCTTTTAGTTACTTAGTACGTGAAAACTGATTTTGACTGAGAATTTTACCTGTAGGGTATCGGTATGGATCAGCAAGCTCCACTGTATTTTCAGAGCTGTCGAAAAAAATATCCAGTTTATTTCGCAGAGTGTTACATAGCATCAAAACAGCGTGGCATAAAGAATATTTTCCACGAAGTTTGTAATCACTGTACATTTTTTAAATAATTTCTATACTCGTATGCATAATTTAAACAAAAATTAATAGCAAGAGTTCGTGCTACAGTAGCAAAGATACCCCTGGATCTAACCATAAAAAGTGCAGGAATAGGTCTTACGAAAATAGCGCCACATTGTCCAGCTCTAGAAAACCAGAAATACAAGTGTTCATGAATACCTAACTATTTGTAAGCTGTAAAAGAATCAACCTAACGCAAGTATAACTCCGAAAAATGAATGTGGTTACCTCTTGCAAAATCACCAACAGCTTGAAATCCAGTGGCACAAGCTAAAAATGTAACCGAAAGGCTAAGTTAATTGATTTAATCGATAACTGTTTCAGTATATATCGTTCTGTCGATCACCGATCGGGGTTTCGGGCTCTTGTAATTAAGCAAACGAAAGCGTAGTTAATTTTATAAATCTACTCTAGGACTCCTCCTCAATAGCACTTACTGGATAATATAATAACACCAAAGGTTACATCATAAAGTATAAAAAACCGATTCTCAGGAAACTGAACACTATATGTTGGAAAAATATAATGCACAAGATACAAAAGGTTAATGTTAATCAGTACGACTGTACTTATAGAGAAGCATCACTGGAACATGAAAGATAATATATGAAATGTTGTAATTCGTAATAAGAGTATTATTATTTTTGTAAAGTTTTATAATAATTCTGATGTAACAGTAGCTTATATATATGTACATCTGAAACCGGAAATTGACAAGTTTATTAGTACGCTTACCTAAAGTACCAATGGTGACGGTCAGTCCAGTGCCAGTCAGTTGATTGTCCCCATACAACTCCGTCATTGCCATGCGTATGGCGTCTTCATCCTGAATTGAACAGGGTGTGACAAGTGGTCCGTCAAGGTTTTTGTATACCGCTGTCATATTCTGCAGGCTCCCGGGATACTGTTTCCGCATGTTCTCCACCGCTATCTCCGCGGTGGACGCTGCCATCCCGTAGCCCGAATTGTACATTTTGCCGGTACTCAGCACCGCAATGTGCATCTGACCGCCAGCTGATTTACTCCAGTATAACAACAAAAAGTTGACGATAGCATATTGTGCTTGCATGATAAAGGTTTACGCATGCAAATACACGGACTCCTGGAACGCACAGGAATAAAATGCATACACCAGACACGTCGTGGGGTAAAGTAATCTAATGCCGCCTTTTGGTCTTGTATCTATATAACAAGAATGCCGTAAACATTTGCGACAGTAGTCTTCAGTGCAAAATATAAACAACATGTGCGTCAGTACATATCTATATAGAGAATATTAACCGCTGAAAACAGCTTTTATTTGGAAAAGTCGAAACTTAACAATGAGCAGCAACTTAGGGAAAGCAAGGTTACAAATATGTACCTGCGGTTCAGTAAAAGAAATAGATTATGTTCACCATGGTAAGTATGTCGAGACTTTTTTTACATCACACCGTACGAATACGTGGCCCAAGCATCGCAGCACAGAAATATAACGATGGGACAGTTTTGTTAATTTTTAGTTGAAGTATATGTATATATACGTATACTGCAGTATACGTGCAGCTGCACGTCCACAAACTTTAATAAAAGTAATCATTTTATACAGTACTATTTGTACGGCTTGTAAATCCAACCACATAATCGGTTGGGAACGTCGTTCTCGATCCTGATGATTAGTCGATCGGTTAGGCATTTTTGAATTCTTGGCACTTTCCGTTTCCTTCTTTATCGGTTCCCGGATAACAAGACAGCATCTGATGTTTCTTCGTTTGACCGCAACATGGCTGTTTCTTACTGCAGTGCTGACCAATTTGGTCTTCGCACTTCTTTCCTTCCGCTTGCGCTATCTGAAAACAAGCATTAAATGATCACCTAATCTTGAAGATAAAACAAATTTCTGCCAGGATAGTACGGTTTATTACAAAGTATTCTACTTAAGTTTAACGGACTTACTAAGGCGCAGGCAATCAAAATAATGCAGAAACACCATCGCAAAATGTTCATGATAAACCAAAGTGTATGGAAAGATAAACTAAAATATCCACACTGGGTAGAGGGTTCCAACTTCGGCAGAATAATTAAGGATTTTCTTAGCAGCCTGGGCAAACAACATTAAGTGAGATGAAATTTTAAAATATCTTTCTGTTCCGTTGCATCCGTTAAAGCGTTTGTTACCGTTTTATATAGTTAGTGGCAGTGCCGTATTGACATCGGCTAATAAATTAAACTGTTTACTGTTTATAGCACCGTTCGCACCGCCATCAGGCTTTTAGGTATTTTCCTCGCGATATTGTTGCATATTGTTTGAGCACGTACACCGTATGAATAGATATACATAAACATTATTCGTAGTCATTATGACAGAAGTTGGTTGCTGCAGCTTTTTGATTCAGTTCTTAAATCTCATTAAAGACAAAAGCCAATTTCTGGAGATATAATATGTAAACTTAAAGTGCCGCATACCAGAATTTAAGTATTGTAGAATAAGTGTCCTTTTGCGCTTTACGACTACGTGGGGCTGTATATTGGAGTGCAGTGTAGCGAAGTGGCAAAAAACGATGTTGGCTTCCTAGAAGCAAAGTATCTTGACTTTTCAAGCGTATACATTTCTCGTATTCACGAGTTCCACTTTTTTTTTAAAAAATCACACAATTTCTCAAACTTTGAATTCAGAAACGTTAATATCTATATTTGCTGCGTGTTGCTGGAGAGGGCGCGCATGCAGACTGTGTACTTGTACTAGTACGAGTACTGTTACTGTAGTACATACTCACATACTCACGCTGCATGTTGCTGCATATATTATGTAGTATAAAATTAAGTATGCTTTACAAGATTCTACTGGACAGCGTCAAGGATAAAACGATGGATGCTGGATGGTCAGCATGCATTACTGATCTCAAAATTAATAATGTTGTTGCAAAACACTCGCTTATACAGATATACCTAACTGGAAAAATGTTACAACCTATTTTGTATAGGGAACGAAAAATTGTAAACGCAATGATAAGCGCACATTGCACACAAGTGCAACAGATATTGTCGCTTCAATTCAGTTTTTCTTGAAATATTTATATACGCGTACGAAAAAACATACGGCTCGTAGAATGAACAGCTTCGAACCGAAGTTTCTTAATATTTTAATGTAAAATTTTATTTAGATTTCACAGAAAGCGATTGCTTCGCACTTTTAGAGATGCCTATCAACGAAAACATTGGCAGTGGCTCATCGTCTCATATGCAACTTTATACGCGGGTATAGTTTGTTGCGTATTTTTTTATTTTTCATGACGAACAGAAACCGTTTTATTGTATTTATATTTTATCCTACCCATTATAAACCGTATTTTACCAAACGATGTTCCCGCCCCCAGTATTCGATTCTTCTTACCACGTTAATTAGTTGTACATTCTTTGTATGTTAGTTCTTTTTAATTCTTCATTGGGTATAGTTTGTTGTGCTCTTGCATGTGCAATGCAGATTCCGATTGCAAAAAATGGAATTTGGAATTGTTGATTGTTTTTGGAATTTGTAACCGTAGTATAATCGTTATTGCAAAAAATAAGCTGTGTCGCATTATACAGTACAGATACTATTATAGTAGTACCATCCGAATATTACGTACTTTAACGTGAATAATATTGCTCTACCGTGCAGTAAAATGCATTTCTAATTTAACGTTAAATTCGTATAAAAACCGAAATTATTGGCCCTAAACGAGCAGCAAACGGAATTCGCGATTATTGATTTATGTGCTTTCTTATTAATTTTACCGCTTTAATAATTATATTGTTCCAGTTTTACAAAGTGCCAACGAATATGGAGAAATGCCGATGGGGGCAGCCTGCCTCCATTATTTGGTTTACCATTAGCCTGCATCTTAGACAGGTCTAACCCGATCAGATCGGCACTGAAAAGAATGAATGGACCAACGGCAAACACGGGAATTATGTGCCGATCATGAAAAGAACAATTATCTCCTCATGATCTTGTCTTAATCATCACCAGGCCAAGAAGGTCGCACGGGTCTAAATGGGAGCCGAGAGTATAGGCCGTTGCGCGGTGACTTCACCTTGGATGCTCTCTCAACGACAACGGCCAGATCTCACCTCTGATTTCCATGGGCTTTAAAGTTTAACAGGGGATTGTGCCGGCAATAGGATTCTTCTTGTGATTACAGCCGATGAGGGAAGGGTAATGCATCGCACCTGCAGTATTGTCACAGAATTAAATTTCTCTTACCGCTTCATTGGACGGCAATCGCTGCCATACTGCAAAGGGAGTAGTCACACTGTGCAAACAAATTAAGCCTTACCTAGTCCGCTTATGTATGGTTAGAATCACACTGAAGAAGCCCTGTAATTTCACTCCGAAATTTCCATACCGGTTCTGAACGAGGCCCCATTATGACTCTTCAGTGCATTTCCAGATTTTGTAGCCGATCACCACACTGCCTTAGAAGTAGAACAATTTTAAAAATTACGGAAATTACAGAGTACTTCCATGAAATATAGAATGCTTTTAAATATTTTATTTTTATAAACACTTTTCAAAATCGATAAATATACCTGCATTTTTATAAATACTTTTTCAAAAATTTGATTGAAATCTTTAAATCTCTAATAAAAGATAAATTAACTCACTCTTGAATCGCTTCAACATTTACATCCTAATGGCTATTTTTTCATAGGAAATCAAATCACAAATTTATTTAATCTTTTAAAAAAATAAAACCGCAGCAGATAAACACTGACCCAATCCCAGGTAATCCAGACCGCCTGGTCGCATATGTATAATTTGTACGTCAGTCAGAGTTGATCCAGATCTTCTGTGAAACCGTACTGTGTGCATTCCATTAATTTCATGCACCGGCGGAGCATTCTCACTGTGATACACATTTCCAGAGAAATATGGTCACTCTCCAGTGGATCCGCTAATTGTGAGAATTTAATTTCGACACGCTACGAAATTCGAAACGCAGACGACGACACACAACTGACCAGGTTGGGCAGTCTTTCGTAACGCCGGCTGGACAACTGAATGGCATCATACCATTTTACTGTGGCGTTAAAGCCTTCCAACAACAATAATTACCTTTTAAAATCAGGCTTTACCATTGTCCATGATTTCCTGTTGATACCCGGTATTTTCCCTGGATTACACATGAATTACAAGACAGGGAAAACGGTCTACAGGTGACATCCCCTTCGACCAGGATGCCGCGCGCCGCGGTTGCATTGTACTAATAAACCTATTCTCATCGTTTAATTATGTGGATACATAGACGAACTCCCGTTGTGCATAATCAGTGGTTACTGGTTATTATTATAAGCAGACGATCGGTTTAATGAAGCGTAATAACGACATTAAGAACACGAGCACATACTGCGTTTTTAATCAGAATAAGTGTTCTTCTTATGATTTATTATCAAATAATGTGCTCCAGGTTAATACACTCTAACAGCTGAAAATAGATTCAAATTGATTAACAAACGCCTAAATCCCAGACATTTTATAGGTAATTCATATAAATTAATGCAATATACACTTTACTTAAAAAGTAATTCTTAATTTACCGGCACTAATGCACTGCTCAGTGTGTGATTACGGACAAAGACGTATAATTATTTACCAAACCACGTTTTTTTACAGTGGCTCTGAATTCGAGTTTGCGAACAGATCTGCAGGTATAGTTTTTTAATATTAACGAAATGCCCATTTTATTTAAAAAACTTAAGTTTTTTCTCTTGCTGTGTGTTTTAAGCAAATATTTGTTTGCACGCAGGCGGTTTCTTTTTTTAAAAAAATGGGATGCAGCTATGAAGATCCCCTTTGCTAACATCCTCGCCTCGCCACACCCACCTAGCCCAAGTAATCAATGGTGTTGTTAGCGTTGCCATTCGCGGCATAATAACCCATCATTGCTCACTGTCCAGGATTAAGCCGTGCACTCACTGGCTCCGAACACAATCCCCACTTCGTCCAAACGACAGAGTGATAAATCAACGTCCATAGAGCGGCAGTCAATAGGCATAGCTCAGCCGTGCAGCTGGCGTTCCATTCTGTCCAATCAGGCCGCTGTTGTTCCCGGCACTGCGCATTGTCCCAACTCCCTCACTACTCATGCTGCTCCAGCAGTCGCGACAGCCGCCGCATCTCCTTCCCCCATCCTTTCAATCCGCAGCGCGCAGCATAGAGCGTTGCTGACCTCCGAGGTCATCCACAGCCGATTACACTGCCGTGCGCCATAATGAGGTCACGGCCTTACTCGGCCCGACGCCAACCGACTGCAGCTGTTTTCCATCAAAAGGGACACTAGTTCCATTTGGTCATAGTGCCATGGATGTGTATATTTAGTGCGTTGCCGGCGTTTTGTGTGTAGCTGTATATATGTCGGTGGATTAGCGTTGAATGCACGTCGGGGCCCATCAGATGCCGGAGAGAGCGAGAGTGCTGTGCAGTGATGATGGGGGATTAGTGGATGGGGCCGGTTGACTGGTACTTAACAGATGGGCGGGATGAGGTCACGGCGCGGGTGCTGCTCCCGGGGTCCGCCGGGTCGCCGGCGCTCTATTTCCGGGATCATCCGGCAGTTGTGTCTGCGGACCGATGGGGCCGGCGTGTCAAACGGCCCAATACCGGATTAGCCTTAATTCAAATGCCGGGGCGCCATCCAATTAGTTCGCTGTATGTAATAGCAAGTTTTATACCATGTTGGCACTTTGTCGCTTCGAAGCGTGGTGTATAATTTCCATCCCACTACTTGTTTTATTTACTTTCTTGGAAGGCTGGTCGTCTACCGAATGCAAAACTGACGCAGGAGCACTGGAAATAGGATTAAAAAAATTCGGCGTACATTTCGAACGACACATTGGTGAACATGGTGAAGTTAATTATTCAAGCGATTCGTACTGCACGGTTTTGAGATAATGAATGAAACTACATATGATTGAAAACAAAAATGGTCAGAACACACTGCAACCATTAACAAAATGTTTTTAAGCAATTATTTCTAGACAGCTTCTGGACTTTATGTCCGTTTCTGCAGAACCAAGAATTAACCTGTTTGCTCGTGAGGTTTTGCTTAGCCAATGTACGAGTACTACGGTTTTCACGACAACTATTTTAATAAGGAACAAGGGGTGCATAAGTCAGTATGGTTGTATAAATAATGCGTGTACCTGCTTCTACGAGATAAAATTTGTTCTAATTTAAAATAATTTAATAATAACACTAATTCTACCCGAGTCTCATGCGTGCTTTGTATTTACAAACCAAAATTTAAGAATATGTTTCAAGTGAATCAGTTTTGCAATTTTAAACTGTTATTGTAATAATATGTCATATTGATTTTTGAACGTCATTGAGCGCAAAGTTCTTCCAGTACATCGACGGCAGATTGCTGATGAATGATTTATATATTTTTCTAGAGCGGAAAGGGGCAGGGGATGACCTTTTGACAAAGCTGGGAAATGGCACGCGGACCGACAAATACATATTGCGTGCTTAGAGCCCGAAATTTTCTTCAACTGCCCTTTGCGACACTTATCGATTAACAATTGTCCAAATGGCTGCGCGTTACAGACGCACACGGTGCCTGGAAGTAGAGCACACACCGATGCCGATCGGGCGATGTATCTGGTCTTTAGTGGCGCTCGCAGTCAAATCATCATGGAGCTGTGTGTGCATGTGCGCCTAATGAACTCAAATCCCTTATGAACGACATTGGGACGCTCATTCATCCGTCATCCGTCTTTTCTCATTTTCTCTGTATACGCAATGGCCGTCATGTTTTCTTTTCCGGCTACCATGTTTGCACTGTATGCAAGCCGGCTTTTATTGGCTTTTCCGCTTGAAAATAACGGTTTTGTCGCTAATCAACTGAATGTCTTTGTTGTCCATACACCGCAAATGATTTCTTTAAATAGTTTAATTAAATTTGCCGGTTTTGCTGACTTTTAATGGCTTGTGCATACACGATCGATGGAATCCATATAAACCATGCAGTGTTAGAGATTACATATGTAGATTTGCACGAAGGTGACCTCGATATTAAACGGTCGGAAAGAAATATTATCTCGCTGCTTTTTGTAATAATTACTGTCATACGATTTTTGCGTATCCAGAATTTTGTACTGTATGTTAAGCAAGAGATTTGGAATTCTTAATTCAGTGGTTTTTATTCCGTCCATTCGTCCGTCGCTCTAACAATAATAAAACAATTAAGAAAAACCAAAAACCAGCATGAATTAGGAGAACTTTCACTCGGGATCGGGCCAGTATTAATGCGGATAATTCCTTCGAAATAATTCACTTTACAAACTTGCACTTTGCTAAAAGAAATTCACAACGTCACTTAAAAGAACTTAATAATTAGGAACTTGTTTCATTATTTGGTATGGAACAGTGAGTGCATAGCAGATAGTTTGATTGGCGCAACAGAGACTGCGAAGCGTACACGCGCGCGTGTGCACGCATCGTTGTACTTTTTCCATACACGCATATCGGCAGTGGAAATGGAGAGAACCCATCCATCGGTTTGCCGGTATATATATTTCTGCCCCGGATCATTATCCCGTGATTTCGCTCATTGGCCCTATTGACAAGGCGGAAGTGCCGGAGCGACCGGATATGGCCATGCGCTGTTATAGCCGCTTCCGCTGATGCCGCTGATGAGTAGGTCGCGGAGGATGTTGTCGATGGATACGCTTTTTCCGCCGGTTAGACGGGAAAAAAACAGCGATTCAATCATGTGACTGCTGCCCATACGCAGGCCGGGCAGCCGCAGTAGCAGTTTACCGAAGCGCATCGGCGTCGTGGCGGTATACTCGGCCAGGGCGCACTGTGACCTTTCCTGTAGCTGTTCGACCGAGAGAGCGTCGCTCAACTGTGCAGCATCTACAAAATCAAAGAAACGTCTACTTAGTTTTTGGCCGCATTGTCTTAGCATGTGGATACGTAAAAGGACTTAAAAACTGCGATATCACATATCTTTCGATTACTTAATTTTTCGTTAATCTCTGGCGAGGCCACCGGGTCAGCGTACTAGCCGAAAATGCTACATTACAAACAACAAATTAAGGAATTATCTTTGCGCAAGGAAAAAAGAGAAATTATCCTTTGCGCCATAATTCTTCAAAGGTTCTGTATTTTCGACTTGGCTTTAGAGCTTCTCAAAAGACCCATGCACTACGAAAGTGTTTGTTTTCTGCGGCTCAGCACATAGGTTTAGCGCGAGATAGTTTCCGATTCATCGCGCAATATAGCCGAGAAAATGGTGCAAAAATAAACTTCGCTTATTACATTTGCGATTGGAGAAATGAGGATTTAATTGAATTGCAGTACATTCAAATTCTGCTAAAATTTTAATTTACTAGTAGTTGTTTTTGTACTAAATTAATTGTCGAGTGAAGCAGCAAACTGCAGCTTCAAATTTTTAATTATTGACTTTGTTGGAAAATGAGCATTTGTCAATGAGGATGCATTCAAAGATCTATAAATCTTATACAGTGCATGTTTCGGCGAATAGGTCGCACTTGAGGTTACAAGTTGCGTCGACCTTCGTTAGGGATGCACACCGTAAAACACAGCAAACATATCTCAAACGATTGAGCCTGATTAACATATGCTCATAGAGGCAGATGGAGTTCGTTGGAGTCCTTTAACATTTGGCTGAAAATAAATAACGATGGCGTTGATGGGAAGCCATCGATCTGTGTCCCTGACAGAACACGTATAATATATCAAGCGGCTCCTATCCATTTATAAATTGATAACTAACCCGGTAATATGTTAGTCATGCTCAGAGGATAGTGGGGCAATTTGTTTTTCACACAGCTCCCATCAACACACACACAGCCGAGAGATAGAGAGAGACACAGGCACACACAGTTGAGCACTTACACCAAGGTCCCCTAATTGACCTAACCCCGAAAAATACATAACTTGAACAAAAAAATCTCAACGCTTCACTGCTAATATAACCCGCGCTCTAAGAGAGCCACAGAGCCTCTCGACATTACACTCACACACGGCCAAATATGAGGTCGCCCATTTAATAAAGATCCGTATATGAACGTGTTGGTGTGTAATATGCAACTCTTTACGCCAGCTCGCCCCGATCCGGCTAGTGCCGACTGTGCGCGTCGGCCCGGCCTAACGGGCATCAATACTGACAACTTGTCAAAAGTGCAATCTAAAAATAAAAATTATTTGCAAATTGCTTATCATGCACGGCGGCCGGGTGCAGTTTAGCCATCGTTAACCGGGGCTAACATCCGCCGTGAAACTCTGGCCTACCCTGCTCGGTGACCTTTCACATCTTCACTGCCCGGAATGGGCATGCCTGTGTCCCATAAAAGAATATCGCTGTCTAACAAAATTATCACTTATTCTAACGACTTGCATACGTTGTAAAAAATGGTTAACTTCTAACTCGGGTCACAATTAAGTCTGTCCAGTTATGATTATTATCGAATGGTTATAAATCAAATATATTGTAGGCGCCCTCTAATTAATAAAATTCTGCTCGTTCTGGAAAGCTCTTAAAAAGCTGTTCAAAGCGCCGAACTTCGATTATTTGCCAATGTCGCTTATATAAAACTGACAGCTGAAATTAAAAAAACGATTTGGGAAATATTACCAAGAAGAGAGTACGAATTATGCTGAAGAATTAGTCACCGCATCAAAAAAAGTGATTCAATAATTTAACTACAACGGTTTATTAATTAGCGTTCCGGCATCTGAATATTTGCTTCTCAGTTGTTGAAGGACCAGGGATTCGGCTTCTAAGCCCATGCTCTACGTTCGCCTGGTGTCCATCCACGCGCTACTGCAACGTTGTGGGTAGTATCGTATCGTTCTGCACAAAACTAACTAAAATTTAAAGCGATAATGCACTTTTAAAACCTGAAATCTGCCAAATGTTTCGCCGTGCTAGGAAAAATGCTGTTAAATTTTATTACAAATATACCCATTTATGTAGCCGCTACTGTACGCTTTATATAACGCACTTAATGTGGCCCTTTTAAGATCCGTGCATATTTGGTGAATAAATATTTCGGTGGAAATCGAAGTAGAGGTCTATGGCTACCAACGACAGCAATATCATCTATCCGGTTAAGTAGCCGGCCGTCGAGTATGGTGAACATGTGGATAAGTGTTGGTCTAGCAAAGCGATATCGTCCCGAGTTCTGTTGTGCCAGTTATTGTTAATACGCCATAGATTGCCATACTCCACCAGATGAGACCCGCTACGAGTCAAGTTGCGGCCAGCAGTATAACATTTAACAGTAGATGGCCCGGGCTGGAAAAATACGCGCGCGCCGGCGCACTACAAACCGGAAGATGCGCATGGGGAGCGTTGCGTTTCCTCCGCGCGCTTTATCCGCTCTCATGCACGACACACACAGAGCGTTTATACAGACAGACAAATACAGCCGCTCGTGGTATTCGTGAGGGAAATTATGAAAATGAAATTTTACAATTTAACGTTATGGTGCGATCGATACAGTGGGATACTTGGTTGGGATCAAAGGGATGAGCCGGATTCGACGGCGCATACAGGATGATAAGGGTCATCTGCCGGTTTTGAAAAGTTGGGGATGCTATAATAGGATTTTCGGCAGCCGGCAAAATGCTTTGGAAATTATGGAGCATTATTCGAATTAAAAATTTCGTGTTGTTTAGCGAGTTTAATTACGTACTTACTCAGGACGCATTTCGGGACATAAAAATAATAAAAAATAAACTTTAATTTTGATTTTGGATATAGCCAGAGTTAACTGCTGACTAAGATATTTGTTTAAACACTCTTCGAATGCCATAGACTTGTATTTTAGTTAAATAGTTTCTGCATAATAATATCGTATATAAATTTTTCTTAAAATACCTTCATTTTGTTGGAATTTCCGGATTTTAAAAATGCTAACTACTACGGCAGGGAAAAGCCCGGTGTAAATGAAGTGTCGACGGCAAACTAAGCAAACATTTGCTTTAGGCAAATTGCTCATTTTAATCTCACATCGCGCGCGCACCCCGATTGCCGCATCAACAGTACATTTATGTATTTATCATTTACACAATCTGCGCCAACAGATCGACCGGCTGCTGCCGCGGGCCGCCCTAATTGCCCACACGATGGACTATGTAATAAAATGATCATTATGCTCTTCCTGTGACTATATCATATTTTTGATATGCAATCACACCAGCCACACTGACAATGAATCCAGGCCTGCCAGGCAAGCGCGGCGCTCGTTAAAAGCGCATATATGCCGAGCATGTGTGCCTGTACTGTACGTGCGGGGACTTTTTATCGAGGATGAATTGCCCATGTTGAAGAACGTCCTCTGTATAATATTTCCATATTTTCTCGTAAGCAACAAGACGCTTTGCGCCGGTCAAGTGGATTCATTGGAAGATGCCGGTAGGGAAAAAGGGTTTTGTTAAGTAGGTAATCTTCAAGAGAGCCTACCTTGCTGCGGTCATTGGCTACATTCTTTACCATTACATGCATCAATAAATAGATCAATTTTCACATGGAAATATTCTGCATTCCAAAAACGATCAACTACCAATTCTTAATGAAATTTACATCTCTGCAATGGACAATAACCATTTCGAAAATTAGCTTTCAGGATTTCAGGGCTTTTTTATCAACCTAACAATAAAACTCCGTATCGTCACAACGGCGACGTGAAATAAAACTGTGTTTAAAAATTAAAGAAAACAAAATTTATTTACATTAGGCGCTTTATATTAATGGTGACCTTTATGTGGTAATTATTAACCTGTTATACAATATTTTTATTGGTAGTTTATTTGAAGGTGAGCGTGCCAAAGCATTAATTCATGTGTAATCTTTGCGGAATAACTCACAAACTACGATGAGAAAGTCAGTAAAACCGGGTACATATTAGTTGCATAATAATAAGGGTTAAAAAAACATACCCCGTGTATTTATGCCGCTGTTCAGATCATGCCACAATAATCACCACACATGCGTATTTGATCTGCTTCTTGTCAAACTAAGGCGTCAAAACGTGAATTACTGCATACCACACTTTCTGACAGTGCCTCGCAATTGTCTGACAGGATTCCATGCGGATTCTTCATAATGCAACATTTCCAAATATTTTCTTAAATCTTCTTACTCGTATGTTTAAAAACGTAAAGCGCACATGCAATATTAAATTATCCAGGCATTATTAAATTTAATAGATCACTGTTATTTCTTTCTAAACGGTGTGCAATTTTAGAGTGAAAATGTTGCGTGTATCAACAATTATTTTATTTATAATTTTTAAATTATGAGTGAATAGTCGGAATTAAATGGACTGACCTGGCGAGTACAGGACAATCGCTTTGAGACATCCATACTCGGCCGCATCCATGCGGAGTGCCGTCAGTTTATCCACCCGATCCTGAAACGTCCGACAATACTCAATCATCAGATGGACATTGGCCCGATCCCCCAGATGCGGGGTGGTGGTGGGGTGGGCGTGCAGGTTGAGGATCTGCATGAGATGATTGGTAAAGGGCAACTGCAGTTGGGCCGCCGTCAGGATAAACAGTTCACTCCAGCAATTCCGCAACAGGACCACCTGGTCGGGCATCTGCAGCTGACTGAAGTACGGTATACTGTGGCACCATTTCCCGGTGTTGTACAGGATACTGATGGCCGTCTCACAGACATTCTCCAGGGTGGAGAACCCGGCGGCCGCCCCGTACGTCAGGCAGTGGGTGTAGGCCCGCTGCGAGTAGGGCTCGGCACGCACCAGATCGGAAATGTACGAATGGGAGAATGTGTGCCCGTTGAGGAAGTCCATGGCGCCGAAGGGGAACTGGCCCGGCAGAAGGGGCTGGGTGGGGACGCGGCCGCGTTGGACTGCTGCATACACCAAAATCATAGTCAAAAAAACTCAATAACACATCATTTTATAGCTAGCTTTTATTTATAAATATTTTCCTGGCAGATTTTAAAAAAGGAAATCTTTAAATTTGCCTTCGATTTTTTTAAAGCCCTACTCGATGTGAACACAATTATTAAGGTGGTAGCATCTAAATTAAACAGGTCTTTTAAATATTAAGTGAATTAAACTATTATTTTTTATAGCATTTTCATGGTGCCCATTAATGTCACATTTTCGTTCTTTTACGCCCAAGATTTTTAATTTATTTCTGTCAGGGATACCTCAAGATAATTAACGGTATTTTTGATAAACCGCACGCGTTTCTAAAACGGAACAGTTTGCCCACGAGGATATGCATATTCACTTTCCGCTGCGTGCGGTAGAAATAACGGCACCGTTCAGCAGAACTGTCCTATATTAAAATTGTACCGCGACAGTTTTCCCGTTTACAAACACGCTGGCGCGGCGCTTTCTTTCGGCCGGCAACTCGAAAGCCAAGGCGCGCATGCAGCACCGTTTCCGACCCCATCTTCACCGAAATATTGGCAGCACGACCTGAAGGAAGTGGCGCTGATAAGGACAGCTGGCTGTTTTTTCATGTAAACAGCTCCCACTGTGTCGGCGCTGTTTTAAAATAAATATACGCATTTGGCTTATCTTAATGTGACTAATAAGGAAAACCGCTCTCCAAAGTTGATTTTCTTGGACACTGAATCTTTTTATGGGACAAAGTCATCCATAAAAGGACAAAATTTCCCACGAATAAACTTCATAAGCCCGTTAACGAAGATTTTTGTGATAGCTAAAAATTGCATTTTTTAGGCAATAAAGATAATAAAATATCTGTTTCACTGAAAATCAGCATTTCAAAAGTGAGACGGAGAAATTTGGATTCATATTCAACGCGTGAAAACCGAAGACGTCGCGTTTTGCTACAAATAAATTTTATTTTATTTTGACGACATTAAACATGTTTATTTTGATAGATCAACGGCGCGGCGGATAATAAATTTCGATAATTACATTAGGCAGCGTGACGGGGTCACGTCCTATTCATAGAGCACTCGGTGCGTACAATTTTTCTTTTACTTACGAAAACAAATTAACCTCAAGTGTGTCGCTCGCTCCATAATACACAGCCGAACAAAATAACACAGACACACAAGTTCACAGTGTAATGATACAGCGCGCGACATGGAAACATGTAATGCAACGTCGCGTAATTACCGGGTTAAAGAAACAATCGTGTCCCTTTATACTGTGCCGAGTGTAACCATAATGATCCAGCACATATATATGTTCTGTCATGTAATAATTCTCCACTAAATACCCAGCCGACAACTTCATCTCGCGGTGCTGCCATGGCAAATATGCCGGGCGAATTATGAAGATGATGATTATGCTGGGCGGGGGTCGGCCTTGGCCCCGTATCATCGTCATTTCTGGACAATATTTCCAGCCGTAAGAACATGCCAAAGATACTGCAAGGCGTTACTAATTATCCTCTCTCTGACTTTTCGCACTGCTTTAACTACCGGCTGCACAACCGATAACAACCCGGCCCATTTATAATTTGTGAACAAAATATACATTTTCACTGAACGATTGTAACGAGTGTGCCATGCTAAGCGTTCATATTATTTTATCTACAAGATAATACATTAATGATGAACAAATTGATGCGACGAGTACTAGTACAAGACCTTAAATTATTATCCAAACAGCTGGCAAAAAGATCTACTAAAAATCGATTTGAAACTTTTTTACAGTTTTTACTTTTTGAATGTGCAGTACGTTCTCATCGTGTGTTTTAAGCACCATAACCGCGCCACTGTTCTACAACTTCGTCGCTATTTTACTCTTCGACTGCCAGTGTCTTAATAACCGCTAATACTCTACAATACATAACGCTATCTACACCTGTCATTTTTACTAATTTGATGGCTGAAAACTGCAATCACGGGGAATTGTTTGAAATATTTTGTAGATGAAATTACATTTAAAGAAACTCTAGCATACCTTCTTTGCGCATGCCCATTTTCAAGCATTTCTTCAACCGGCAGTACTGGCACTGATTGCGATGATGCTGATCAATGGGACAATTGCGCGTACCGCGGCACGTGTAGTTCAAATTCCGCCTGACACTGCGCTTAAAAAACGACTTGCATCCTTCGCACGTGTACTGCCCGTAGTGCTTGCCGCTGCTCTTATCACCGCACACCACACACTCTACATTCTGTGCATTGCTCTTATCGCCATCCGACTCCGACGGCGTACTGGATGTAGTGGGAGCCGGTGTGACGCCGTGATTATCGTGGCCGTTCTCCGTGTTCCCATTGGTCGGGGCGGCCAATTTACTGGCTAGATGCAATGAGGAAGGATCCCGCCACGCCGACATAATGGATGCCATACACAATAATTAATAAATTACCCGTACCCACGCAGAGAAACACTTATCAACGTAAGTGTCAGAATCAAAACACTAATTAATCATCAGCGATGTGTGCACACACAGGTAATACCGGAGCAAAGTGCTAATTGCTTTGTCTCAAAGGTCAGACACCTTCGTGGTACAAAGGTGACTAGTGAGGTTGCCGCGTGGATGATGAAGAAATGGCTTTTTAAATAGTGACCCGTGTTGCCCGCCAACTGCCAATATTGCATAGACCGCTAAGCATTCCAATAACTTTAAACTAACCTTATCCGTTGGATAAAAGCTGTAATATTCACAAATAACACGCCCGTTTGGCCTGGCGCATCGCGTTGCTGTTGCCAATCTGCATATGGCCGTGTGTTGATGGGGAAATCTTTGCCAGTGAAGAGCGCAATGTCACATAGGTTGCGCCCTGAGGTGGAGCCAGTGCTTGGCCTGCATTCAGTGCCGTGTCAACAGCAGGTCACGCCCCTGGCGGAGATGGCTGATCCTATTGGCGGATGTGTCAGTGGATGTATTGTCTGCCTGTGCCTGTTCTCTCTGTCTCTCTCGCACTGTGTCTGCTTCATACAGCCATATGCATATCGCTTATGAATGCGTAAACACGTTCGCACAAGCTAGTCTCTCTGCCGCCCTCTTCAGGTTTTTCGCGCGCTTTCTCCCTCGCTCTCTGTCTAGCGACAGCGTATATCTGTGTATATGTGCTGAGTCAACAAAGTGCTGCATTTTCGCCTATTGAAACGCGATGGGTTTTTATGGTCAAATCGCTGAGTCTTCCACACTGGCAAGTAGCGGCAGACGGGTCTTTGCTTTGCGAGGTCTTATCGGTCTAAGGTTACGTAGCCGATCAAAAAAAGAGTCAAATACGAGATAATGGGTTAATCGTGGCACTTATATATTATCCAGGTCGCTAAGCTGCTTTAAGGTGAATAGGTTGTTTTGATGCGACGGTGGTCTGTGCGGTAACATTATCCTTTGTCAGTCAACTGGAAAGTGCGCGAAATCCTTTTGTCACCAGCGATTTCATTCACGATTTCTTTGACGTGTTACGATTTACGATTCCACACGAGTGCGGCAACAAATTGCTTCGCTCTAACCGCTGTACTAAAAACTATCGCAGTGATTAAAACACAAGTACTCTGTAGTACACAAAACAAAGTAAGCCAAAATTCACAAAAATTCTTGCAGGAAAATTTGCATGAAATGTTCTTGGAAAATATTGCAAACTTAATTCAAATTACTCGCTCGAAGATAACATTATTCTTTGCGAGTGTATTTATGAACAGCGCTGCTACAAAATTCCATACAATTCATATGACTGTCATTACGTATGGAAACAGCTTTGCGTATTTTTCAAGACCTGTCAAATTTAATCAATAATATATCCATAATATGGAGTCATATTTATCAATATCGGGTCCTATGATGCCGCTGTTACGGGGTTTGCGTGACAAGAATGAAAAAACGGCTCGGCCATGCTCGTTTTATTAGGCGAACTCGCATGATTAGCATTCATTCTCCGCATTTGAAACGACACTTTGCATTTCTAGCACAAAAACAAGATCACATGTCAGGCAAACACTCGGCTACTGCAGCTCTCAAGCATGGGCAAGTAAACACAAAGGTCATCTGCTCTGCATAAGGCAGAATGCCGGTGTAATTGTTGACACCGATATTAATCGCTTTAACCTTTTCCTCATATTGATATTTTCGTCTTAAGGGCCCTGTTTTCCCTGCGTACTACATGATAGAAAGAATGCATCACATTATGCATGAAAACGGGGAAACGATACAGCTGTGCCAGGGCAACAGTGCGCGCTGTACTGTCCTGATGAATATTTCAGCTAAATGGGAACCTTTTTGACTTGCTGTTCCGGGTCAGGATTTTTCGCGCATAAATAACGATGGGAACGGAATGCTCATGATGCGAGTTAGCTGCTAGACGGGAACGCGTAATGAACACACACGGCCGGGACAGCGTTTACACTGTGTGCTGAGCGCGGGCCCATTTTTCATTGGCTGACATGGTTCTGGACGGATTGAGAAATAAATGAGCCTTTCGGGCTGAATGTTCGGCTATTTGCAGCGCTAATTTTCGAGATTACGCCAGCCTCATGTCGCAGGCTAATTTTTATCTTGTACACAAAAATGCTGGGACAATTCCAATAAATTATCACCGAAAACGCACAGATGCCGGTGCATATGGATTATGGGATGATTGCGCGGACGTAGTAAACAAATGCTAAGCCACTAAATGCTGCAGACGGTACTCACTGTAAATCATACTAAATAATTTATTTTAAAATTTTGCTTTTATGCAGTTGTTATGTCAGTAAATTTGTGCACACTTAAGACAGAATCGGGGTACAGCGTTACATTTTACATTCAGTATTTATTTGTTTGTTCTGTTTATAGTCAACGGAGGGTACAATTTGTAAAAATAAATGACTGAACGATAATTTATTTCTGGTGTGCCAGTGGATCCAAAACTATTAATAAATGAAATTCTGCAGAGTCGAATTTATGATCGGCTTTGCTACCGGAAATATGTTACAGTAATACTGATCTTATTATTTTATGACCGTTTCGCATTCGCAGACGATCGATTTATAGCCGGCGTAAATTAGTTTAAAATTCAAAGCAGCACCGAAATTCCATAATGCGATTGGCGGGCATGAAGCGCCGTAGTGTATTAATTTAGCATATTCTAAATCAGGATTTTGTGCAGTGCTGCAGCCGCTTTAGCTCCAACGCGCCATTACATCATGCTCCAATGAAGTCAACGGAATCCTCTTGAAAATTCAGCACACACACACACACAGACCACTGTATCCTCTCCCGGCGCGGTCGGCATTAGATATTCGTCAGAGCAGCGCAAGCTATACAGTCGCATATGCATATTAGGCCGCTGTCTTGTCGTCACACTTGACTGCGCATCCACCATTTCCACTGCATTAACATGGATTGTAAATCATATTTTCCGCCATTAAGTGGAGACCCGACAAAATAATACAGTGTTTTGTATGCCGATGCATATGTACATACACAGTACATAATGTTCGTATGTGTGTTTTACGGCGCACACACAGGAAGTATGTGCACTATAGAGTGATGTTCACGCAGCCTCGCGCACACAGCTTGATATGCCAGGATGAAAATGTCAAAAGTCAATTTAAAATATGTGAATGCTCCCAAGGATCAAATGCATTACACCAGATAGGGGCCTCTCAGTATCGATATCTCCCTACGTGCTGAAAACGGAAATTCATCATCTTATGATCGGATCAAGTGTTATGGCCAACACATGCCAGCGATGACCTTTTGACGCCATTTTTTAACAGCGCCCTGACATGCGTACTCGGCTGGGCTATGTGGCGTGATATTTTTCGGCCAGGCCCCGGAGAGAGCGGATCCGTTATGCCGGGTAGCGCGAGAACCAGTTCGTCAGTGTAACATAATCTGAAAAGCAAACAACACCAAAAAAGGTCTCACAACCCAAACAAACACACCGAGACGTATAATCGGATGAGTAGATCACAAGATCAGTAAAAATATCAAATTAATCCTGTACGATTTTTTTGTGCACGTCGTATACCGCAACAACACCTTGGATTGTCGTTTGACTGTGTACACTGTACATATTTATGCTAACTAATATTTAAAAACATTTACCCAGTCATGTTTATCTTTAAAAATGGTTAAAAAATCAACTATACGCGCACTAGTTTTGAGCATATTTTTTCTCATTCTTGTTCCTATTTTTTTAAATAATAATTGTGTTAGTACGTTTTGTGAACATCGTTGCAGTATTATAACACGCATTATAACACTATCTGAACTAGCGTGAGATAAGTACCGGTAATAGAACAATTATGGGATTAGGATTGTATGGTCATTACAGCAATTGCTTCCTAATCGACGGGGCGTTTTGCTTCCTTATGCAATATTTACCCAAACTATTTACACTCCCGGCTATGTAGATTGCCACCGCAATGAAAACATCGCACGCGTGGCGTTAATTAGCCCACCCGCTAATTGCATTGCTCAACATAATTAGCGCCGTATTCTCATTAACACAATCGCCGGTATTGTTCCCTTGTGAGACTGCATTGATTGACCACTGCAATACGATCCGCTTATCACACCCTGTTAGGACAAAACAGAACGACAGACCCCACCGCTGGTGGCTTAAAACGCGCTGGACAAGTGCCGGTCAGTCGTCAGCAGCATGATTGCCTTTGCCGGTCAGAATGGGGCGCTATCGCTTTGGAGTGGGACGGGGAAAAATTCATTTAAAATTTTTAATCGACCGCTTACTGAGCTTTTGTTTGGCGCGGGGAATTTGTTTAAAAGCGGAACAAAATGTACGCCGCTTAATGAAATGAATTCATTCATTTAAATTGGATTATACAGTTATGCTCCGGACAAGTAAAGGAATTCATTGAGAATATTATTATGTTGTGAAGGGTGTTAAAATTCTTGTTATGCCGGCGTTTCAGCGTCAGCCACAGCGGTTTTCAGTATCATAAAAATTAATTCGTAGAGTGGTGGCTTTTGACAGATGTACGTACCTCGTACAATGCTACAACAATCGTGCCACTTTCGTTGGTATACTTCGAGTATTGTAAAAGACAAAATTCTGCTTTCGGTTAATGACAAGCAGAGAAAATTATAATTAATTTTTGCAAACAAAGCATTTTTCATCATATGGGGTGGGGAAATAAAAAAATTAAATTATGGGTTAAAACTGTTCTAATATTAATGGAGCTCTTTATGAACGTTCTGTGTCACTGGAAATATCGGTGGAGGTCATTTAATCCCAGTGCAATCTGGATAGGAGATAGTGCAGTAATCTGGCGATATGAAGGTGCAAACAAGGTCGATTTACATCTGATGTACGAGTATTTATGTTATGTCAAAGCAATATGTGTAGGCATATTTGCTGCCCATCAGATACAGATTTGTACACAGGGACTCCGCGCTGACGTCTGGCAATCTTGGTTTATTTGCTTGACCATACACCATAAGCAAACAGTAGTCGATGGACGACGCCACTCACCGGATTGAATTTCAACGTTAGAATATACAAATGCGCCAATTTTCCCATAATTGCACCAGATTTTTAAAACTATAAAATCCTGCCGGCTCGCATTAAAGACCTTGTAAATAATTTGCAAATTTATGAAAACTTACAAAAATAAAAATGGCACTAGCCATCGTCCAAGTTTTGCCTAGGTTTTAACCGTTAATACACGGAGAGATAAATAGTTGTACGAAAAATGAGATCGGTTCCTGAATATATAAGTAAATTAGATTAAATATTTCTTAATGCAA